TAGTAATAGAAAGAAAGTAAAGAAGTAGGTGTAAGCTAAAGTAGGTAAGCTATTCTAAAGGCGCTATAGATAGTGTAATTAGACTAGGCATAACACGCAAACATGTAAGCAAGAAGTAAAAGTAGTATCTAAATAATATTCTAGGCTGTACTGTACTATATAGTGCTAGAGCAGGTTATTATAGGCTATAATAGAGTTTGTTAGGGTAGGGTCTTAGCAAAAGTAAGCAACTTAGGTGTGTAAGCAACTCGCCTGTAAAGTACGTTACTAGTTTTTAATTTACTACTTAGGCTAACATTTATTTTAATGCTGTTATCTTATTTCTTATATTATTTAACTATTAATTTATTACTTTTTTATTTATAGTTAGAACTTAGCTAGTACTAGCTAATAAAGCGCTAGTTATTTCTAAATTAGTAGAAGTAGTATAAAGATTTATACTTTGTTAGAGGGAGGTAATGTTACAATCCTTGCTTATGGAAGCACTTAGGTCAATGTTGTTCCTTAGGAGTAGGACGGAGGGTAGAGGCCGACGGCAGGGTGTACAGTCCTGCGTAATGGCTATTAGGCTGATGGAGTAGGGTAGGGTGACTAGATTGTGATTTGTCCCTATAGCAGCAGTATAGTAGCCAGGTTAAATAGTCCTGTTAGACAGAATTAGAGGTATATATGTTGTAAGATATATAAATAGTATTACAGCTTTTTAGAAAGCTAGAATGCTACTTAGTCTATGTAAAAAATAAACTAAACATTAAACACACCTTTCTAAAAGTTATTTAAGGTTAAAACTATATACATGTACAGTAGTGCTAAGAACAAGTTAGGTAAGTTAGTTAAGTTTACTACATAGTAAACTTGCTTAGCTTGTTAGACTTGCTAGATTTGCAGCCTGCCTTCCTATTAGATTATACACTCTTTCATAACTGTAGGCAGCTGCGCTGCCTCCGCATCTTCCAATTAGTCCGTAAGCAAGCCCTGCCCCAACCTAGCTAGTTCGTGGAGTACTTCCGGTGGGGTTACGTCGGTCCAACCATAGACTGTAACAGGTAATTAATGTTATAATTTTTACTTTAAAGAAATAGTGTCTAAAGTACTCTAGCCCTAGGGAAAGAATTAGAAGAAGAGTAGAGGGGGAGAGAACCTAGTCTTAAACAGATGTACAGTCTGTTAGAGCGTAGTTACTAGGACAGAGAGGTGCAGCTAACTGTAGTTTACCCTTTAACAGCAGTATAAGGTGCTTAGGTTAAACAGTTCCTAGATAGGAACAAAAAAGAAGGTATATATAGTGTAAGGTATACTATTAGATTACTTCTTATTAAAAAGTAGTAATGCTACTTAGTCTATGTAAATAATAAACTAAACTTTAATTATAACTTCTAAGTGTAGTTAGGATCTTAGACTATATACATAAGGTTGCATGCTTGTGCCTGCATAGCATGCAAACGCACCTAGCTCATTAGATGATACATTCGGCTGTGCATCAGTCCAAGAGCTCCGTCCATTCCTCGTCCGTCAGGTCCCGTGACTTATCAGATGGGAATATAGGGAGACTCCATCCTTGCTCGTTCAAACAGTGGGGCACAGAGGGTTGGCGGCTTACGGTCCAATCGTGGGTCGTAACACTAACTTCCTCTCTTCTTCTTATAGACCACAAGGCTGAACTGTACATTCGCTTTGATCTATCCTTATTACCGACATCCTGACACTACCTGGGCCCGCGCACCAACGCACGTCCTCATTAGCACGTGACTAGTAAGTGGAAATCGTAACAAAACATTACGCTTTAAATATAGTATTAGTTGCGCTAAGAGATTTTATCTAGCTTAGTAATAGTTTACGTTATATATATTTTATATATTTATATTATAAGAGGGTAATATAGAAGTCTCTGCTTGTTGTACAGAAATGTGTTAATAGTAACATACAGAACCTCTGTTAAACGCGTCTATTACTATTAAACTCTAGCCCTAGCTAATAGGCAATTGCCACTCTAAAAACGCCTATTCTAAAAATACTATAACTTAACTTTTTAGCCTTACAATTGTATTGTAGTGGCTTACAGAGTTACTACTTTTGTACGGCTCACGTGACCGTAGCGAAGTGAAAAGTATCAATTGTAGTACGTTCTGTTAGACACGCTGATGTCCACTTAGGGTTTTCGGTCATCCATCTGCAAAACGTTTAGTGAAGATACCTTGTGCAGCCGAGAACAGTGGATAGTTCCCAAGGGACAGCTGTAGCCAAAGTCTCGGTATTGTGAAGGGGAATTCGACTCAAAATAATGTTGACCCTGTTTGTTTCACAAGCACACTCTTGAACATATAAGTGCCTCGATATTATACTGTACGGAAGCCCCTTTGCTACGAGCGAGTTGTGTGCTATATATAATTTAAACGTGGCCAAGAGCGGGAGCAGGCGCGGATACGGGACGACAAAAAACTCAAGTAGCAGAAGACTTAGGATTATACAGCCATGAAAATTCACTCAATCATCAACGGTTGGTGGTAGAGAATCTACAATAATACACCGGCATCGACTTACAAGCCCGTCCTCTCCGACGCGAGCCTTCGGCGGGGGGGATTTGGAAAGATGTCTGGCAGCAGTGTTCTGGGGAGTCATGTGTGGTGACCTTCGATTGAGTAAGGAGAGTGAGTTGAATGTCGATGACTGGTCACTCTTGAAAGCATCATAACGAATTAAATGTTTGTTTAAGCATGATCTCTGACGCGCCTATGAGGGATTTTTGTCAGAAACGCGTTTATTGGAGAACCTTAAAACTTAGTGAAGAAAGGGTCTTACTTCAGCCCTAATGCGGGGTAACATAAAGATAATGTTAGTCGTATGCATCTCACCATAGTCTATGTTGCTGAGACTCACCTACTTATTTCGCATATATACAGACTCCTACAAAGGACTCCTCTAGCAATAAATGCAATCCAGTTCCTCATGCCTCTAGTGCTTCACATAGCTTCACAGACAAAGTCAGAAATCAGTAACTTTTGCCTTGGTGAGATCACAGAATCTTTACGGAAAAAGGTTTCAAAAGTGGCCAAGAACACATGATTGAGGCGAAGCTTCATCATTCTCAACCTGGAAACCTCAACCATCCTCGTTTAGATGGGCCTGCGGTGACCAAGTACGCCGGATATATGACAAGAGGAGAGGCAGAAGGCCCATGAACCATTGAAACCTCGAGAACCCAATGCACTGATTCCTCCTGTCCTGGTTAGCCTGTGCAACATCCCCAGAAGGTTCCTTCCTCATCTGATGTAGAGATATCTTCGGACCCACGCGAAACTCCACTTTAGGCCTAGAGGCGGCGCGCGTAAAATAACAAGGGTGGGGATGAGAGAATGACTGCCACTGACGCGCACTACGCTTACCATGCCGCATGGTAGACTACTCTCGCCAGCCTAGAACTCCAATATATTTCAGGCCAGAGCAAAGGGCGTTTCAGAATTCCATCCCTTACTCTTTCCGGTCTGGCTGCAACTGCATGATTGGAAAAAGAAACGAAATGTGGGTGCAGTGTAGGTAGAGTCTTCCTTATGAACTGATTCCTAGAGCACTCAAGAGGAGCAATAATGGACATTCGCATGCAACTAGCGTGAGAATGTACCCCTAGCGCCTTTGTTGACACCTGTTGGTCCCGCCGAATGACCCACTGCACCGTCTGCATAGAATCTAGCAAGCACTCCTCTCATTCAATAGTGCAAAGGCTTTGTAGGTGGAGAATGATTGCCTCAAGTTGCAGTTTGAACCCTTGTGGAGACACTCAACATCGAGACCACTAGGACATTTAAATGGGAGAACGGTAGAATCGGCGCCGCACTCATGGGTCCCACAGAACCGTTAATAATTTTGTATGGTGGGAAATTTAGGCGTTCCGTGTCAACAACTGTAGGTGCGTGGCAATGCGGAGTGTGATGACATTCCAAGAGGCTGTACCCACTATATGAACCAGGACATCGTTGCAGAAATATTCTTAACTTCAAATATTCTTTCGTTTGGATACATTCCTTTGTATTTATTTGTACCTTCGCGTTGAAAGATCCCCTGGCTGCCTTCTATCTTCTCGTACTGTGATCTTCATTTATCATAATGATTAACTTCCAACTATCCGTCATTCTTTCCTTACCCATCCTGTCCCCGGCCCTTGAACTTACCGTGCCTTATCCAAAGCGACAGTTCGGAGGGTGTCCTACAGTCTGGGGCATGGTCTCTCGAGATCTCCAGGGTGACTTCTCGGGATGCAATGAAGACGCCTGAGCTGCCATTCGCCTTTCGTTTCACGATTGTAGAAATAGAACTTGCGATAGCAGCATCATACTCGCTGGAGAATGTTCAAGGTCCAAGAAAGCTAGGCAGCAAGGCACTTGCAACAAGCTGGGAGCAAATGCTGAACAGTACAGTGTCGGAACTGCGGACGTATCCGCAACCTAGTCGGTCGTCAAGACAGCGACACACCAGCTCCGGAGGGTCTTGTTCCACAGTGAAGCGACCCAGTTTCGAGTATCGTGTTTGTATTTGTTGCTGAAGGGTTCTGTGCTCCGAATGTTGTTGCTCTTGTAGGCACCTATAGCACCGGGCGGCAGTTCTTCGATAATCTAGCTGGAGAGGGTGCTTCACTCGACTCGACACCGGGTACGGTGGACGCTGCATCTTATGGTCAGACATTGAGCGGCACCGCTCCGTACAGTCTAGTGATGAACGCTTGTTCAAGAACCCCAGTGTAAGCCAAATATCCCTCACTTTCGAGGGTTTGCCAATATTTCAATCTCTCGTATATTTCCCCGGCTTGGAGAAACGTCGCCACTAACCAACACGGCTGGAACGCCGCGTTTTCTTCAGCGATGAACAGGCTCAGCGTCACTGGAAACAATGTTGGCAACTTGGCAGACTGTTCTAATGTACTCCCAGGCGTCGCAAAGAACAGACATAAGGCTAAGAGTGGCCCAGTTGCAGCTCGCGCTTTTGCCCCATAAATAGAGAACACGGAGGTGCCGGCACTTTAGCACTTGTAGGAGGGTAATTTGGAGCGAGTTCGCCCCTTCTGGAATTGTCTCATGTATACTTTGGCTATCGTTGGGGTTGCACTAGTAATTCTAGATTCTCGGACGAGAATCTGGTTCGATATAGGTTTGCTCGGACTTGAAGCATGGCGTTGTGGTTAGGTCAGATTTAGGAGTTTGTTTGTATTCCTGTCCAATGTTAGAAATGGTCATTTTATCGTCCATTCGCCAATAAGTGAGATAACCTCCACAGGCTTTAGGTTTCGCACGTACGTATGGAAAGAACACAATGCTTGCATTTGAGAGCGGTTTGGAGGATCAAGTGACGGAGAGCTTTCTCGGAGAGGCGATCGAGTTACAGGAGTAGCACTCGTCGAGCAACGGGATTTTGTATGCTACCCCAACAACACCTCTTGTTCTTCTTTTGTTATACCGAGTAGGTATAGAATATCTAGCATACTTTTCGAGTTCAATCTTGCGGGTGCTTGCATCTGCACCTTGGGCTTCGCATGAAAGGCGACCCCCAAGCCAGCCACACCCATCATCGGAAGATCGTTGGCTCCGTCACCAACGACAAGGACTTGGGCCAAGGGTATGTCCTCCTTTGCAGCAATCTCTAGGACATGCTGCCTCTTCCTTTCGGCGTGCACAATTTCGCCGGTCAACTCGCCAGTCAGCGTCTGCCCGTCCTCGCTGACGGTGAGATGGTTGGCGAAAGCGTAGTCCAACCCCAACTCCTTCCCCATCCATCCCGTCAGCGGCGTGAAGCCCCCGCTTAGCACAGCCGTCCTGAAGCCCAGCCTCTTCAGCGCCTTGATCAGTGCTAGGACACCCTCGTTTAACGTGATCCTGGGCTTGAGGGTCTCCCACACAGTGCTTGGGACGCCCCGGAGCAGGGCGCACCTTTTACGCAGACTAGCTTCAAAATCCAGCTCTCCGTTCATTGCAGCTGCTGTAATCTCAGCAACCTGGGCCTTGACACCAATGAGGCTGGCAATCTCATCAATGACCTCCTGCTGGATGAGGGTAGAATCCATGTCGAAGACTGCCAGGCGCTTGTACCGCCGATATACAGTGTCGAGCTGGAAGACGACCTCGACGTTCCACTCCCGCTCAAACCGGCTCACGACCTCGTCCCTTCGCAGTGTCTCCAGCGTCACGGGCGCGGGATTAGGAAGCGGAAACGTGACTTCGACAACTCTGCAGAATTTGGACGCTTCCAGCCTCCTCGACGTGATGGTGTCTTCCATGAGGCCTGGTATTATGTTGGTCATCGTGACGAAGAAGTCGGTAAGGCAGCTCTGCGAGAGGTAGGAGCCATAGAGGTGGTCAAGCGGGTTGGGGCCTGGAGTGGGCGGCTCGAGGGGGTAGTCGCACATATTCTCGGTGGGCACGGAATCCCGCAAAGAACTGAGCGAGGCCTCAGGGAGGGTGTCTCGCGGGCTGTGAGGCGACGCATCGGCATGCGGGTGGGCGTGCAACGGGGAGTCAGATTTGTAGAAGAGGGTTGCGATAACATGGGTTGCGGAGACGTCGAGGGCAAGTGGCTTCATGGCGCTAATTACTGGAGAGTGGTGGTGGTGGTGGTGGTAGGTGGTAGGTAGTGGGAGGGGTCAATTCACGACGCAGGAAAATGGTACAGGGATGAAGGCTCGCCAAGGGCTAAGCTTTGTGGTGGGGTCTGTTTGGCTAGCGAGCTCCCCGCAAAGCACACCATTCACTGCCATGGGGATTGTGCGATACTTCACCTGTCAATGTTTACACCATGGATTCGGTTCAGGTGATGACGCAGCTGTGGGTTTCGAATGCCATCGTGTACCCTCCAGCTGCTGCTGCGAGGGGAAACTCCTCCGCCCAGCCTTCAAGCGAGCCTAGGCTTCCTAAGGCATCCGGGCTAACACTGTTGTTTTCCTCGCCCTCACCCCCGCAACGGTCCAGGAAGGTACAAAAGAGGCGCCATCTCCTTCTCCATCGTCTCCGCTAAACCGATGGCTACTTCGAGCAGCTCTAACCTCTCGGACATGATCAGACAGTCCCCACCTGTCGACTTGTCGAAACCCTACGAGGCGGCTTGGGTCAAGGGCAAGACAATTGTAATAACCGGAGGAGCGAGTGGCTTCGGCGCCGGCTTCGTGAGGCATTGGGCAAAATATCGCGCTGCGATAATTATTGGAGACGTCAATGTTGAGAAAGGCGGCGCTCTCGCTCTGGAGGTCCAGAAAGAGACGGGAAACCAGCATGTCCATTTCGTGCATTGCGACGTCACTGACTGGCAGTCTCAAGTCAACTTCTTCAAGGAGGCTGTTAAGCTGAGCCCGCATGGCGGTATCGACACCGTAGTCGCCAACGCTGGCATAGCTGGCGACGACCCCCTGCAACGACCGACCGGCTTGAACACTGCTGAGCCTCCGAAGCCCGACTTCAAAATCATGGACGTCAACTGCACGGGAGTCATGTACACTACTCACCTTGCGCTTTACTGGCTCTTCCGGAATCCAGGTTCGACAGCCTGCAGCATGGACTCACATCCTCTATACACCCGGGACAGGCACCTGCTGTTTCTTGGGTCAGTCGCCTCACTCGGGCCTATACCTGTCCAGCCTCAATACGGTGCTGCAAAGCATGCCGTATTGGGGCTGTTCCGTTCGCTGCGCGCAACATCGCACATGCAAGGCGTTCGCGTTAACCTTCTCTGCCCTTATTTCATCGACACGCCCATTGTTACTGCGGCTGCACGAGTCGCACTTGCCGGAGGAGCAATGGGAAAGGTGGAGGATGTGGTCGACGCTGCAACCCGCTTCGTTGCCGATTCACGCATTCTTGGCCGAGCCCTGGTCATTGGGCCAAAAGTCAATGTGAAGCAACACGAAGACGGGGAGTGGAAATTGGTGACCAAGGACGCTCCGGGCAGTCGCCAGACGGCCATCTGGGAAGCTTACGCAGATGACTGGGAAGAGGCGGATGCTTTTTGTCGGAATATAATTGGAGTGTTGAATGCAGTCCAGGCGGCTCGCGGATGGATAGGCTGGGCTGTGGACGTAGTCAAAGCCGTTGGGTATAGTGTGGGGCTTGCTCGGTGATGGAGATAGGCGAGATTCCCATCGTCATTCGACTGTGTAGCGAAGAAGCATCATGACATCACATCACGGGCCAAGGAGCTGCACCCCTTCCCAAGCCTAACAGCGGACACCAACTGCTTGGGGACAAAGGTGCGCTCTGGAACAGTTCCTGAGCGGTGGCCATGGCGACTGACGCCAAAACTTAATGATCGTCAACCCTTTGCAAATCATAAATTGCTCCCCGTCACACCGTTGTACATGTCTCGCGCGCGTTTGCCCTCTCTCGCTGCTCCCCGAGAATTTACTCGCTCGCTCCTCCTCATTATTTCGTCCGCCCCGCTGCGCCTTCTCTTTTAATTCCCTTTTTTGAATCCGCCAAGGTAGAACATAGGGTCTGTTTCACAACTTGGTCTTCAAACCCCACTGTCGCCATGTCCAACGAGAGTAATGACAACGTCCATGTAATCCCTACCGCCGTTCGCTTAGAGGAAGATAAATTCCCTTTCCCAAATGAAAACTCCTCATACCGAACCCACGGCACGACCCTGAAACGATGTGCGACAGATGGCGACGCTCCCACCGACGTCATGCGGACGATGGATCCGTCGCGACCTCGCGATCTCCAAAAACAGGCGACGGACCAGCCACCATCTGTATCTCCAAGGTCGTTGCTTGACTGGAACCGAAGAGTAACGGCCGGCAGGCCTCCACAACTGGGTAGACAGGCTACCTTGACCTTCGATCCATTCTCATTCGAGTCAAGCCCTTCATCCAACGAGGAAGAGGGTCCTTCGTCTGACGGCCATGGCACTCGATCACGAGAGCGACATGACCAGGGAGAGAAACGCAAATCCAGCCCCCAGTCCTTCTCGAGGTTCCGAATTGCAAACGAGCATTTCAGCACCAGGGGCAAGATCTCAAAGCTGGATGGCCGACTGAAGTTGTCAATAAACGAAACAGTGAATAGTGGCTACTTTGCAAAGACTCTTGGAGCCGGCTTGAGAAAGCACATCAGGAGCGGAGAGGATGGAGAGAGTGCCAAGTCTCCCCTTCCTGGACACGACGCGGAGACTGAGAAGATACCCCCAGAAGATGACAAAATGGAGAATGGTTCCAAACAAAGAGTGAAGTTGAACGTCTGCGTAATCGTTATTGGGTCGCGAGGAGACATCCAACCCTTTTTGAAGATCGGAAAGATCCTAAAAGATGACTACGGCCACCGGGTACGAATAGCAACACATCCTGCGTTCAAGAAATTTGTCGAAGAGGATTCGGGCCTAGAGTTCTTCTCAGTAGGGGGTGACCCCTCGGAACTCATGGCGTTTATGGTCAAGAATCCGGGGTTGATACCATCCGTGGACACTATCAAAGACGGCGAGATTGGTCGACGAAGAGCAGCCATGTACGACATGTTTCAGGGCATGTGGCGCGCATGCATTAACTCCACTGATGATGAGAACGACAAGGCGAATATGAAGATGAGTAAGTTCAGGGCCCCACTGTAGAAGCACATCTCATGAAATGTACCATGATCTGCGTTGGGAATAATTCCCCTCTCTGTTGATGTTTTCACTTGACCCCAGCAATGGGTTAATGAACTCCACTTCCCATAAGTTAACGTTTTGTGCTACGAGCCAACATTTAGCAGAGAGTGGTTGGAGTACCACACTTCGTTTCGTGGTTACTTCCTTGTGCCGTTTGATCTGGGAACTGACTATTATCTTAGTGGGCGACAAGCATCCGTTCGTAGCTGATGCTATTATTGCGAACCCCCCAAGCTTTGCACCTCAACATATCGCCGAACGACTAGGGGTGCCCCTCCACATGATGTTCACGTAGGTTCTTAATCAAGACTTCGATATGCGCGTTACATTTCAAATATATCACAGCTGACATAAGTAAGATTTCCATATACCCCCACAGCTCAATTCCCACATCCATTGGCGAATATTAAGGCTAGTAATGTTGACGCCAACTATACCAATTTCATGAGCTATCCCCTGGTGGAAATGATGACTTGGCAGGGGTTGGGCGATTTGATCAACCGATTCCGGTCTAAGACTCTATGCTTGGAAGAGATTTCAACGCTTTGGGCTCCGGGGCAACTTTACCGTCTAAAGGTACCCTATACTTATATGGTAAGTGCTTCAACGTACAACATATTATCTCACAATGTGGAACATGATAAGGGTAGAGTCTATCTCTCACACCTCTTGCTACAATCAGAGAGAACACTATCAACTATCCCTGTCATGTTCCGCATTAAATGATAAGAAGCAGCAGAAAGCAACGAACTCCCCGCTGATTACACCTAGTGGTCACCTAGTCTTGTCTCAAAACCTAAAGATTGGGGGCCAGAGATTGATATCGCAGGTTTCGTGTTCCTCGAACTTGCATCGTCCTTCAAGCCCCCAGAGTCTCTTATCAAATTTCTCGATGATGGTCCTCCTCCTTTGTACATTGGCTTTGGTAGCATCGTAGTCGACGATCCCGACAAATTCACTAAACTGATCTTTGAAGCAGTCGAGATGGCAGGCGCTCGTGCGCTTGTTAGCAAAGGATGGGGTGGTCTAGGAGACGAGGGAAATACTCCCGATAACATCTACATGCTCGAAAATACACCACACGACTGGTTATTTCCGCGCGTAAGTGCAGTTGTTCATCATGGCGGTGCAGGAACTACGGCAATCGGCTTGAAATGCGGCAAGCCTACGATGATAATCCCATTTTTTGGTGATCAACCGTTCTGGGGCGCAATGGTGGCCAAAGCGAAAGCGGGAGCTCATAATTGCATTCCCTACAAAAAGCTCACTGCCGAGCGTCTTGCAGAAGGTATCAAGCAGTGCCTAACTAACGAAGCTAAGGAAAACGTTCAAAAGATTGCAGATAGCATTGCGAAGGAAGGTGATGGTGCTGCCAATGCTGTACGATCTTTCCATCGTAGCTTGCCATTGCATGGCGACTACAGCATGCGTTGTCAGATACTCGAAAATCGCGTTGCGACATGGAAGCTAAAAAACACGGACCTCCGTTTATGTTCCCTTGCAGCTGAGCTTCTTGTCGAATGGAAGAAAATCAAGTGGAACGATCTTCGACTCCTTCGCCACTACGAATGGAATGACTTCGGGGGTCCGGGTGAGCCTATTACAGGCGGCTGGGGTGCCATCATGGGAACTGCATCTGATGTTGCGACTGGTGTAGGCCTAATTCCGTTCAAGATGGCGAAGAGTGTCAAGAAACGAGAGGAGTATTACCAGAAAAGATATAGGATTTCGAAAGGACAAAGACACGCAAAACAGACTCTTGCTCAAGCAAATACGGACTTTCCCAATGAACGCAGAAACAGTAACTGGAAGGATTCTAATAGTCGATCTGATCGGCCCGGCAAGCCTGATCGACGGGATACCAACCAGAGAACACTCTCCAAGCTCCCAAGACCAGAAGATTATCTAGCACAGGAGCTGGCACAGGAGGCAGGTCATGGTTTGTTGAAGACTGGGGGTGCTATCATTAGAGCCCCGATGGAGTTCACCCTTGCGATTACTCAAGGTTTCCACAATGCACCGCGCCTCTACGGTGACGAAACTGTGAGACGACCTCCACGAGTTACTGGCTTCCATTCTGGGTTCCGGGCTGGTCGTGATGAGTTCGTTTATGGCATTCGGGACGGTGTTGCGGGGCTTTGGATGCAACCATACTGCGGCGCTCGAGACGGTGGCATGATGGGCTTTCTTCACGGTTTCGGTATGGGAATTGGTGGGGTGGTCCTCAAGGATATTGCGGCGTTCCTAGGGCCTCCAGCTTATGTGATGAAGGGTCTCCATGAAGAAGCACTTAAAAAGTACCAACCTACAAATTTCTTAAGACGCGCTCGGGTCATCCAAGGCCAGAATGAATTGGCGGCACTTGGGCCTCGCCATCCTCACCACAAATCGGGTGATTCAAACGATGAAAAGAAAGAGGAAGGGATGGAACGACAAGAAGTGGAGATTGCTGTCACTCGGGGATGGGAAGTCGTGCAATCTCAGATGCTAGCAGATAAGAGAAAGCATACGATAGGCCTCCGTGCAAGTCTCCTTGGAAGGAAGGTACGGAAGGGAGGCGAGCCATTCCCGAGGAAGTCGTCAAAAGCTGATGTGAGTGTAAAACCGAAGTCAGCCTCACCCCAATAAACGAAACTGGGCAAGTAGATGGTGAAACCTTCCGGGGCCGAGATCGTCTGAATATAGCACTAGTTACAGCCAAAGAATGGAAGGAGAAGGTAAAGACGAAGTATAAGATCGATGTTATTCCGGATACACTCAAGGATCAAGCTCGGAGAGACGGAGTAGGGAATAGTCGACTACTCTCTGTCTTCGAAGAGAGCGTTAAGGGGAAGGGAACACCTGTCGGCAGGAAGCCAGGACATGAAGAGGCAACTCGTTGTTTGAGTGAGAGAAACCTTGAGATAGTGTAGAGAGGGGAAGAGCAAAGAGAGATGTAACGGATTGGGCCACCGTGAATTTGGGCGCTAACGATGAGGGTATTCGATCGAGCTCTCATAGAATTTAGATAAAGACTAGCGCGATATGGGGATAGCATGCCTATGGATTTAGGGCATATATAGACAGGAAGTTCCCCTTTAGAATCGCCCTGGCATTTGTGTTAGTCTCGCTAATGTTCTTTGCTCTTAGTACATAGATTTCGCAGTATACCCTTAATTGTCAATTTATTCAGCATCGTTGAATAAAGTTGCATAAATCAATGCATAACCAACACCCCAGAAAAATCCCACAAAGCATTTCTCGCTGCTCTAAGCAAGTAAGTGGAAGGTGAGGATCGATTGAGCCCACCAATGCCCCATTCCAATTCTCACCATCCAAATCTACCACGCCCTGAGATCCTGATCCGGCCATACTGATCTTGCGTCACCTCCTCCCCTCTCCTAACCAAATAGCTTTTATTTGCTCGTTCAAGATCCATGCCCCCCTCCCTCCCCCAAATCCTCTCCATCTCCTCTCTCGTCTTAGTCTTCGGCTTCCCCTCCCGAACCCTGATCTTCTCGAAATATACATACGCGCCATAGTAGACGGATGAAGTATTTCCAGAATCAGGCCCCTTTTTGGACCGGAAGTCGTTGAGCTGCTTGGATTGAATTTTCTTGGGCGTTTTGTGGTATTGGGCGGCGATGTCACGGAGGAATTGCGCGGCTGTGACGGCCGGTTTTTGGAGGTGGGCATTTATTTTGCGGCGGACTTCGTCACATGTGTCTGAATTGGAGTGATCGAATTAGCTCAGGTCCTTGTTAGTACGTGACTTGGTATGGTTTGAAAATTCATGGAAAATTCATGGAACTAATAATTCCAGGTATTGGATACGTACCATACACTTCAACTTTATCTTGTTCTTCACCCTCGAGGATAATACCCGAGATATCAACCCTGTTTGTGGCCGCTGCGGCGGCAGTTTTCACCTTCTTCGGCAACTTGATACCCCTCAACTCGCGCTTTCTGAAGAACTGATATGCGTTGAGATACACATTGCTTCCCCTGCCCTTGAGCGGACCGTTCTGGCCCATGAAGTCACTGTATGACTTGCTGGTTACGTTGATTGCCTTCTGAAATTCGCCAACTCTCATTTCGCCGCTGTCGATGAAAGCACGGATCTTGCGGCTGCAATGGGATGGATTAGGGCAAGTTCCATGGCGAATGTAATGATATGGCGATTATGGGGATGGTGGGTGGAGAGTGGAGGGTGAAAAGGCAAGGAATCATGCATACCGCACGGCATCACAACTGTCCTTCATAGGCCTGTTCTCAATCTCGTACTGGAGATCGCTGTCGTCCCATTCGACATACTGATCAGATTTGCGTTTCGACATTGTTTGTGGGTATCCCTGGGTGGCTAATTGAGATGGGAAAGGTAAGGGGAGGTGTTGAGAGGTGTTGGGAGGAGTGAGAAGGGGAGGGCTGATAAAAGCTCGGGTTGATCTGTGGTGGAACAAGTGTGATGAGCTGCGCATGGCTCCGTTGTTGGTCTGAGCATTGGCTGCTCACACGGTCTCACGTGAGAATTTTCTTAGCGCGATAGGGTCTTGAACGTCTTTATCGTGCACTGGTATCTGCTCTCGATGCTGATATGTTCCATAAGTTGAACATTTATGATCAATCGAGAGGAGGTTAATAGAAGGCTGCGTTTCTGTCATGACCCGGAAGTCCTTCTATGTTCTGTTGAACGTGTTGATAGGAGCCACTAAAATCGACACGAACAAAAACACCGGCCCTATCCGTAGAGAATGTGCCGATATGGTTCTATTGCCTATCCTCTGTGAAGCTGAGCAGGCTTATTCCATACGCGTAAGTGTGCAACCCGTACAGATGCTGAAACGAAAGGTCCCCAAAACGCCAATGATGTTGCCGTATGCTATGACCCTATTGCTATACCCAAGCTCACGTAATTGCTTCAACTCGTATGTCCCTTACAATGAGGCCACGGCCTCGATGGCTCCTGCGCCTTTGAACAGCTTCGGACTGGTGACGACGATTTGGATAGGGTATTTCCATTCCATGAACTTGGCCCAGCCTAAGCGCGAGTTAGCAACTAGGCCTCCACCTAGGGCTGGCGCCTCCATGGCTGCAGTATTGCTCACCCCAATAGGCGCATTTTCTCCCAAAGTATTTCCCTACGTACGGCACTACCACCATGGTTAGCAGCAGTTCGAGCTGCTGCAACGATTCTCGCCACTCGCGCTCGGCGTCTGATACGTATTCATCGTCGGATACAGACGAAGCTGTAGACGAGGAGGGGAGCGAATCGATGTCGTCGGCATCTGAGGAGCTGGCTGCGGGCTCGATGAAGGATTCGCTATTGGTCATGAACATGGCGGAATGGCGGAAGATAGGGGCACGAGCGGAGCTACTGAGAGAGCATGGATGCGACGAGATATTAGAGATGAAGTTGCGCGATGGTCCAGGACATGCACGTGATGATTGAAATCTTGGCGTCGCGGCGGCGTTCGACTCACATCCTGGGGCAAATCCACGTCCCGCAATTCTTCACTTTCACCACAACCACGACCACAACCACACCCACACTACCGCCAACCCCAGGCCTTGAAGAGCGGCTCGACAATAAAATTCAGATTCTGCACCCACATCGCTTTAGAGAGAGTTCAGTCCCCCCAGGATCGCAATCATGGCTGAGATCGACCCTCCAACCGAGCGCAAGCCCCGCAAGTCCGTCGCGTTCAGTGAAGGTGCAACCGTCGTCGACTCGGATGGCCAGGTCACCGAGTCCACAGATATGAACGGTGGGAAGAACAGTGCTGAGTCGCACGCAGCTGGTAGGTTATTCACAGATGGCGGTTTCTCTGGTCAGGACGCCCAGACCATCTGCCGTTTGGAGAATGCGAGCTGACAAGTTCAGTGGCAGGCGACGCTGACAAGGACATCGATGAAGTCACAGATATGTTCAAGGACCTCGCCAAGAAGAAAAAGAAAAAGAGCAAGGCGAAGGAGGGCGATGAGGAGCCTGTGGTAGTAGATGGCGAGTTCGACCCGTCTGCGCTGAAGAAGAAGAAGAAGAAGAAGGTTCCAAAGGTATGTCTTCCACTTTATTGTTACTAGGGACTAGCACTAACACCCTTAGACTGACGCAGACGAGTTTGAAGCCAAGCTTGCCGAAGCTGTAGGTGACAAGGCCGATGGCGAGGCTACTGTCGAGCCCGTTGAGGAAGGCGACATGATGAAGGGTACCGGCATCTGGCAGCACGACGCTACGCAACCCATTAGCTATAATCTTCTGCTGAACCGCTTCTTTACCCTGCTACACTCGCAGCATCCCGACCTTGCCTCTTCTGGATCCAAGAGCTACAAGATTCCTCCGCCGCAGTGTCTGCGTGAAGGCAACAAGAAGGCACGTAGCCTTTCACCCTATCATTATGACTACCTGCTAAATTTCCTGATAGACCATTTTCGCCAACATTTCCGAGATTTGCAAACGCATGAAGCGAACCGACGAGCACGTGACACAATTCTTGTTTGCTGAATTGGGTACCTCTGGCTCTGTCGACGGTAGCCGCCGTCTGGTCATCAAGGGTCGTTTCCAGCAGAAGCAGATTGAGAACGTCTTGCGCCGGTACATCCTTGAATACGTAACATGCAAGACGTGCCGATCGCCCGACACGGAGCTAAACAAGGGAGAGAATCGGTTATACTTTGTCACTTGCAATAGTTGTGGATCTCGGCGGTCCGTCACGGCTATCAAGACGGGGTTCTCTGCGCAGGTTGGCAAGAGGAGGAGGCAGCAAGGTTAAGCTGTTGGTTCCGGATGCTCTTATGGACTTTTCCCGACGAGACTGTCTCGCGCGTGCAATATGGCGAAGAGCTGCGTGTTTGAAGACGTCATGCACGGTGGGTCGATAGATTGATGGTGGACGAAGCAGGGGGGATAAAAATGGGTATGAGGTTGAATGCATTCACCGATCCATGGCCGACTTGATGGGCACTGGTCTGTAAATTAGACGCGGCAGGCCTACCAATGGACAAGCACTTGTCTATCTTCATATCTACACTTGGCCTTAAGGGCGACGACATTATCAAGCTAGTGGCGCTGGACCATGGTGGTTTTAGCTAGCACCTGGGATATCGAGTCTCAACCTTGATGCGACGTTCAAAACGCACCTCCAAGGCCAGCGCTAACACCAGCTTCACTATTCATGGCGAGATGCTGTGCTTACCTGCCGTGCATCATTGTTGCATGGCTTGGCACCATCCACGGCGGGACACAGGCATCTGATTCGGCGCTTAGCTGCCCCGCTTAGCACCAGCTCTTTAAAATCGAGGCTGAGCAGCTTCCACGGCGCCCTCGTTCTGAGTACATATCTGCTGACGCTTGTCTGTGGTTCGTGTACCGCTCGCCTTTCTTTCAATACCTTGAAGCATCGACCCAGACTCATCGAGTAGTCCTCCTCCAGCAGCTGCCATGTCTGGGTTCCAAGGAAGCCCTCCCCCGCAGGGCAACTACTACCCGCGTGAGCTCTTAATAGAGAGAGGCCAGAAGAGACATGCAGCAACTAACTCGCTCCAGCACCCCCCGAGAAAGCTCAGTATCCTACAGACCAACCCCAAGGACAACCGCCGCCGCCGCCGCCGCCGCAGCAGCAGCAGCAGCAGCAGCAGTACTTTGCCCCTCCGGGCGGGAACTACCCCCCGCCGCCTACCGCAAGCCCCTCCGCTCAACACTACCCTCCCCCACCTCAGCAGCAGCAGTACGGTGCTCCCCCCGACCAACAGCATGCTTATCCTCCTCCGGGCGGTGCCGCACCTCCTCTCCCTCAACACCCACAGCAACACCAACCCATGTCTCCTGGCTATGGCGCACCTTCGCCTTCACCGCACCCGGGAATGTCCTCGCAACAGGTAGCGCCCCAGCAACCCCAGTTTGCTGGCGCGGGAAGCACACAGGCAGACGATGTGGGGACCTTCAATGGAGGGAGCTACAGGGTCAGCCACAGGGATACCAATACTATCTTAACGATCCAGTTGGCCATTGGATGTCCCTTAACTGTGAAGCCTGGTAATGTGTTCTGATAATGCCTCTGAACCTTATTGCTGATGGATTAACACAGGCGCCATGATTGCCATGTCTCCAACCATCACGCTCAAAGGGCAAGTAAAATTTTCCCTCAAAAAGGTTCTGGTTGGCGGCGACATGTCCAAGTCACACTACACGGGCCCTGGAGAGCTGCTTCTTGCACCTCCTGCCCTTGGCGATATAACCATTATCAAGCTAGGAGGGCAAGAGCAGTGGTCGGTGGGCAAAGACGCCTTTTTGGCGTGCACCCAGGGCATTGTGACCGAGTATAAGAGCCAGGGTCTTGGAAAGGCCATGTTCTCGGGTGAAGGGTTGTTTGTATACAAGATTAGCGGACAGGGTATTATGTGGGTCACCAGTTTTGGCGCCATCATCCGGAAAGATGTAAGTTGATATATTCAAAACTTCCCGAAGAGCCTCGGCAGAGCCAGCGTTGGGATTGCGGAGGCTAACGCAAATGCAGCTCCAAAAAGATGAGAAATACATCATCGATAATGGACACCTTGTAGCCTGGAATTGCAAATATGTACTCGAGCGTGTAGCGAGCGGTGGTATCATCTCCAACATGTCGTCTGGCGAAGGCTTGGTGTGCAAGTTTACTGGTATGCGATTCCTTTATCAACTTCCACTTTCATACTAACAATCTTTACAGGCCCTGGAACCGTTTTCATGCAAACCCGCAACCCGCAAGCCTTCTCGCAATGGCTCACGGCGAATGCTGCCCCAGGGATGTAATTCGAGTGCTTATCTGAGCTTGAATTTGTCTAAAATGGTGGTCTGACACTGATTCTTCTGGAAATGATGATGTTAGGAAGAGATTGGTTGCGGTTATGGGCGAACTAGTATTCTTTCATCGGGAGATAGGGCTATTCACGAAAGTCATATTTTGAAAGCGCGGAGTTGGTGTTCAATATCTCTACTTCGCAATAGGTGAAAATGGAATAGTTAGTCCTTTCTGCAAGCTCATTGTCTTTTATCAAGGATTCATGCTGAGTTTTGCGACTACGGAACAGAAATTACTGTGGTGGTGGTAGTTTCGTCACTGTATTGTACGGAATGAGATGCAGAAGGGTGTGCGATCACTTGGCAGACCTGGGTGACTGCGCCAGCCTTTGTTACCCCTTGGTCTCAATGTAGGAACTAATCTACTAAAGGCAATCTTAAATGTTTGAATACGAGGCACTCAATTCTAACACTGGTATATCTTAGATAGTATGTTAACCTTACACTGACAAGTCTCACAATATAGTACGTGCGAGCGATGGCTAGCGTGAGACGCAATGGCAAAGTTATTCTCTTCCTTTAGCCTTGGGTTGTGGAGGCTCTAGGGGTGGAGCTTCTACGTAATAGTTAATGATTCTTCTTAATTAGTTCGTTTAGTGCTGACGGCACGAATGAGGCTTGTTTCCTCGGTCCCTCACTTAATCATTTCTCATCTAAGGCCTCAAATCCTTGAACCCTTCACTGCACACATTTCTGCTTTTATATAGTCTACCTCAAAGATCTTTACACTAAAATTGTGTGTTACAACATGGCTACTCCATTCTATATCAAAGCTGCTCTCCTAAAATCTTGCAACATCTCGGTCTTAAACCCAGATACACCCCTCCAAGACTTCCTACCTCGCTGGTCCTCCTCTGCGGTCTCTATCCTCTACACCATTGTCAAGCCAGCCACAGAATCCGACATCCTTCCATCGTCACATACGCTGTATCCCAAAAGCTAAAATCATCCCCGCAAACGGTTGGTATGCTTCACTCGTCCCCATCACCTCAGGCTCTATATACCTCGACATAAACTGCTTTAAAGCCGTGAGTCTAGACGCAGAGGATCATGGGGCGGAGATAGGAGGGGGTGGTGTCTCGGGGGATGTCCTCTAAGCACTAGTGATAAGAATTGCTATACATTGACACAGAATTTAAATCCTATGTATGGTTGGTGAATTTCTAGGTGGGCTATCGCATGGATTAAATGCGCTTCATGGTTGGTATCGATCATGCTGCAAGAATCCGCATGGTTCAGCTCTCGTCACTAGAGGGCTCAGACAGAGAAATGAGGCTGGGAATGTTGGAACCCAGTCCGGAGTCGGCAGGAAGAGAGGAGGAGCTGTTCAATGTACTGTGTGGAACGGGGCATGGGATGGAGTTATGACTTCAATTACACTGAAAGTATGGCCTATATCTAGCCTGAAGATGACAGATAACAAGATATGGAGCCGACGACTAATTTTCACGGGCTCCGCCATCGGCGCCAGCTCCAAGCGCTCCTATGATTCTTCTCGGGTTGACGTATTTCGGGTTAACTGAAGAGCTTTAAGGTCAGACAAAGAGTTTGAATGCAGTATGACCAAGGTGGTAAGACCATGCAGTCTTCGGAATACGTCTACGCCTGGCAACATAATTCTGGAAAGAGTAAAAGCCGGAAAACATCTCGCGTGTCCCACCTCCGCGCAGTGATACTAGTGGATATTAAGGGCTTAATAGGCACATTCCAGATATGACATCTTAACTTGATTTGAACAGTAAGTTCTTATTTTATTGAAATCTCGCCTTCTATAAAGACTATGGTCCGAGATAGCTCGCAGTTCAAACAAGTTTGCGAAGTTCTAAGATATTTGTTTGATGCATCATGCCGGATATCGGAGAAGAGCGAGTGGAGGGGAGTCACACGATGCTGAGTGTGATAGACGCAGCTTCGACTTCAGCATCGCCCCATCGTATTTGTGAGACCTAAGCCACCAGGGGCCTTTGTGCTAAACGTGGTAGTGAAGCGACAGCCTGAATTCAAGTTGCATATTGTGACGAATCTCGTCACACGAGCAGTCAGTATGCCACAGCAAAGGTCAAGATGCAACCCATTTGGGAAGGGCGAATTCGTGCTTGGAAAGACTACCAGGAGCAGGGTCAGGTGCCAAAGTCGAGAGGTACAAGATCCGGGTGTCATTTTGACTCGGGACATATACGAACATCCACTGTGGAAAATTCCATCTCGGCTTAAAAATGGCTTCTCGGTTTGATGGGTTCGTATTCGGCTTGACTACACTCGTACTTCGCAAACATGAAAGCTATCCTGCAAGATTTTAATCCCTGCAAACTCTTCCCTGCAATGGACACGTAGTGTTGAGCCTCCTAGCCCTAGTTTGCAACAATAGGCCTTCCACGGATACAATCATAGGCTTGATTGCTTGAGCATCCATACGCATCCTTCAATGCGTCTCTTACGTATGGTCGAAGTAGTTCGGAAAGCTAAAGAACCTCCCGGCTTGGTAGCATCGAGCGACTTGGCAAGCCAAAAGGAGGGATCTAAAGGTAGGCTAATAGCAATCCAATGTCCAGCATGCAGTATGGTAGACTTGTGGCAATTTGGATGAAGTATATAAAGAAGATGGTTGAACTCCAACGATGTTGCAACGGCGGAGACTTGCAGAGTGGCACGTCTTGGCGGCGCGACTGCCGAGTCCACGTGACGGCTCTCGGCATTCCAGCTCGCATTGTTAAACATTCTGCCCTCCCCTTTTCTTGTCCAAATTTATGACCTTGGACCTTGCAATGCCCACCCACTATTGAGGACTCAATGCAGTACTCTGTTCCAGGTACAGACACCTCCCTATTTCAGCCTCGGCCTAGTGCTGGATCATCTGGTTCATGCGTGCAGATTGTGTTTAATATGGCCGAAACAACACATCCAATCAGCATCACGTACTTTGGCGCATATCTACCTCCGTTCCTTTTCCTCCACGTCGCACTAAGCGTGGCGAGCCTCTCACAGCCGGCCACAGCCATCTGGACCTGCATCTGAGACGCTGACAGCAGATCCAAACCCTTGCACGGTGATCTCGGCATTGAAACGGCAGCCTGCAACACCGGTGCAGTGCGGTTGCTGGTTACTGGCGGAATCGTGCATGGTCACGCCTTCTCGAATGGGCCATGGTTGTTTATCTCAATATTCACCCACCCCGAAAACTATATCATGGCCGTCGCTCCCAGCCGCCCTGCTGCTGCACCGCCCTTCTTTATTCAAGTAGGACGTGCTGAGCAAGGAGCTCGCGGCCAAGCGCTGAGACCTGTACAGCTCTCCCTCGTTCCCTTCCATCTCAGTATTTCTTCTTTTAGGCTCCCATTGTCTGTTTATCACCACTCTTCACAATGAGGTACTCGACCTTGGTCGCGGGAGTGTTGTCCCTCGCGGGCGTCGCCACTTGCGCAACGACTTCCCATGTCGAGACTCTCGAGCCTATGGAGAACCTGCAGCACGTTCCTCAAGGCTGGAAAGAGGTTGGCGCTCCTGCGCAGACCCGCAGGTTGCACTTCCGCATTGCTGTCACTCAGGTGAGCATGTTTCATGCCAATTGAAGCCAATCGAGTGGCTTCACCACCCAATTGCTCCGCTGACGGCGGCACAGCCTAATCATGATCTATTTGAGCAGACCTTAATGGAAATTTCGACTCCACACCATCAACGATATGGTCAGCACTTGAAGCGCGACGAACTCAAAGCACTCATCAAACCGCGTGCTGAGTCAACTGATTCTGTGCTCAAGTGGCTGAAGGACTCAGGTATCTCATCTGACGACATCGTAGATGATGGTGAATGGGTCAACTTTGTGGCTCCTGTTTCAACAGCCGAAAAGATGATGGACACCACCTTCAAAACTTATCAGAGTCTTGTACGAAAGGAAGTCAAGAAAATTCGCGCTCTTAAATACTCGGTCCCTAAGGACATTCATGACCACATCGACATGATTCAACCGACAACGCGCTTTGGCCAGATCCGGCCGCAGATGAGCCAAATCATTGATAAGCAGGTCGTCGGTGTCGAGAAGGCTGTGAATGCCAGCTGCAACAACTACATCACCCCTCAATGTCTCAAGGAACTGTACAACTTTGCCGATTTCAAAGCTGATCCCAAGGTGCCCACACTCATTGGTGTGAATGGCTTCTTGGAAGAATATGCCCGATTCAAGGACTTTGCAGACTTCGCGAAGGCATTCGCTCCCTGGGCTGTTGGAAGCAACTTCACCTGGACATCTGTCAACGGTGTGTATCCTTGGACTTTATTGGTGACCAGTCACTAATAGTTCCCTTAGGTGGTATCCTAGATCAGCGAGCAACAAATGACAGCGTTGAAGCCAATTTGGATGTTCAGTACACTGCCGGTCTCGTTGCACCCGCCATCAAGACGAACTACTACAGCACACCCGGCCGTGGAATGCTTGTCCCTGATCTTGACCAACCTTCTGAGGCGGACAACCAGAATGAACCCTATCTAGACTTATTTACCTACCTAGTTGGCCTCCCTGATGGCCAACTCCCCCAGGTTCTTACCACTTCGTATGGGGAAGATGAACAGAGCGTACCCGAGGAGTACTCGAAAAAGGTTTGTGACATGATAGGCCAACTCGGTACCAGGGGCGTTTCCGTACTCTTCTCCAGCGGCGACACCGGCGTCGGCTCCGCCTGCCAGTCCAATGACGGCAAGAACACTACCCGGTTCTTGCCCATCTTCCCGGCTTCCTGTCCGTATGTCACTTCAGTCGGCGGGACAACCAATGTTTCGCCCGAACAAGCCGTTTCTTTCTCCTCCGGTGGCTTTTCTGACCGCTGGCCGCGCCCTTCATACCAAGACGCTGCGGTCACTGATTACCTCAAGAAGCTTGGCAGTCGGTGGGAAGGTCTGTACAACCCCAATGGTCGTGGTTTCCCAGATGTTGCCGCACAGGGTACTCGCTACCGTGTCATCGATAAGGGCACGCAAATCTCAGTTGGTGGGACTAGCGCCTCTGCGCCAACTTTCGCTTCTATTGTTGGGTTGCTCAATAATGCTCGCATTTCAGCGGGCAAACCCGCTCTTGGTTTCTTGAACCCGTGGATCTACAGCCAGGGTTACAAGGGCTTGAACGATATCACAAAGGGCGGCTCCACAGGCTGCGTAGGAAGGAGCATATATTCCGGCCTAGCGGCACCATACGTGCCGTATGCGTCCTGGAACGCGACCGAAGGATGGGATCCAGTAACGGGTTATGGCACGCCGGACTTTGGGAAGCTGTTGAAGATTTCTGAGTCTGGTACCTATTCTGGGAGGAGGGGTCTCCATGGTCGGTTTTAAGCGACGGTTTCCATTGTCAAGTATATTAATATGACCGTTTCAAGATTTGATAAATTTTTATTTTGGCTCGAATCGAGCTGCGGTAGTACCTCAGTTTTTGGATGAACGAAGTGACGCCGACACGGATTTTGGATGGTGGACAACAGTGCGCCACTGATGATCTCCGACACTTGCACGCCACAAGCGGGCGCTGGAGTAGCTTGGCGTTTCACGGAAACGATTTCGCTCCCCACTCAACCGCTAATTCCATCACCCTCATCAAACTCATTCCTCGCATCATCATCCTGAAGCATCTCCAATCACAAATGAAAGAGCTGGAACACGTCCTTCCTATCGGTGCCCCGGGAATTTGCCACCCTGCGAAGTCATGCCAGACTTTCTAGGATCTCATTTTCTCGAGGTGGCCTTTCTGACTCTTCGTCCCTGTAGCTTCTCTGCAACAAGCTCCACGAACATACACGACACAGCTGTTTGTTCGGAACACGGATCAAGCTTTCCCCAAAACTGCGGCTCGACGGGTGGGAGTGTGAAATTCGCCTTCGATATCCACACCAGCTCGGATGAGATTTTGAAGACCGATTGGAGAGGAAGGTAGGCTTGAATTTAATGCAATTTCGAAATTGCTCTACACTTGCTCGGGAAGGTACAATTGCCGTCGCCCGTGCCCTTGCAGACCCTTGGCTTCGGGCAGCGCCGGAACTTTCCAGATGGCTTCCCCATGCTTGAAGCTGAAGCATCTTTCCGAGCACCCCGCGTTCCTTGCATTCATCCATGAGTCCCCTACCAACCGGTAGTTTCCCCTCTCCTGCTATCGCAGCTCTCTACCATCTCTTATAATGGAGTCGAACCTTAATGTCTCCTCAAGACAATTCCTCCATACGAGTGATGGATCTGAGGTTCAGCAGTGGGTTCCCCACAATGATGACCTGGTGGCTGGAACGCGGGGCGGCGATATGCTGTGCCTGCCTAATTTGGCATCGTATTGATGCCAATCTACTATCGACTATCATCGTCAGGGAATGCTCATAAACAGCCCGCGTCTCTTGAACGGGCTCGTGTGACGTCGCCTTCCTCAGTCTTTCCTCTTGCGCGTCTTGTGATTCAATTGTACCCTACGATCCCTATTTCGAAGATCTTGAGCCTCTAGGGTATAACTGTAGACTTAAAGGTGAAGTATATTCGCCACAGGAAGACCTAGCTTCTACTTGCATCGAGCTGGCCATTCTATATTATTTCATAGGCTCGACAGTATGAGATTGCTATCTTCGCTAGCCCTCGGTGGCCTCGCATCCTCAATCTTAGCTCGAAGTGCTCGTTACTCTGGAAAGAACATTGAACTCCCGCGCTCACGACATGGCTATCCAATGCAGCCGGGACAAGCTCTACACGCGAAGCGTCAAGTGAAGCCGCTGATTGAACAGAACGAGAAGACTTCTAGTATGTGAAGACGAAAGCCAACTAAGAGTACTGCTGACCTACTCTAAAGAGTTCATAGTGAATGGTTCTGCTGGTGCGATCCCGGATGTCGACTTCGACATTGGAGAGTCATATGCAGGTCTATTACCTATCAGCTCCATTCCAAACGCGTCCGAACTTTATTTCTGGTTTTTTCCTTCCTCAAACCCCGATGCCAGCGACGAGATCACGATTTGGCTGAATGGAGGTCCCGGATGTTCAAGTCTTGAAGGTTTTTTGCAGGAGAACGGACCAATTCTTTGGCAATATGGAACCTTCAAACCCATTTACAATCCATGTGAGTAAGACTGGATTAGAACCCGACAATACCCTAACTAGCGTAAAGGGACTTGGGTCAATCTTACGAACATGGTCTGGGTAGAACAACCCGTCGGTACTGGCTTCACTCAAGGTAAGTAATTTTTTGTATCATAGCTGCCAAAAAAAGCTAATTGATACACTAGGCAACCCTACTGCGACCAGCACCGAGGAAGCTGCACAGCAGTTTCTAGGCTTCTTGAAGAACTTTGTTGACACATTCGGTCTATGCGACAAGAAAATATACATTGCGGGTGAGTCTTATGCCGGGAAGTATATTCCGTACTTCGCGGATGCGATGCTAGCAACAAACGACTCGAAATACTACGATGTGCAGGGAATCATGGTCTACGACCCCAGCGTAGCCTCGGATACGCTGCTCGAGGAGAGTGAGTGCATTCATCCATTTCATTTCGGATGCTAGAATCTAAAAGTGCTGTAGTCCCGGCTGTTCCTTTTGTAGACCAATGGGAAGGCCTGTTCAACCTGAACGAGACTTTCATGGAAGACATTCACACGCGCGCCGACGAATGTGGGTACACAGACTATGTCGAAACTTACCTCACGTTCCCTCCCCCTGGCCCTCTGCCTGTACCCGCCAACAATAGCCATACTCCGGGGTGCGGTCTCTGGAACGATATCACCAACGCAGTTCTGCTCACGAATCCGTGCTTCGATATCTACCAGGTGGCTACCACGTGTCCTCTACTATGGGATGTTCTCGGGTTCCCTGGCTCGATCCCGTACCTTCCCGATGGTACGACTGTCTATTTCAACCGTACAGAGGTTCAAAGGGCCATCAACGCTCCTGTTGGCGAATGGGAAGAATGTTCCAACGGCGTTCTAGACATTGACACTTCGATCGATTCTGGACTTGTCGTTCTCCCTCGTGTTATTGACCGTTTACAGCGCACAGTGATCGTCCATGGTGATCTGGACTGGATCCTCCTTGGCAACGGTACGCTTCTCACAATCCAGAATATGACATGGGGCGGTATGCAAGGCTTTCAAAGGGAGCCGTCTGACGACTTTTTTGTCCCGTACCATGATGAAGTTAGTCTCGGGTCGATATCGGCAGCTGGAGTCATGGGAACGACGCACACAGAGCGCAAGTTGACGTGGGTCAGCCAGAGCTTGAGTGGACATATGGTTCCACAGTACCAACCTTCGAGCGCATACAGGCAGTTGGAGTTCTTGCTCGGTCGAATTGATAGCCTGTCCGAGAAAGGCGGGTTCACGACAAGGGGTAATGGTACCGTGAAAAGAGATTTAGGTGTGATGAGGGGGGTCGCCATTTGATAGCGCCGTGAAGTGGTTGTAGATTTCCACGGATTGGGAAGTGATTAATGTTTATTACTGGTATCTATTGTTATTCGGAGTCTAAATAAAGTAATCTATCAGCTCAGCCATGATAGTTGTGGCTTCTGCCACCAGAAACCCAATTCGGCAAGGCGAGAGCGCCGAGAGACCGACCGTTGTCTGTCAGCAATTGCGACATGCATCACGCTTTCCACATCTCCACCCTCATCCGCTCGGCTAAGACTCGGACTGTTCACAATGTGTCTCTCTAACCTCACCATTCAATCGTTATCCCACCATGGGCTTGCCGCTAACCCGCGACTCGGTCCTCCAAGCTCATGAGCTCGTCAAACCCCACATCCACCTTACACCAGTCCAAACCAACACCACGCTCTCGATTCTCGCATCAACGCCTCAGTCGCCCGATGCATTGAAGGGCACACAATGGGAGGGCCAGACGCCCGCGAAGCCGAACGTCAGGTTGTTCTTCAAGTGCGAAAACTTCCAGCGGATTGGTGCGTTCAAAGTCAGAGGTGCTTTCCATGCTGTCAAGAGATTGATCGAAGAACGGGGAATCGAAGAGGTTAGGAAGACAGGTGTAGCTACACACTCATCCGGTACTGTGCTGTCCTCAATTGCTTGAGCAAGCAAGAATTCCACGTTAACTCGGCCCGGCCAACAGGAAACCATGCCCAAGCTCTTGCCCTTGCGGCAAAAGCTTTCCACATTCCTGCTCATATCGTCATGCCCTCCGTATCTACTCCTTCAAAAATCGCTGGCACGCAAGCCCAGGGCGCCACAATTCACTTCAGCGGCTCTACATCCCAGGAACGAGAAACGGCAGTCAAAGAAGTGATTGCGAAGACAGGGGCGACGCTTGTCCCGCCCTACGACCATCCACACATAATCCTGGGCCAGGGTACCCTGGCACTGGAATTGCAATCTCAGGCCAGGGACTTAATATCCCAGAACAAGGAGCTCAGCGTTGGGGAAGTGAACAAGGGTCTCGATGCTGTTATCACACCATGCGGGGGTGGGGGAATGCTGTCTGGTAGTGCGGTTGCGTTGTATGGCACAGGAATCCGCGTATTCGGTGCAGAGCCCAGTTTTGAGGGCGCAGATGATGCGCGCCGCGGCGTGGAAGCCGGCAAACGTATCGAAAGTGTCAAGACATTGACAATCGCTGATGGTTTGCGCACACCACTGGGGGAATGGACGTGGAAGGTTGTGTCAAACAAATCCATGGTTCAGGGCTTGTATAGTGTAACTGAGGAGCAAATAAGAGGCGCGATGAGGCTAGTACTAGAGCGGATGAAGTGTTTTGTGGAGCCGAGTGCGGTGGTTGGATTAGCCACAATTCTCTACAATGAGGAATTCCGACATATGGTGGAAAGAGCGGCTGGTGACGAAGGCTGGAATATAGGGGTGGTTTTCAGCGGGGGCAATACGACTGTGGAGGCTATTAGCAAGCTGTTTGCTCCAGTGATAGACGCAAAAGCAGAGTAGACCAAGGGGGGCAGTGGGAAAGGATGCGAGTAGAGTGGCTGAAAATGTGGCGGGCTAGGAGTTGATGCGGCATCAAAGCGATAAAGGTGGCCATCATCTTCTCAATGTGGCAAAGCCTGAGGCCTGAAATCTAGACGTCTATATTGGCCTTACTTTCTTACTATAACACTCCCCAACTAGCCTAGTCATTTCTCCCCACGGCTTCCCTAACTAATGCCCTTGTATCAGTCTCCTCGACCTCGCTCTCAACACGGCCTTCGAACCCTTGTTCCAAAACCTCAATCAACTCATCCAGCCTCTTTACTACAAGATCAGTATGCTGGTGCTTGGCAAGATGTTCGTTTGCATTATTCACCAGCAAAACCGTTGCCGCGCCAGCCTTGAACCCAGCAGTCATGTCATCAAGAGAGTCTCCTACCATGATAAGCGATTTCCCGCCATCCTCATGCATCCAGGATTTCGCGATGTGCAAGATGCCTGCCGGATCTGGTTTCGGCGGTCGAAACTCCCTAGTGATGATAGGGTGAAAATGGGAGTCTGGAAGGAAAGTCGTTAGGAGGTGAGCGACAGGGGTGTCAAAGTTGCGGGTGCAGATGCCCTTTTTAATGTTCCGCGAGTCGAGGTATTCCATGAGCTCGACGAGCCCGGTTTGGGGTTTCTGGTTCTTCATGGCATTGCGTTCGATATTGCGAATTTTTTCCATGGCGGTTTCTTGGGAGGTTGGGGGGAGAGAGTAGACGTGGTCAAGAATGTCGGTTGCTTTTGTGATATTGAGGGTCGATCTGATGGAAGTTAAACCTGGTTGAAAATGTATTATTCTGTGAACGGAAAGAGGAAATACTCGCCCAACAAGCCAATTATTTTGCAGTGCTTGGACGTGATGCAAGTACTTAAGGGAGGGCCACGATTGGGGGCCTGAAACTTACCGCATTTCTGCAAACATGTAGTTCTGAGGTTCACCTTGATAAACGCATTAGCGATAGACGCATACGACTTTAAAGGACTGAGAGTCTGAGTTTAGGAAGAAGCAAGCTTTGGTAGAATAGAAGAGAGTGCGAAAACTTAATAGCGCGAATGAGCAAGAAAGTTGTGATCATGCGATGGAGATAAAGGTTGAATAATGGTTGAGGTAGAATTCGATGGTGACGGCACTCACACAATGTCCCATCGACATCAAACACAATCCCTTTCAAAACTGGCCTCTCGTCACCTTCCATCCTCTGCATTGGATCCAGCGGTGCAAAGCGCCTGGGTCTGTGAGGACTTTGCATTCTGAAATAGTTTCTTGCGCTAGTCTTTGGGAATCTTCGACACCTCTTATAAGACCATTTGCTTGATTGCCAGGCTGAGGAAAGACATCTAGTAAGGGTGAAGGGTTGGCTGAGGATGAGGTTCATGAGAGAGGGTGCAATTGTTGTGTTGCTTTTTGGATAGTGGGTCTTACCATCCTGGCGTTTTAGCGCGAATGGCTGGCGAGGCCTTCTGTAGAGATGTCGGAATCATTGACCTCGGGAGGCTTGCTTCTGACGCCATCATATTCGCACTCTCGCGATCCATCAGAACATGGCACCTCTTCATCGAAGCAGATTACTTCCTTCCAAGGTTTTCTCAGGATATTCATCTACTAGTCTTACTGCCTTTTCCCGGCGTCACAGCGTCCATGAAACAGCACACAGGAATACCCTTCGATCACGCTTCGAGCAGCGTGTCACGCCCGGTCTACGCCGAAAGCGCTTCCGATATTATGTTAAATGTGTAGTTTTTGCAGGTCCCCTTGCGCGTTCCTGACCTCAATAGCCTTCCAGTCCTGCTAGTAGTCCGCATTACTTTCTCACACTCAGTAACTGCAAGGGCTCTTCTGTATCTTATCACCGAACGTGGACGTAAGAGGAGGTATTGCAGGACAGATATTTGCATCATAATAACGCCCCACTTCCATGGTTCTTGTGAGAAGTTCAGCCTGTTAACTCTACCCTACTTATTTTGGTTGACTGTGATAAAATGCTATAGATAAGTGCATAAACTAAGTTCTCCTTTCACTTGTTTCCAGCGTTGTCCGCAAGATATTCGAGATTTTTCTCAAGCCGTGTTATCAAACCAATTGAGAACGGGTACCCACCAGTTTTCCGCAGCCGGCTGGAGCAGTCGTAGACAAAGCTACGGGAATTCGGGGATTAGTTCTAGATTAATAGTCACAAACTATGCTCATCAGAATGATATCTACCCCAAATTCCTGCTCGAATAGCTTCGCCAAGGATTTCACACATAGGACACCTTCGATGCATTCGTAGCCAAGTTCTGCCAGCTGGCAGACACTCTGAACATATTCGGTGCTGTTTAGTTAAAGGAGTAGCCAACCCAAGATTCTCCTCTAGTGTTAAGATAAACTAGAAGAAGCCATGAAAGATCGATGAAACCTCTCAAGAAATTATTGTACAAGGCAACATCGACTCTGGCTTAGAAGACCACAGAATTGCGTTTGTTTGGGAACGCTAAGACAACATGGTGAGCACGCGATCAGGTCTTCACGATTTATTCCTCGGCGGAGATGAAATACCACAGAACACAAAATTGACGAAGCTACAAAGGCTCGGTAAGACCAATAGGCGCAGGCACCAACTACAACCCTCTCCCCTCCGTTCGAAGTGGCATAAATATTGGCATTCATGTTCCACATGTGACCGAAGACGGCCTTCGTTTGCTTGACATAGTGCTTACAGACGTATTAGATCTCAAAGGACTTAATCTATTAACCTATTGGTTCGTTTTCCAATATTAAGCTACTTAGCACTTCCACTGCCTTCTCTGCAGCGAAGACTCTGTTCCGGGAAAGGCTGAGGAGCTTGACGCTCTGGAAGTACCTTCCCTGCCTATCTCCGTGGCCCGGACATACCGAATGTAGTCCCTCCACTCCCGTTACTAGCATGAGGAAACGCTCGTCTGTTCGGGCAAGCTCACCCCAGGCAAATTTTCCCCATGGTGCACCCGGCATCGAAAACGGTTCCTCATTAGCCTGCAGAGCAAAATGGTAATCGAGATATACTGTAATCTTGAAGCTACCATTTCCCTGCAAAATGGCCTTGACAATAACCGCGAATGGGCTCGCAGAGGGATTCTATATCGACCACCACATTTCATGATCTGTCATCTTGTGGCCTACTTTCCCCGCTCCTGGACTAGTTCGGATGGACAACAATCTATCTTCTACTAATGCCAGACCCCTAAAGAATAACACACCTAGTTGAAGACAAATGGCTACCTTTCATTGCAGACGGTTACAGGGACATTCTCGTTTTTTCTGTCAGGCGCTAGCTCGACCAATTAGCCACGCGCTTGATGGACCAAGATAGATTGATGCTAATCCGCAGACTCATATCTAGATCGATGATCTATATTTGATAGTGCTGCAATGTTGATATTTCTTGTGCTTTGGTGTACAGATTGTCTAGTACAATCCCTCGAAGCACCGAGGGAGGGTGGATGAAAGGGGATTTGGAGAGGAGGATCTGAATTAGGCAAGGGCGACAGCCGAGTTGTTACTCACGAATTATGTTGTAGTAGGTTTTTGATGAAGGGGTTGCCAAAGAGGTCACTGAAGATATAGAGGTAGTGATAGGAAGGTGAGGATTGAAAAAAGAATTCCCTACTTCCTCCTTTTAGCCACAGTCTAGCTGGACTTTTTACAAAGGGCAAGAGATATTGATGTCATCCAAAAATAACCTTCTCTTAGGATATGCCATTTGCGTATCGATAAGATGCAACGTGCTATGTTCCACAAATTCAATCTCTTCCACCCATTCTTACGCTTCCACGGTCCACCACGTGGGCGCTGGTTCCACATGCCCCTTCTGCCGATATCTTCTTCAGTTCTAGCGGAGCCTGACTTCCTTTTTTCCTCTCTCTCTGGTCTCGAATATTCATCTATTTCATCTTCCAACGCGATATGGCTTCCACCCTCTCAGCTACTCTCCGTGACGCCATTTCATTCGCAGATACTACCTAAATTCTTCACTATCAGCATGCATATCGAAACAGTAGTCGTTCGGCCAGACGAGACTATACCACAAAGGTCCTGGTCCAAGGCCGAAACTGCGTCGGGACGCTCATGTCGACGCTTCCACCCCTGGACAGCGACCCTCTTCAAGAAATCTGGGCTTACCTGTCGGGGCCAATTTGCTGGTCGGTCGTGGGGATTCATAGCATTGGGTCGCGAAGCTAAGAAAAATACGTTTTATATACGCAATATGCACTTCAATACTTCCAGAGGTTACCAAGAAATATATTACAAAGCAGAAGTAGCTCTCTTGCCACTCTAAGAGTATCTTCGAAACCCAACGCCTCCATCCATTCCTTCGCTCATCTTCTCATCTTTCTAGTGTCGTGGATGATCAATCTCGGGTGCCAGTTTTCATATCGCCCAGATTTTTTCAACCTAAGACATACCCGTGACAAGATTAGGCCGGGGGCGTTGGGATAGAGCTGCAAGTACCACCAAAGCTCCCCTGACACGCTGCCGCGCTTCCAGGACAGGGAACAATACCCGATTCTTTCGTGGTCTCACAGCTATCGGGGAAGGCGGCACTGCCACAATTCTCCAAGCAGATCTGAAAGTTAGTGACGGATCCACCGTCATTTGGGGCATTTTTCAAGGGAGCTTGGATTGTGAAGTTGTGCCAGTCGTTGTCGCCAGGGCAGCCGAGACCACCAGGTGGCAGCCTAGTTTGGCCCGTGATGATGACGGCTTGAGCCGTAGCCATCGCGGCACACTGTATACCGCCCTCGGGGCAGATCAAAGTGATGCCGGTTGAAGTCTCGTCGGCGGTACCCCATCTTTTTGGAAAGTCAGCGACAGCAATCTATATTATGAGGAATATTAGCTTACGTGAAAGCGAAACCAGCCTCAACACCTAACGAAAAGATCTTATCGATATCAAGTCCAACGCTTACACTTCCACTAATGGTGGTTTCAAAGCTCCTACAACAATGTCGGTTTTCGTAGATCAAACGTAGGGAGAGAGACTCTTACACTGTGTGAGCATAGCCCTTTTCTATTTGGCACTCTGTGGTTAAAGTCGATGTGCACTCGGCGTTGGCTACAACCTCGTTCGGTAGCGAGAACGGCGCGTTCTGCACGAGGTTCTGATATTCCATAATGGATGAGCAGTCGTCACGAGGCAGCACCATTGCTGTAGCTCCTACAGCAAGGAGCACGAAGACGGAGGTGGCGGACGTGTACATTTTGCTGTGAGTTGTAGGTGCGTGTGCGAACAAAGAGAGCGTCGCTAAGGCTGAATAGAAGATGAAGGCGACGTGAATGAATGCTCTGATGAAAAATAAAATGTGAATGGATGCGATATGAGCGAATTGGACTTAGGTGGAAGTGATTCCAAAGGACCAGATGCAACTGGAAGTGGTGGAAGTGAACTAAGGAAACGTGATGCACCAAGAGAATGCGAAGAGAAAGACCGCAAAGAAGTTGAAAGACGATGAAGTTGAAGCCGCTTGATGGTCCCATTGAGTCGCGATACTTCCCTTACTTATACTTCATCTCAGAGATGGAAGGTGCTATATTTACTGGCATTGAGTATGCCTTTGAGTAGGTGGTTAGAATAGAATCGCCAAGAGGTAAGCTCGCTCGTTCACGATGATATCTTCTATCCATGCCTAGGAAGTCTGGTGATGGCCATTGTGTTTGTCATATGGGATGGAGCAGCGCAGCCACGATCAGGAGTCTTTGGCTCGGGGCTCGAGGAGTAGCGTCTTCCTTCGGCGTTTCACAAAGCCGCGAAAATATTCCGGTCTCAGCAAAAGCTTAACAATAAGCTTGAAGTATACTTGGGGCATCGTGCGCCACGTTTCTGCTTGCAGTAAGTTGGTACAATGTTCATGCTACCTCGAATCTTTGGCAGTTAATGATACGTCCATGTGCTGTAAATACTTCGCGAATATACAAGCACGTCACACAGGATTGGGCAAGAACGATTGCACTTCAGAATCTCAGACTCACAGTAGAGTTACAAGTAATCTCCCCAGGTCTCTGAGCATTTCATTCTTGGTCTAATTGTGGGTGTGAGCCTCGGCCGTATCATGCAATACCATAAATAGTTAGCGCCAGGATCGACTTGGCATCGACTGGGGCTGACAGCTATGGAGGGGCGGAGGCCTCACGCCAACGTTCGGGAGAAACCTCGAAATACGAAAGGGATGCTCGGAATTCCTTCCAACTCGTCGAAACTCGACTTTGGTATGCAAATTCCAGGACTGATATACCAGGGCTGAAAAAGAACGACCGCATGATGCCGTTTCGGCCTTGTTCGTGAGCGCCTTGCGATTGCGGAGCACTCTACCCCTCATGTAACCGCTCGGTACATTCTTATACCTTCCCGAGATTTCCATTGGGGATCTTTGCTAGATTGCGCTAAAAAAATCGACAAGAAAGAAGCCCCTTTAATTGCAACGGCTGTGGTATTACTAGCGTGACAGTCACTACGCATGTTCTAACCGATATACGAGAGTTTGCTGCAGCAGCTGTACCGTAGACACGCATCGTCTACATGGAGAAAACGTTGGGGTACATGAAGGAGGCCGTCGCCGTTTTCCACCTGCCGTCATCCCGTCCCTGAGCCCAAGACCAACTCAACGATGGCAACCTCCCCTGAATCCGTTTCACCTTGATTGCAGCTTTCCAGTGCACAGTCTTGCTTACCTCAACTGCCATTGGAGATATGCCAACATATGCACCTCGGGGCGCTTCTTCCCGAGGCCTTGGTTCGGACACCTGACCAAGGAGCCAGCGCTCGCTAGAACACACTTCGCCTTCGCTCTGTTAAAGTTAAATAAACTGTAAATCTCGCACTAGAAGAGACAGAATAGCCGCCTAGTTCAGGTTTTATGTTAAATTGTTGCTTGGAATCCATTTCTCCCCATTTTGATTCTTCCCAGACAGCTAATCATCTTATTATGCCTGCCCCGCGGATTTGCAAATGGTAAACAAGGTCAATTGCGAATTTAATCTCCCATGACGAGGTATGATAGGAGGGAAAGTTTTCAAAAGAGGGAGTGGCTTATGTGCATTGGGACCTGTAGGAATCCCTATGGCAAGGCATTCTAGGAACCGGGTAGAACATTACAGGACACGAACGAATAATTGAGGAATGTGAAGACCAGATGCTTATAGCGTATCGTCATGAATTTAAATCCTTTTCGAAAGCCTGTCCTTGAACCCACGGATAATCTGAACGAATGCTTCCGTTGAGAATAGGCAGATCGAGCAATTTGTATTTCATATTATTAGTTAACATAGGCAATTGCAGGAGTAGTTTAGGGCAGAAAGCTGCATCTTGCTAAGGGCCTCCTTGATTCCAGCACGAGCTTTACAGGGTGAATCCACCATGTTTATGTTCCACGGGCTGTGCGAAAATACTGTGTATCCGCTATAGTAGGCGTGTACCAAGATCTACTCTTTCCTAGCCGGCTTAGTGTCGTTGCAGTGCGGCCGCCCTTGACTTGCTTATTTCCAGTCACCTTCTTCTTCTCCTTTAGTCCTATCATGCAAGGCTTCACTGATGATCGGCTTGCCAACATATTACTACGCCCTCGCAGTCGGGCCCCTTCCGGCAGGATCAGCCCGCCCTCTCAGTTCCACCTCCTTTCTGCATATTTGAGATACAGCCTCGCTGTCTAATTCCGGAGGCCGTCGACGAGCCTTCGCAGATTGGTGGCGAGCCTGAATCGAGAGACGCCTGAGTCACCGCAGCTAGCTCACCTTACACGAGATTGTCCGAGCCTTTGGCTATTTACTCTCCCATTGTGATGTCGTTAACGACTTGCAGTGTGACTTCATTGCTAGCATAGCTCTGGGCTCGGATTGTCGTACGCCTTTACAGGTTCATCTTGTTTAGTGAGGAGTTTTTACGCGGCTGTGATTTGGGATATGATGCGTGAATCGACAACCCCAGCCATCATTCCAGTTTGAAGTGAAGTGGCGATAGCGGAGATGCAATTGGCTACAAAGATTTGCAGTTGCAGGGAGTGATAATGCTTGGGGCGCGGGGAAGCCTAGCGGTCATTTCGATGTTGTAGCAAGTCGAATGAGCAACTGAGACCGATTTGTACGTGAACGACCAGAGCCTGAGATGAAATAAGTGTGATGTTGGCTTTGCGTAAGAGCCCGGGGGTAGAAGGGCATAGGAAAGTAGTTACTAATCTTGAAAATATTGCAATTTGATAGATGAAAAGAAGGGATCACCACAGATGCTAACCCCAAAGTGCGATATATGAATTCAGTCATCAGCATTGCGATGGAGTGTATAACGACAGGAAGAGTTCTTTGCGCTATACCTGGCTTGGACTAATTTAAAAAGGTTGCTGCTTCCTCAAAACACCAAACCTCAACAACTGAGCCTCAGCTTTCAGCCTACTTTTCGTCCGAAAAACATTTCGCTGATGAGGGGATACTTCGATCTCGGTATTAAGAGTTCCTCCGTTGCGTTTGATGGTGCCAGGGGCCCAGCAATTGTTTGAGAAGATGAGTTCAACGGAGATTACGGTCTTAACATAGGCAGTCAGCCAGTAACATGACGTGGGGATCGTGTCTGTATACATAGTGACAATATACCATGGAGTTATCGTATGGGGGTTCCAAATGAGGGAAAGGCTAAATTTATCTAAAGCTAGATGGGCAGGTATAAAGACTGGCGGAATTCCTCTTTTTATACCTTTCCAATTGAAGGTCCAAGTCAACTGAATCCCAATTCGTAATCAGTGCCACAGTGAACCTTACTCATCGCCTTAACGGGTTTACAAATACCTTGACATTACATATTCCATCTTCCATCAACATGGCAGCGGTCCCCGTCCCCGCGCCTGCCTCCCTTCTAGGCCGGCACCGCATCTTGTCGCCCACTGCTGGCGTCAAGGTCTCTCCTCTTTGTTTAGGCGCTATGAACTTTGGCGACGCATGGAAAGACTTCCTTGGCGAATGCACCAAGGAAACCGCCTTCTCTATCCTCGACTACTTCTACAGTCAGGGCGGCAACTTCATCGACACGGCCGTAAACTACCAATTCAACCAAAGCGAACAGTGGGTCGGCGAGTGGATGGAGAGTCGTGGGAAGAGAGATGAGATGGTGATTGCAACAAAGTTTACAGGCAACCAGATGAGCCATGTCCAAGGCGTGTTACTGAGTAACTTTGGGGGAAACAGTGCGAAGAATATTCATACGAGTGTGGAGAGGTCTTTGAAACAACTGAGGACATCATACATTGATATTGTGAGTCTCTATAGCTAAGGCCTGACCGTCTCCTTCATGGGAACTTGGTATGGGCGAAATTCTATATCTAATGAAGCTGAATAGTATTACCTCCATCTCTGGGACCACTCAACGTCGATTCCGGAAATCATGCATGCCCTCAATGACCTGGTCACATCCCGCAAAGTAATCTATCTAGGAATAAGTGACACCCCGGCCTGGATCGTCGTCAAAATGAACGACTATGCACGACACCACGGACTTCGCCCCTTTTCGTTATACCAAGGTCGCTGGTCAGCCGCCGAGCGCGACTTCGAGCGCGAAATCATCCCAATGTGCATGGAAGAAGGAATGGCGCTCGCACCATGGGGTGCAATTGGGGGTGGATACTTCAAGCCCAAGGAGGAGTGGGGAAAAGACGGGTCTCGGACGTTCACTGGTGGGGCGACAGGCAAGGAAGAGAAGGTCTCGCTGGTGCTGGGCAAGATTGCTCAGGCGAAGGGGACGCTGATAACTTCCGTGGCGCTCGCCTACGTCATGCACAAAGCGCCTTACACATTCCCCATCGTCGGTGGCCGTAAAGTGGAGCACTTGAAGTCCAACATTGAGGCTCTTGGCTTGCGACTCACAGATGAGGATATGAATGAAATCGATAGTGCATATGGGTTTGAGATTGGATTCCCACACAATTTGCTCAATCCGGAAAACAAGATGTTGTTGGGTCCGGAAGACAATCGGTTCAACCAAAGGTCAGGATATTTCGACTATGTGATGAAACCGAAGCCAATTGCGCCGCATAAGGGGGCGTTAGATAGCCAATTCAAGGAGATTCCTCCGGCCCCATAGGATCTGTAATAGAGAGCAAGATGGCAGTGGAAAGAACAGCAGCCACTTCTAGTGCTGAATTTTGAGGTTAACTCGTTCGGCAGGAATTATATTTCAATGAATTATCTTCTCCTTCAATATTACGATAATATATTTCATCTCGCAAGACCTACAGTTTCCACGTAAGAGTGCTACCCCTCGCATTTAGACAGAATATTCAACACGTACCTTCTTCCGCTAAGGCCACTTGCGTGCTTGCACAGCTCAGAGTGTGTAAAAGCATTCTAGAGAAGACTCAAAGCTTAGAACAGAGCAGTTGCAAGGGGTTAAGGCGCAAATATAGCTGAGAACACTAGGAACTTCAGCCTCGTATAGTTCCATACCTGACAGGATATTATACAGTGGAAATACATGCCTTCATTAGCTCGCAGATATCAGAGCCAAACACGGTACACCAAAAGCCTCCTGTTATATGTTCCTGGACAAAGTCCAATCTCGGGCCCGGCAGTCGCCTCGGTCACAGAACCATGCGGCATTGGAAGGACTTCGAAGGATCCCACCTAGTCCGGCAAACCTTCGCTGCTCAATAAAATATTGCCGTCTTTATTCATCTCGACCCCACATCTCCTTCCTCCTCGCCCTATCCTCCCTCGCCATCCTCCTCCTGGGACCCCACCTTTCCCTGGCTTGTTGATGCTCCGCACTAACCCTCTCCGCCTTCTCGGGAGCCTTGACCACCATACTAACAAAAAACTGGCTGCATCCAAACTTTTCCGCCAGTTTGACCCGCGTCCAGGTATTCGGGTTTTTAGTCCTCAGTTTGCGAATCTCCTCGATATCCTCCTCCGTGAGATGGTATTTCTTATTATAAGGTTGTCGGACAGGCGACGGAAGAGACACGGAAGGTATTGGTGGCAGCAATGAGGACGTTGCAAGGGGCGTACCGGGCTGTGCAACAGAAGAAGCCTTCTTGCGGAGCGCGGAGTGCGTGGATACTGTGAGGGCGTCCGAATATAACTGTCGTCTTCGGTCGTTTTGGGGGAGAAATTTAAGCGGAGTGTGGTATACGTTTGGTGCAGATGATGGTGGATTGAAGACTAAGGTCGGCGCGGAGCTGTCGGGGGTATATGAAGGAGCTTCAGGGAGGTGCAGGAGTTTCTTGTGTCTCCGTGTTGACGACTCATGGCGACATTGGATGAGGGGAAGGGGATATGGCCGTGAGGTTTTGGAACATATCCTGGCCAGTGTTTTGCATGTGGACATTGTGCAGTTGGGACGGAGGGATGAAGCCGAGCTTGAATGAGCTTGAATCATTAACGAAAGAAAGTTTTTGACGGGGTCGGAGAAACAATTTTGCATCATCACTCTTTGATTGGCCAATCGTACCACGACACTGATCCTGCCCCTGCCCCCAGCTCAATTATACATATTGTCGTAGAAAGCCCAAATGATTGGATGATTGAATAGAGCGTAATCTTTATTTATTATGTGCAGAAGCGTCGTCCATGGTTACCTTCTAGTAAGACCAGATCTCGCATCAATGTGATGTGACTGACTTCAGTCTGATCTAAACCATCAAGCTCAACCATTACATCGTAGGCTCCCCAGCCACATAGTGCAGATAGGCTCCCAATAGCTTAATACCCTCAATGTAGTTCCTCTTATCTAGCTTCTCGTTGATCGAGTGCGCTGCATCCGTCGAGCTTCCCATCGGCAATAGAAGCACGTTCTTCCCGAGCTCCTCCTGGAAAGTGAGCGTTACTGGAATGCTGCCTCCTTCCCTCGTCATATCCGGCTTGACTCCAAACACCCTCTCCACCGCCTTCGCGGCTGCCGTGTAATTCCAGTGTTTCGGATCCTCTACCCACCACTTACCGCAGTGCACAACGTTGAACTTCATCTTATTCTTTGAATTTAGCTTCGCCCACTCCTCTTCAACGTGCTTCTGAATAAGCTTGGTCACGTCATCGATCTCCATATTAGGCACTGTGCGGATAGAAAACTTTCCGATGACTTTGGCAGGGATGACGGTCTTAGCCCCGGGAGTGTAGAAGGCACCTTCGATACCGTGTAGTGAGATGGACGGGTATCGCATCTTATGCATGAGTGCCTGGTCTTTATTGGCGTGAATGGCAACCTCGTTGCCCAGCGACTGATACAAATCTTGCATGGTAAAGGCAATCGGGGGATACAGCGCGGCCTCCGCGTCGGTCAACGGAGCAACTAAGTCATCGATCCCCTTGACGAGAATCTTTCCATCTGGGTTTACGAAGGAGTCCATGATCCTGATCAGATCGGTCATGGGCTCGTGCGAGACGCCGCCATATACACCGGAATGGAGGTCTTGTCCCGGGCCCGAGACTTCGACAGAGTAGTAGTTGCAGCCTCGAACGCCATATGTTAAACACGGCTTCTCTGTCCCTAGCCAGTAGTTGTCCGAGATGCAAACAACATCCGCATCCTTGAAGAAACCCTTCGCCTCGGCTCTGATGGTATCATCCAGCCCTTCAGACCCGTTCTCCTCCATGCCCTCGAAACACATTATCAAATTGACCGGTAGCTCGACGCCTGCCTTCTGGTGCGCCTCGATTGCATTCAGCCAACCCAGAACTGGCCCCTTGTCGTCGGTGCTGCCTCGTCCAAACATGCGTCCCTTGTCGTCGATGGAGAGGGTGAAGGGATCCGTTGCCCAGCCATCGGACTTTTGCGCCGGTTGTACGTCATAGTGGCCGTAGATGAGGACGTTGCGTTTCTTGGGGTCGTCGCCGTAGCGGCCGAGGAGGCAGGGGGGGAGGTCGAGGTGCTCGTGGCCAGGCTGCTTGCCCAGTTGACGGAGCTCAACGGTACCACCGAGGGCGCGAATCTGGGCGGCCAGCCATTCACCCATCTGTTGCCATGGTCAGACTTGATCGGAACAGCGGAAGAGCAGGTCATACTTTCACTACGTCGGGTCTCTTGGCATCTTCGGAGCTGATGCTAGGGATCGCAACAGCTTCTCGCAGCCGGTCGATGAACTTGTCCTGCAATCTGTCCACCTGCTGGAAGTACGAGTCGAGTTGGGGTGCCATTGGATCGAAGTCGTGGTACAAATAGGGCCAAACCTTGGCAGGTCGTCGAGAGCGTGGAATGGATGCGAAGCTTCTGAATCTTGTAGAGCAGGTGATGTTGTAGCCCCAGAATGAGAGGGCGGCTACTTGCAGTGGATCAGCAAGGCGGGCGGATGAGAATCGGGCAGGTGACTGCAGGAAGGTGCCATGGAGGGGCAGGCGGGGCATCGTTTGTGGTTGGATGAAAACGTCACTGCGACGGGAAAAAGATCAAGCCCGAATGTACATGGTCAAAGCTCCGGTTGGCTTCAAGACATGCGAATAAGCTATGTACAGCACGCAGATATCCTCGCAAGATCAAGTCAAAGATGAAGTACAAACGTGAGATGCCAGTGGAAGGAGATTAACCCAGAGCCTGCAAAATCCACCAAAGCGCTAGCTATGCCTTAGAAGAGCGCTCAGAAGAGATGTCGAACGAAACAGCAAAACAAAAAGATGCAAAGCAATCCAGTAGTACATGGGAAAAGAGATGAGATGCATCCGAGGAAAAGCAGACCAAAACATTACATTATTTGTTGACACCAAAATTAAGCGTGCCACGTAACAGCATAACAAACGCCCTGAAAGCAGCAACCCTATCGTTCCGTAGGACTGAGCACATCCTCCTTCTTTCCGGTGAACAGCCCAGCCGTTTCATCACTGCCACCATCTGCGCCAAAGTCTGGCTCTTTGAAAATAGGCGTCGTTGCAGATTTCTCCGTAGAGGCTGGCTCTGGGCTCTTCACATCAGTCTTGCTTCCACCCTGGGTTAATTGATCCAACTCGTGTGGCGAGCTTCCCCCACTAAGAGGTACATGATGGTGCACAGAAGTCTCCCTCTTTGGGATCGAGTGCTCTGGCAGCTCTCTCAATGGCGGTTGCGAATGCACTGGCGCTTTCAAGTGCTCGAATTCGAGGACCGAGGATCGGCGAAGCTGATCGAGCCTCTCTTCAGGATTCTTGATGTACAAGATCAAGTCAGCTTCTGAGCGCCTGGATTCGAATAATTATGCTGAAGAAGCGATTACAGGTTGAGTATCAGATGGAGAAGACGAGGACTCGCTCAAACCAGGGGGAAAGTATGACTTGGGCGAAAGTAGAGCAGGGTCTGTTAAAGATGCTAACGGGGCTCCACGAGGGCTGACGCCGCTTCGAGGATTGACTTTGAGTGGGCTGCTAAGGGTCTTGGTTGGGCTGGCAGGGCTGCTTTCAAGCGGGCTAACTTTTGGTGGGTCAAGTTCAGGCAGAGCTGTTGTAGTGGGTTCGCTCTGAACAGCAGTCGCAAATGCAGTGGTAGGTGAAGGGGTCGCAAAAGCTGTGGTGGTGGAAGTAGTCGACGACTCTCGCCGAGGACGAAAATCTGCAGCGCTAACAGAGGAAAACCCGCATTGGGGACATACCCATTCGGCCTGATCCGGCACTCCTTCTGCTGGTGGCAGCTCACCTGCCACATCTCTCTCCTCGCCCCAGAACGTAGGTCGCCTCACAGGCGCCGGCGTTACTGGGAGACTTGGTCGTTCAACTGCGGATGGGAAATCAGTTAGGATTAGGCTCTCGCGTCGCTCTTTACGGCTTATGGAAGGCGAAGGTATCTCTTCTCCTCTCGCTTGGTGAAGAACCTGCGGTTTACCGCGTCGGTTTTGAGCTTCCATGATGGCTCGCACATAGGTGTCGATACCAGGCACCGTGTCCCATGCATTGACGTTGCTATGCTGGAACTCCTGCCATTGTTCGTCAGCTGTTTTAGGCGAAGAAGAGCGCGGAGGACTGGTAGGTCCTGCAGTTTGTACTTCTTCCTGGATCGGTGTCCCACCCTCCTCATAGTGAACCGTTGAGAATGGATGCGTAGATTGCGTAAAAGCCGGTGCCAGCGATGGCATCGGCGGTGGGGGTAAGTCTTCAGCAAATACACGGGTAGGCTTCGGGCGGTCGGGTTCTCGTTCCCAAGGGAAAATGGGTTTAGGTTTCTCCGCTGGGGCTGGTTTGGTCTCAGGGACTTGATACCACATGTCTTTGGGGGGCTCAGGGTATGATTGGGGCGCGTGAAATAGCTCGCGACTCTCACTGAACTCGTATGTCTGGGTGGGGAAATGGACGGCTTCGGGTTTGGATTCCGCCGGGGGTTCAAACCTGGCCAGTAAGATGATGTATTGGCAAAATTATTGTTATCAAACTCACCGAGTAGCATCCCATTCCATCTGTGGAGCGGAGAACCTCCGTTGTTCCACGGTCGGCGTCGGTTCTACCACACCTTGGTCAATATTCTCTGCCAAATCCCCGGGGTCAGAGAAGGATTGCTCGGTTGTGGTTACAGGCCCCTCAGTCTCAACAATCTCGGGTGTAGGGGTGATGTGGGAGATTGAAGAGGTACCAAATTCGGTGCTCGTCGCCTCACCGTGAACATGTTCTTGAACAGTCGAAGAACGGCGGTCCGAGGACTCATAACCCGCTTGAGCAGTAGCTGCGGTCTCGGCCGCGGGTTTGAGATGCCTGTCATATACAGCCCACCACCGAGCCAAAAGTTCGTTGTAGACCCCCGATCCTCCTGGACCCGAGCGTCCTGTAGACCACGGCTTGTTCTTGCCGATGAAATGGACGGCACTGATGTCTCGTTTGTAGTATCGATATGCTGGCTCCCACTGATACTCTGCATTCGGCGTGCAATTGTAGGTGAAGCTGAGCCGGTGCCAGTTTCGGTGCTCATAGTACTGGTTCAACAGACCTTGGTCGGCGCCATCAAAGCTGTCTCCGGATGCCGCCATTGTTTGCAATGCCCAATAGTCACCCATGTTCGGGCTGATGACCATGACACCGGTGTTGAAGGCATCTGGCCAGCCAATGTCTGGGGCTGCAGCGAAAGGGACGTCCAGGTCGAATAGCTCGTCTAGGGCGCGAAGAGCGACCACGTCTGCATCAATGTATACGATTTTGCGGAACTGGACCTGCCTCCACAGAGCTATCTTTGTGAAAGCAAAAGCAAGATCCGGACGGCCCATCAGGTAGAGATTCGCAAGATTAGGGCTTTGGATGCGTTCCACGGGGATTAGGTAGTCATACAATGACTATGAGCAAGACAGGTTAGCATACAGCTCGGGTCCACGCTTCTAGTACGCACCTTGAGCTCAGAGATGGTGTCGGTGGACAGCGTGTCCATCGTGACGAGGACAGCAAGCTTCTTGGTGGTGCCAGCATCTCGTAAAGAATGTGCAAGCACAGCAGCGCCTAAGTTGCGCATCAGTCAAGTTTCTCGGGTGGATAGACAGTGAAATGCATGTACCGGGCAGATAAGAATCACTCATGAGCAGCTGCAGGACGATCAGTTCGCATGCTTGTGCGACGTGGGGCGGGTCTGGAATACCGTGCAGTAAACATCCTCCAAAGGCCTCGCCATGGCGGGAAGTGAGGGAGCGGAGGGAGAAAAATCAGCTGCAAAGCCGCAAATCTGCAAATCTCCAGTCACGCGGAGGTGAAGATAAACGAGTGATGGGTGAATCTGCGCAGCTGTTAGGAGCTTCCCCACCTTCTTCGACGTAGTGAAGGTGTGCCGATCACACGAGGAGATGTACCGAGAATGAGCGACGGCGGCCGTGGTGCGCGGTGCAGGCCAATTGGTTCAGATAAAGGACATATTTTACAGTCGAGAGCTGGTGAAGACGAGAGACAGCAGCTCACAGTGGTGACTTAGGAGTGAGAAGGCAAACGAGGAGGCGTGACGGGCGGCTGCTCCGCAATCTCGTCTTGTTTGCAGACGGAAAGGCGTCCCGCATGTTTGGCTCGCAGCACGAGCAGGAGCTTTGACGCAAAGTGACACGGCCAAGAGAGATGGCGCAGTGCAGTTTGCTGACTTTGTGAATCTCGTTAGCCACGCCGGACACGTTTCCACCCTTTTCGAGGCTGTTGCAGCCGATGGTTTCGAGCCTTCATCACTTTGCATCCGCGTCAAACTCGACCTTCTCGACCTTCTCGACAGCCGTGTTAGAGTGCTACTCGTCGGCTAATACTCCGTACATGATCTGATGTGACAGAAACGGCCCATCCATGGATGTAAGAACCGAGGGCACAGGCCAATTCGTTATTACTTGTACTCGTCTCCGACCGTCTCCTTGGCAACATCGGCCCTTTTCCGCAGGGATGGCATTTCGATTGAGCATCACTCATTAACAGGGTTGTTCTCCACGAAGACATGATACCTCTTGCAGGGCTTCGTAAGGACTGGAAGGAGTAGTCCTGAAAGCAGGATCTGGTCCTCTCATCTTCCCCTCCGTTGTGCCACCGGATGGATACAGCGAGGACCGAGCAGGTGCCCGCTTCCCTCAACAACACGTCCCTCACATCTCTTTCAGCGCCGTTATGGGGGTTTCATTAGACGAAAGCTTGATTTAACATGCTCCAAGCATGATTCAGCGGACACTAACTAATTCATTCCGCTAAACCTCTTTCATGGGCCACAGTCTTCCTTTCTTAGACTCGTGGCATGCATCTGTCCGTTTCGCTAATGATTCATCATTCGTCCAATCCAACGCTTCTGATTGGTCACCACAACCTTGATCTCCCGTTGATGACAATGACGACACCATACATTCCACTCCTTCAAACCTGTGCTATCTTTTAGACGTGTCTTTCTTCCATCTCCAATTCCTCATGATATTCAGCCACAGTATTCACATATAACTCCCGCCTCTCCCTCCAATCCCCTCACTATTCTCCTCCCAAATGCCTACCTCCTCACCCAGAGTAATATATTGGTTCCGCACAGACCTCCGCCTGCACGACTCCCCGGCCCTCATCCACGCCCTCTCCCTCTCCCCCTCTATCCTCTACCCAATCTGGACCTGGGACCCTTACTACGTCTACCACTCGCGCATCGGCTCCAATCGCTGGAAATTCCTGCTGGACTGCCAAAACAATCTCTCCGCCTCCCTCACAGCCCTCAATCCCAAATCCAAACTCTTCGTAATAAGAGAGGCACCGCAAACGCTGTTTCCGAAGTTGTTCAAGGCGTGGGGTATTACGCATCTTGTGTTCGAGAAGGACACGGATGCGTATGCAAGGGAGAGGGATGGGAGGGTAATTGAGTTGGCGAGGGAGGCGGGGGTGGAGGTTATTGTAAAACCGGGGCGGACATTGTATGATTCCGATGAGCTTGTGAAGGAGAACAAGGGCAAGCCTACGATGAGTATCAATCAAGTTCAGGCTGCTGGAGCGAAGATTGGAGACATCCCTAGACCTCTACTCGCGCCGAAGTCTCTCCCTGATCCTGGGGAAACTGATTTGGATTTCAAACAAGAGAGGCCGAACCGTGATCATGATGCCAATTCTAATCCAAGGAAGGAAATCGAGAACACGTATTCTGCGCTGGCGGGTCCAAACGGCGATTTCGCTGTCCCAACAGTAGCAGAACTGGGAATCCAAGAAGCGTCGACACCTCATCGAGGAGGAGAGACAATAGCGCTCAAAATTTTAGACGAAATTGTTGCAGACTCAGACTACACCGCAACATTCGAGAAACCAAAGACAGCCCCAACGGCTTTCGAACCCCAAGCTACTACACTCCTATCCCCGCATTTGCATTTTGGCAGCCTCAGCTGTCGCGAATTCTACTGGCGTGTACAAGGCGTCGTTGACAAGTACAAAGGCAAAGCCTCGCAACCGCCCACAAGCCTCACAGGCCAGCTCCTATTCCGTGACATGTATTTCGGCGCGCAAGCGTCGTTGAATTATTCCTTCAGGCAGACATACAACAACTCGCAATGCCGGTTTATTCCGTGGCATCTTCCTTCCGAAATCGACTCCAAATCTGGCCTCATTACTGGGAAGTATCACATAGATAACCAGGAAGCATTGGAGTGGTTCACACGTTGGCGAGAAGGCCGGACTGGATTCCCCTGGATCGATGCGCTGATGCGGCAGTTGAAACAGGAGGGTTGGATACACCATCTAGGTCGACACGCTGTAGCCTGCTTTCTTACTCGTGGCGGATGCTACGTGGATTGGGAAAGAGGTGCAGAGGTCTTCGAAGAATGGCTGATTGATCATGAAGCTGCATGTAATATTGGAAACTGGCAATGGCTGTCGTGTACGGCTTTCTATTCCCAATTCTACCGCTGCTATTCGCCAATCGCATTTCCACAGAAGTGGGATAAGGAGGGTAAATTCGTGAGACGTTATTGTCCAGAGTTGGCGACGTTTGATGCGAAGTATATTTACGAACCGTGGAAAGCGCCAATCGCGGACCAAAAATCCTGGGGTTGCTTGATTAAGGGTGATGGAGAGCAAAATGAGGAAGGGAAATTTATGGTATATCCAAATCCGATGTTTGATTTTCCAGAGAGGAGGGATATCTGTATACGGGCGATGAAGAACGCATATTCCGTTGGTTTGTATGGCGACGATCCAAGGGTAGTGGATGGGAGCTGGAGAAAGTTATTCAATAATGCGGCAGAAGACCTAACGGAAGGAAATGATGGGCCGCCAGGTGCCATCGTGAAGCATGAGGAGGTCGTTGGAGAAGAGGGGGAACATGGAGAAAGGCGGAGTTTACCGAAAGCGAAGAAAATTTTGGGCGGAAAGAAGGGCCATAAGAGGGATGCGAGTCAAGGGACGTTGGATGGAATTGTGACGAGGAAGAAGAAGAAATGATAGCTGGGTTCTGCCCAGGTATTGGGCTGATTGCCCTGACATCAGCTGCAGGATGTCAGTTTGTCATAGAATTTCGAATCCTTATGCCCATGGATATTGTCTTTAATTTTGCAGGATGTCACCGCCTCGCCCTTAATTTCTCCAGCTCCCTCAGTTTTCGAACCTGTTCCGTCATCTTTGACACGTCTCCCATTCCTACGAGACCCTTCCCCACTCCAGAGCCTTGCCCTTCCCCCCTACTATTCGTATCTCGGCACCCCACACCCTGCTTCTTGTTGCCCTCTGCATGTGCACTCTGTGATGTACTCTGTTCCCGTGAGGGAGCCTCGTACTTTTCGGGCTGTAAGATGGTTTGATCTGCCTTTGCCAACCCAACATCAATCTGGAACTGCTCTAGTAACTCCATCAGCATATCATCTCCAGACAAGGAAACCACTTTCCCCCCCTAAATGCGGGGCACACAGGAAGCCGTACCCCATGAAATCCCCATACCTCTCACCGCTTCCACCACTGCATCCCTCGCTTTCTTTCGATCTCGGATTTCCATCTTTGCAAAGTCATCTGCGTCCTTCTCAACCGTAGTATCCAAAGACGGCGAGAGTAAAGATTGCGTTACGACACGTGATATAAGTTGACGATATTCGGTTTGTTCTTGTGCTGCCTCTCGCATCAGTACTCAAATGTCATCGAGGGAAACAGAAAGAGGTAAGAAAGTACTTGGAGTTTTGGCATTAGTTAACGACCACGGAAATGGCATTTTACGATGTGGGTATATGACTGAAGGTATTGAGGCAAAAGCCGCGAAAGAAGTTGAAGTATTGTAGGCGAGGTAGAGGCCGCGAGTCTGCTCATTGTATGTTTCGCTGGTAGCGGTTTGGGTGACGGTTGACTGACTAGGAAAAGCTAACCGCCGAGAGCAGCTCTTTCCGCCTTCACCGTTGTACTGAAGAGGGAGAATGGAGCTAGCCCGCCGAACGAATTGGAAATCGAGGAAGTGCAACTGGAGGGATTAGATGGCGGATCCTACCTACCCAGGAAACTTAGAAGGTGGGAGGAGGCCTGGCGCTTCGAGTGACGTCCGGAAAGGGCGCAGAACGTAATTCCTGTAGCTGCTTCTCACTACCATAGACACGCATCACAGTAGTAGAAACGCGTGTTAGACTGTATGGACTTTTTGACCTTGAAAATACATGCACGCACTTCCATCTCACCTTCCCAAAAACCCAACCATCCCCCGAGACATAACAACATTGCAACCATGTCCAGGACAGCGGGTCTTCTAAACGCCCGAAACCCTCATAAATATATACAACCGAATGGTAAAAGCTTTGGGATCGCTTGCGTCTAGATTGACACAACCGCCCTAGGATCTGGGGTATGAAACACGCACCAAATCAGTCTGGCGTGCCGGAAGAGAAACAACGAAAAAGTACAGGTACATGAGGCTCAAAAGAGTGAGCGAGACAAAGACAAAAAAACATTAGGTTGACCACCGTAATGCGGTCGGTATTAAGGAGTGTGGGTGAATGAGTGGGTGGGTATGTGCTAAAGGGCCGTCTTTGTGCAAGAGATCCAGGCGTTTTCCGGCCGCCAATTTTAACTCCCGGGTATACAAGGGAGCCCGCCAGATAGGCCTTGAAAAGGAAAGAAAAAGAAACGCGGAAGCTTGTGCACGTGCATGTCTTCGCTCGCGTCGGCGGATCTCGTCAAAAGAAATGACGCCGAAAGGACAGGCTATAGATACAACCGGACAGGAATATCAGATCATCATACATCTTCCGTGAACCGAGATCCTCTCGATCCATCGAGGGAGGGATGGCTCCTTCCCAGGGTGCCTCTTGGAATTGTGTCCGGGTTTGGGCTGTGAGGAGGGCTGAAAGGGGTACCCCCTCCATTTCGGCTAGCACCAAAAGCTGGCGCGTCCTCGGGGTGGTGGATGATGGGTGTTCGGGCCGGGCTCGGCATTATTCGCTCTTTTGTACCCATTGCGCCTGAGCTGGAAGGGTCGCCAGCCTCTTTGCCAAAATCTTTGCTGGCAGCACCAGCCACCACGCCTGGACCACCATAGAAGCCCTGCTCGTCGCGGTAGAATGATGATCCAGAGAGTGCACCCTCTCCACGAGCAAACTGTTCTGAGGTCATGCCCTCGCTGAATGCTGAGGGGAGCTTACGACCGGATATTCGCTGGAAGCCCTTCTCACCTGTCGTGCTAGTGTCTGCCGTTGACCTAGATGCGCCTGAGAACCGATTGAAGAAGGCCGCAGCGCCTCCTCCCACGATGCTGCTGCGGCCAGCAGTCGATGTCGTTGCCATCTGCTGTCCTGACGACGCGATAGGCTGGCTATCGGCGGTGTCATTTCCAGGCAATTGAAGGGCTCCCCGGCGTTGCTGGCGTTTGTGGCGTTTGATGAGGAGCAGCAGTAAAACTAGAAGTATAGCAGCGCCAGCAAGACTACCGACGACGCTACCGACTACCTTGGGTGTGTCCAGGGAGCCACTATTCGGGCCCTGTCTATTGGCAGCGGAGACTGTTGTGGCAGCTGGAGGTACAGCTGTGTTTGCTGGGCGGCCTCCTCCCCCGCCTCCATCCGGAGCTCCAGAGGATGCGGCGGCTGATGAGGTGGGGATAAGCGAGGTTGATGATCTGGTTGATGATGAAGATTGTGATGAAGATGACGAGGATGATGACGAGGATGATGACGTGCTATTTAGGGTCGAAGTAGATAGGAAGGTTGAAGACGAAACGGTGCCTACGCTTGGTTAGACTAGTAGAGAGGGTGCGTGGGGGGTGCGTGGGGTTTGTGCTCACTGGATGTTGTGGAATTAAGGCCATACGACGACGCTACTGTAGGCATACCAGAGTTAAGCACAGATGTCGGCACAAGTGACGATATGACGGCTTGCGAGCTTGGTCCGGCATTCTGAACAGATGGTACTCCAGAGGGGAATGGATATGCAGGGACCGATGGTAGAGAGACAGTGGGTGCTGCTGGTACTGCTGGTACAGTCAGGTCGCTTGGAAACGGAGGTAGTGATGGGACTGATGGAACAGAAGGGACCGAAGGGACCGCTAGCACCGAAGGTGCTGGGGTAGCCGTTATTGTCTCCTGTCCGATCACATTTCCATTAGCATCAATTGTGGCAATCACATCCACAATGATGGTCAATACATTTGTAGGTGCATTTTGGGCCTGACGGCGATGGAACATGCGATGTGCCCGTCCCATGACTGCTCGGCCCTTCTGCTCCCGTATCAACAGCGGTTCGTCGACGTCGTCTAACAACGGCTCCTCCTCTTCCTGTACAATTTCCGGCTCCTGTTCCTGTGCAAAATCCTCCTTGAGAGACACGTCCTCGGCGAGATGTCTGTAGCGTAAATCAATGCGTGATATTTTCGATGGGCGAGGGGACAAGTCCATAAGTTATTGAGATGGCTAGCGCAATTCGGGCGCAAGAATAATCCCAACAATTTCGGTGGCAAAGTCGATATGCGGGCGGAACATGTGTTCAAGTGAGCGTACAAGTTGGTTGGCAATTCTCAATGGCGATGGTAATGAGCGAACGTTGGGCTTTGGCCAGTCGAAGGTCCAGTCAATGGATACAGGGCTATGTGCGCGTGGTGAGAGAGCGTGGGAAACGAATGGACGCCAGGCGGGCTGGCAGTTTTGTTCGAGGGAGCGACCTAGGCGCGATCAGCGACAGCACTCCAATGGGATCGGCGTAGTAGATGAAGTCACAAATAGAGAGGCATCATACGAAGAGCCTTGGAGTGGTATACACACCTGGAGTTGGATCAATGGACCAGCATTCGCTTTGGTATTATAGCACGCGCGTGCAAAAAGAAGCGACGGAACGCTTTATTGCAGACGGGATCCTGCTGTGCTCAGATGCCACGGCCGGGGGCCTGGGGGGAGGGTGCGAGAGGGCTGGCCGAGCAGTCGTGGAGTCGTGGCTCCTCCAGAGCGGGAGCGCTGGAGAAGGGCAATTGTCGACGTCGCAGCGGAGGCCGTGGTGGAGAGACGAGAGAGGCCACGGGCGTGCGCGAGAGCAGCAGCAGCAGCAGCGCAGAGAGAGGAGAGGAGAGAGAAATGGAGGGCTGGCACGGGCGGCGATGGGCGGTGATTGGCCAGGGTGCTTGCCCGAGGGCCGGGATCTGTCCCAAATGAGACGACAATCAAATTTCGTTTTGCGGCCTGAAATAGACACGGGCCCTCTCTCGCAGCGAGAGATGACGACGGCGTGCGGCCGGACAGCGATGCAAATAACGATATGGTGGTGTTAAGATGTTTCGCAGCGAGTGTTGTTTGGGATATGATGATAGTGCTGGGTGCTATGGTGAGGGGTTTGCAAGTGGTCATGGTTGTGTGGGCGCGCTGTTTCCTGCGGTAGCTTGGCGGGAAGGGCGCGCAGGAACAGGTTCAGCAGCCACGACTCTTGCCGTCCCGCGTGCAGCAAGCCCGACCCACTTCCCCCAACGGACTTTTCAGACCTCCCCCCAGACGGACGCACCAGACACACACCACACACACCACACACACCTCACACACGTAGACACCGACGTAGACTGCTAGTGAGAAGTCTGTTATTCTGGTCGGCGGCTGCCCCGTCCCCTTAATCACGTCCAATCTATCGTCTGACCTGATGGGAGTCCGGGCTCGCTGGAGGAGCGAACGAGGAAAGGCAATGTCCGCCCGTGCCACTCAATTGCCTCCTTTCGCATGTCCGGCAGCCCCACCACGGTTCCCAAGACTTCCCCCCAGATCCAGCCTGATCACGCGCCTAGCTGCTGACATAAGCCCACACGCCACACCGTTTATCACGTGGTGAATGATGCTCTGGGGCTGGGGCGCACAACCCACAGCCCCCACCACACACCACGCCTTGCTTTTGGTGACGGAGCTTCTCCAATTATCCTGTTTCGGCCAAGCACTCTAGCTTTCATCTGATCAAGACTCCAATTGCCCTCTTTGCAACTTGATGGACGTCGTCAATTCACAACCCCCCTTCCCAGCCACTCAAAATGCGTCGCCCACATATGACGTCCTCGCCAGGAGCCTCAAGCCACCCTGGTGAGCGCCCACCGCCCCTCCCCCCACGACCCTCGAGCGGCATCTACGCTCCCCATCCTGACCCTTCGCTCCTCGCCATGGCTTCCCACGATCCTCGCTCCTCCTCAACCCAATCCCTCGTCCCCGACCCCGCGTTTGATTTTGAAAATACAAGTCGGCGGCGGCTGCTCCTCATCTACATCCATGGCTTCATGGGCAATGAGACAAGCTTCCAGAGCTTCCCCGCGCATGTCCACAATCTCGTCACCATTACTCTTGCCCAGTCCCACACAGTCCATACCAAGATATATCCTAGGTACAAGTCGCGAGATTCCCTCGAGCTCAGGCGGGACGACTTCTCGAACTGGTACAATACTTCATCACCTCCCTGGATGTGAATGAGCTAACGCTCACTGTCAGGCTCGCTCCACACGAAACTTCATTCACGGACATTGTGTTGCTGGGCCACTCCATGGGCGGCCTGCTAGCCGCCGACATTGCATTGCTCTTCCGACATCATATAATCGGCATCGTAAACTTTGACGTCCCTTTCCTAGGTATGCACCCTGGCATCGTAAAAGCCGGCCTTGGAAGCATTTTCAAACCTGCGCCGCCTCCACAGCATCACACCCTGGAAGAGTTCGAATCAAATAATGGGAAGCGACCGAGTAGAATGAACACGCTATTCAATCCAAAACCAACCGATCCAAATTACAATCCATCCTTCTACAATGACATTAATCTGCCCGTGAGAAAAGGATGGGAAAATGCCTTACACTTTATGAATAAGCATTCAAACGGTCTCATCAGTGCTTCGAAAGGATTGGTAAAATCCCATTTTGAATTTGGCAGTGCGATGGCAGATTACCGTGGTCTCAAGGATCGGTATGCTAGAATACGAGCTTTAGAAGAAGACGATGAGCGAAAGAGACAATCTGCTAATCCCGAAGTTCCTTCACCGCCGAGGATACGTTTTGTGAATTACTATACTGCCAGCACCGGACGACTAAAGAAGCCCAAGACTCCATCCCCGTCGCGACCAGCCAGCAGGGCATCGCAACATGAATTGAATAGCACAGCTGGTCTGACCTCAGATTCCCAGCTTGCCCTAACAGCACCACCAGCTAAAGCTACCACTGCAAGTCCTCGTATATCTATTGAAGAGCATCGGGATGACGAGGTTGTCCCGGTCAGTCCCGAAGAGCCTCTTTCAGCAATCAGCCCTATGCGTACAAACGAGTCAATTGGCCCCACCACTACCACCTTGGAGCGCAATACAGGGCCGAATTTACCAGATATTCCGCCTATACCTAAGGAACCTCCGTTTGTCGATCTAGCTCAATACTCGGACAAAGCGGAGCGAAAAACGGCGGAGAAGGATCACACCAGAGCGTTGAAAGAGTATCAGCGAGCCGTGAAAGCGAGGAATGGCGTCATTAAACAGAGGTCACGAATAGAAGAGAAATGGGAGAAGCAAGAGCGGAAAGGCCAGGAGGTAGCAAACAAGGCCGAGAATGAGCATGGTACTGACAGCCTGGAAGAGGATCTTAGTGTGCATCTAGGGGGAGCAAACTACTCCCAAGACAATAACCGCAATGATCCGTATAACTCTTACGACTTCTCCCATAGCGCAATTCTCGCTCAAGCAGCCCCTGAAGACCGCTTCACCCTCTCCGAATCCACACCGCCTTCAACTCAATCGTCATACACTGACTCAGTTACTACCTTAACAACCCAAGATACTAACACCTCGAACCCCTCACCCTCAGCATCCTCACCAAAACCGAGGCGGTACAAGAAATTCTGTATGCTACCTCCCAAAGATGCAAACGGCAACAAGGATCCTGCATGGACATGCGTCTTCATGGAAGATATGGATGAGGTTAGCGCCCACTGCGGGCTATTCTTTATGAGCGAGACTTACGAGAGGCTAGTGGGGGATGTAGCGGCTCGGATTGAGGAGTGGGTTAGTGAGGCGGAGAGTTTGAGGGTAGTGAGGGAGATGGACGAATGGTCAATGGATTGAGAAAATGGTGGAAAATATGAGAGGGACGGTATGCATATGAACTATGCCAATGATAACATGAATAGACTATTAGAATATCCAAGACCTACAAAACATAGTTTTGCACATAGTACTGCATCCAGTCCATAGAAGTGCATACTTTAGAGGTAGTTGTGTGAAAAACAAATCTGAAAATGCTAGAAATGCAAACACGCAGTAATCGCATTCCTGCTCTTAAGGAGAGAGGCTCTTAGACATACCTCGTTTTTAGTATTATTCCGGGGTCGAACCAGCGTGTATTTAAGTAACGAAAATATACTCGCCATCGGCCCACCCTCGCTGATTGTTTTAATGGGCTGTTAAAAAAAACACCCCCAACTAATCAGGTCATCTAACCTGTAATAAAAATATTTGGTTAGGATATTATGACAGGATATACCCCCGAGGCCATTTCAGATTATATACACTCGCTTGTTTATCCTGCATGGGTCGAACGTACCTACCGACATAAATTGTAGTCAATGAAATACTCAATGTCGGCGCAATATTGATTTCGGGAGTGCATTAACCACTACAATATATGTTAGACGATGGCAAAAGAAGACTCTAGTTGTAGCATTCAAGCGTTCAATTATTTTCGGCGTCTTATTAGGGTTTGCTGTTCATGCGCTTGAATTTGCAGATTTCGCGTACTGGCCACAGCTCTCTCCTAAACAAACACCTCCTCTGGAAGAGAAAGTGCCCGCACGACAGCCCTCAAAGGATTCCCTACTTCCTGGCCCTACAAGGCCGTCTACATATACCTCTACGCTCTAAGAAACATCATCTCGCCCCTCCCTCACTCTACCATTCACAAAAACCTTTCCATCCCTACCCCAATTCACCTCCCAAAACCAAGATCCCCAAGCAGAACCCCATACCAACACATCCCCAGAAACCCTACTAAATTTACAAGCGAGCTAACCCCATGCAGCATTCCAAACCTCTTGTTCAGGGCCTGCATCTCCTTACTGTGCGGCCCCTTATCGACACTCCTCTTTCTATCCTTCGTCTCCTGATGTTTCCGCAGCCCCATGACTCGAGTCGTCTGGGGGCCCACATACAACATATTCGCCAATCCGGTTATCAGGATTGTTGTCATGAGTGTGAAGGCAAGTCTGTCGTCGGTGTTTTGTGCATGTTGGTTTGGAAGGAGTGCTACTGAGCCAGAGGGATAGGTCAATGCCATAAGGACGGGACAAACTGACTGCAGGATGAAGTAGACGGGGAAGGTATGTTTTTGGAGGGTGCTGAATTGGGGGCGGGGAAGGATGTGGAAAGCGATTATCCCCCCAATAAAGGATTGGAAGAGGGTTGAGCTGAGGAGGGTGCCGTAGCTGGATTAACCCCCGATTAAAAGGAAGGCTTGGGCATGCAATTGGGAAGTGGGAGTACCTTAGGAGGTGGTATGCAGCGGGATTCTGGAAAGAGGAGAGAGACGCCATGGTGGTTGTAGCGTTCTAAGGGTCTGAGCGCTGTGGTTGCTCACTGGAGGAGAGAGGTAGTTGTTAACGAAGAGGAGAGGTTATTGGGACTTGGAGGTTGAGGGTGAATGATTGAAGACGCCCATGCTGCCTGAAAGTCATTCAATTCCGAAACAATTCAACCCAGTTAATGCACGATAGTGATGTTATGCATTTCACTCTCATCCACACTAACTCCAATACAGTAACGCGGAACTGCCCCACCAGTCTACCACGTGTAAATGTTAAACGTCGAAACCTCGACTCTCCACTTACTCTATAATTCTCATCGACGACGTGTGCCTTGCTGGATATACTAACATGCTCCCGTCCCGAGTCGCTCTTCGCTGGCCTCTTGGCCAGCCACCCTCCCCCGAAGATATATTCTCGTCCGCACCCAACAACATCTTCACCAATGATTTGCAGAACCAACACGGCGACGACCCGTATACTATAGTTGTGTACAAGAACCAGGTACATGGAGAACTAGAGTTCAGAACGGCGGACGTGAACGGAGAAGAGCGCGGAAAGTTTGCACATTGTCTATGGAATGCTGGAATCCTAATGGCAGAGCTAGTAGGAGGAAGGGAGACAGAGGGGAAGGGAATGAGTGTGGATAGAGGTAATGGCGTGTATATATCAGGTGAGGAGGCGAATTGGGGAATTGAGAACTGGTGGGTCAGCAAGGAGGAAGAGCATTTGTGGAGTGTGAGAGGGGAAACAGTTTTGGAACTTGGAGCAGGTTGGACAGCCTTGGCTCATACATGATGAAAGAGATAGGCTGATGAATGTTTGTAGGAGTAGGATTGGCTGGCATCATGAGTGTCCTCTCGGGAGCTGAAAAAGTATGTGTTGTCACAATTTGATGGATGCTGGTATCAACTAATCTACCAAATTAGGTTGCTATAACCGACTACCCAATCCCCGCTATCCTTGATGCCATCCAGGGGAACGTTTGTAAAAACATCGAAGCCTCACTTTGGCCACTCGTGAGCATTGGGGGCCATAAATGGGGTTGCCTCGACACCCCCTTTGCTAAAGACAATGCCCATGGTTACACTCGCATCCTCGCAGCCGACTGTCTGTGGGTAACAAACGAGCACAAAGATTTGGTCCGCTCTATGCTCCACTTCCTCTCGCCTTCTCCTGACGCTCGAATATTCTGCATAGCCGGCTTCCACACTGGACGAACGAAGGTAGCGATGTTTTTTGAGGAAGTGGTTCCTGAGTCTGGACTGGAAATTGAGGAGTTGCTTGAGATGGACGTGGATGGGAAGAGGAGAGAGTGGAGGCGTGAGAGAGATGGCGGGACAGAGCATATCGGAGAGAGAAACAAGTGGCTAGTTGTGGCAAGGCTAAAGCAGTCCACACGCTGATCCGTGTCAATGTTGTGACGGGTAGAGACCGGCGACAAATACGACGAATTGTGTCCTCTGTCGTATTGTAATTCTCGATTTGAAGATAGAGTGAGATCTGCGTAGATACTCCCATCGTCGAAACAAATTGACCGAATGCGCTATCAAACCCTTCTCTTAAAACACAATGTGGACACTTTGCTCCCCGTCTTCCCGCCAAATGTAAAACTGGGATACTTTACCGCATCCTCATACACCAATTCTCCACCCTTGTCCTCGAACCACCCTCTTAGCTCTTCAGCTGTCCAATTGCAACTTGTGATTAGAAACCGCCCTCCGCTTTTCACTAGACTCTCTACTTTCTCTCGATACCCCTCGCAAATTCTTCGTCCCTGTGTGTCGGCGTCTTGAGAGAGACAAATAGCGTCGAACGTTCCCTTATCGAGAACAACATCAAAGCCATCGTGGAGCCAGGGACCGGGTGGTTGCGTAAGAATGTCCCATTCATGGAATTGCATGGCCTGGTCCTCGGGGTATTTCTTTTGGCTGATTTCATAGGCGAGTTGGATGCTTTGGGGTGAGTAGTCGATTCCTATCATTCCTCCTTCCCAGTCATCTCCTCGGAGGGAGAAAAGGAGGTGACCGTTTCCTGTCCCGAGATCAAGGAATCTGGTTGCTGTCTTTTCGTTTCCATCTTCTTCCTCGCATACGCTCTTGTGTAGTTCCCCCTCCTCCGCGAGAGTTTCTAGAAATGAGAGCACCCTCTCCTCAGCGCCAGCGTCTGAAAACCATATTGTGCCTTCGTCTTCTGCATTCGATGTGAAATTGCTGAGTTCTTGGTTGTAGGTGGCGTCCCAATAAGATTTTGTTCCGAGGACCGAGGGATCGAGATGTTTGGGCATTGTAGGATCCGTGGTAGGATGCGGCGAGATGGAGATGCGATACAGGATTGCGGGGAGAGGGATGCGTTAAGGCAGAGTCACGAACGCACGTGGGCAAGGTGAAAAGGAACGCGAGAAAGTTCGTTCGAGATTTGCTTATCGATAGTACCTGACTAGTCGGCTCCAGCTTCGAGTAACCGAATACGAGGTGGGTCTTCCAAGGGTTGAGAATGACGCCAGCGACAGGATCGTCACAGATCTTCACATCAACCTGACTTCAAGCATCCTCACCACCATCGAACATCCGTATCCAGCACATTCGACAGCACTATCAGGAATCCCTTCGTCATGCTGACTGTGGCTCCACTATTATGCCTCATCGGCGTGTCAGGCTACGGATTATTTATATCCTACAGCAACATCACCCGCCTCCAGAAATACGAAGAGCGGAGCGAAAGGGCCGCCGAGTGGTCGAATACTGCGGCAGAGAGACTGCAAAAGACGAGGACGACGCAGGGCGCTGCTGCGATAACTGTACGGATGAGCTTAATCATCTTCCTAATCGAATGCCGCCCTCCTCGCAGCCGCGAAGAGATACTTAAATACCCAAATATGTTGGGAGCTAACAGTTCAAAGGTATTACTTTCTCTTCTCACTTCTATGACCCTGCTTGTCCTTAGTCACGCCGAACACCACCAAATCGTCCTCGCTATTTCGCTTATCAACACTGCCATCTGCTTCGGAGCTCGTATTCACATGGCCAATTTCTGGAAAGAGAAGGTGCAGCTCCCGTTCATGGAAGCCTATAACGAGGCTATTCGAGGCTCCAACCAGTCAGTCAGCGTATTGACCATGTTGGGGTGGGGGTGGGTAGTTACAGGGCTTATTGGATGGCTCGCTGGGTAGCTATGGTCCTTGTTGGGAGTACTTGGGGATGCTGTTTCGACGGTTGGATGTTAGCTGGGCTGTTGGTGATACGGTGGTGAATAGGAAGATCAACAGAAATACCTTGTTCTGGTATTTAGTTAAAAAGAAAATTAGAGTATAAATGATATCGGGCGTGTCTACTCTCGGCTTACAATAACGTTCGGTCACCAAAGCGGATGTTCTATACCGACATACCGTAAAGCTGAAAGAAGTTCACGCCCAATAAGAGCCTAGTGCGAAGATGCGAGCAAAGAGCTAAACTGGCGGAAACGGATGCCCGGTAGTGAGACAGAAAGAACAGACGCCGGCCCAAACCGTGAAAACGTACATTGTATTATTAGATGGAGTTGGTGTGAGGATTTTCTAGAGCAACCTCTCTGTAGTACTCACAATATCTCTGAGTAACCGTTCCAGCCTCCTAGTCAGCGAGGGCCACTACTTTGTCCTTCCGCAGAGAAGAGTGTTGTCGAAGGACGTGATGACCCTTTTCTTTTTGTTATTTTATATTTTTTGTTTGGTTTTTAGGTTAGAACCCCTGGGACGGAAGTGCCAATCGTCTGAATCCGATGCAAATATAGGACGCTGTCTAAGCCACGAGGCTGAACTTACCCTGTTGCTTTGCGTGCTCTGATGTGTCTCTATGATATTATCGCCTCGGGCTCATGAGGCCTGGTAGCCATGATATTGAAGAGAGCACTGCATTGGCCGGAGCCTGTCCGGAAATCGATGAGACTTGGTGTATTTAAACAAGCCCCCACACCCATTTCGCAATTTCTAGTTATAAATACTGGTCCTCGATTAAGTTCCGCTCCACATTCGGCAGCTGAGAACATTAGAGATTCGGCATTGGGCGTTTGTCGTACGATTTATTGCGGAGCAGAGGGTGGTGGTAGGGACAGTTCGGATTTTCGAAGCATGGCTTGGGCTGGGTGGGAGAAGCAGATGTGAACATATCAGCTCTCCACAAGAATTGTCGGCATTCGAGCCTCTTACGCTTTGTATCTAATCTACTCGTACCCTGCATATTGCAGCAATATTGTGGATGGAAACTCTGACTTGGCCGGATGCCACCTGATTGGAAGCTGAAGAAAAGAAATCTTCAAGACAACATACCCACTATGGTAATGCAGAAACTACAGGAACTAGCGTTCCATAATGCTGCAGCAACATGATGGTGCAGTTCTTATTTTAAATATGCTCGTCGCCGTTTTCGATATTAAACTTCTTTACTGGAGCGGTGGGAAGGCGGACTTCATTGATGACTTTCTTATTTTCTATCCCCATAAACCAGGGATCGAAGAGGGTTGAGGACAGCCTAGTTTCAGCGTGTCGATCCGAAACCCTTGAGATGCTTCCCAATCAATGCCATGTTGCAGACTTCTCAATGTTGATGACAAACTGCGATGCTATCCGTACGCCTCTGCTCGTGACGACACTTCGTCGCTTAGTGGAAAAAATCGATCAACGAGTCGGAGACTTGGCGAGGTCGAGGCAAGCGGGACCAGAAAGTCTATCAAGCTAGCAGGAGACTCTGCACAACTACTTACACGGAAGGATCGTCGCGGCATCCGCTACAGGGAGCACAGAGATCACAAAATAAAAGGGAATAGTGAACGCCAGGGAAAAGAAGGAACGAGCAGATGGGAAAAGAAACAACCCTCTCCTGCGTTCGCACAAAACGCCTGTTCGTCCAAGGTCAGCTGCGTGGCGTGCTTGAAAACGACATCGTCAGCGGGACCCTAGCCACGACCCTAGCAATCTCACCACTGTGGCTAGCTTCTTCCAGTGCAAAGGCGGATTGTGTTCAAGACTTGAAGACTGATGGATGAGCGGTTCACTAAACACATGGACAGAAGATAAATCGTCAGAAAGATTGAAAATAAAAGTGTAGCGGAAGGCAGTTTGCCCTGCTCATCGGATCGGTAGGACTTTAATTACCTTCTGTCGGAGTTGGGGATGGGCTAGACGAATGACGACACGTCTATTTTTATGCACAGAGGAAGGCAGACGCAGGAGCTCTCAGAAGGAAACTGAGGGGAGCAGGACCCGCGTCCAGTGTGAGAATGCCTTGCTGTCTCCGTGTGAGGCAGGAACGGACGAGAGCCAAGAATTAATAGGACAGACATATGAGGACGCTCGCAGGCCTCACAAGACCGGCGCAATGGACGGCCAAACAGGTTAGTGGGCAATACCCAGTGACAACGTCGACGTCTGGCCAGGCTAGCGTGGCGCTGTGGGCGGTGGACCAAGAGAGACGTGAGGAAATCAGTGTTTCTAGGTGGCGCTGAGCGATGCTTTTTGCAGCCATTATTGAGGAGACGAATCGGGACGGGTGTTGAAACGACGCGCCCGAGATGAAACTCAACCTCAAGCGCTGGGCAGGAGAATTGCCACAGATGCGAGACGAAGCCGCGGGGACAAGGAAAGGGTGCAGTTGCTGGCGCAGATGATGGACGCGGACAGGCGCTGCATGATGGGGTGTACGATGATGGGGGGAGGGAGGGAGGGGGAATGGGAGCTTGCAGGCGTTAGCGGCCGCCGTGATGTGCGGAAGGGACGGGCAAGGGTTTTTGCCCTTTGGCAGCGCCGCGAGCCTGTGACGCCTGCCGCAGCGCCTGTCGAGCCTGCCCAGCGCGGCCCTCGTGCCTACCCTCGATGTCGCCCTCGATAGAGAGGAGTATTCGAATTGCAGATTAGGGACTCCGCTGAAATAGTAGATGACAGTCTTCGTCGTTTTTGCAAGTTGCGCTTGCCTCTGCACGACGTTGACGTTTAATCACATCCGCCACGCAGGTCGGCATCGGGGTGGACCCTGCCCAAGGCGGAGGATCCCTGTCCCCTCAGTGCAGCCGCTGGCTTGTTGGTCGCCTTCAACTCCTCCAGCACAATCGCAACGCACACTCTCTCCACCGCTCCTCTCTCCGCCCTCTCATCCGGTCTCCGACAAGACGATCCACTCCTCGTCCGTTCTCTCCAGCGTCAGACTATCACCGGGCAGCCGCGCCTCAACGGGCGTGATTTCTTGAGTGTCGGTGCTACCGGACAGCCCTCCGCCTCGTTTAGTGCCTCACTGTCGATCCGCGCAACCCTTCCACTCCTCCCCCCAAGAGCCCTTTTACGCCTCACACGCCTTTCACTCGTTGTGCCCTCGCCCTGTCTGAGTGTTCGAATGCTGCACGCTCCGTGAATCTCCCTCCTCCTGGGGTTGTTACTCTGCCGCTGCCTTTGTGCTGGCGAGAGGCCGCAAGTCGCTGGTCCGCTCCGTCACGACACCTTCAACGGCCGTGTGACCTGCCCAGGCACAATCTTCCAGCTCACTTGCCCCCCAGTTCTCGCTGCGTTTCGTCCTTTCACCACCCCCTCCAGCTCCCACACTCGGCCCGCACTTCCATCCACTCTCCTCCCACACCTCTGCATGATTGTGCAGGCTCGACTCTCACCCACGGTCTATGACCGCTACACCGACCATTCACCAGCAGCTACGCCAAGCCCTAGGCAGCTCCCTTCACCATGAACAACGCCAACTTCCCCATGATCCCCCGCGGGCAGACCACTATCCAGCAAAACTTCATCGGCCACTACCGTAACCAGCAACAGCAGGGGAAGATCCCCCAGGGCTGGCAGCAATCCGTCCCGCCTACCGAGCGCGCCCAGCTCGCCCTTCAGTTCTATACCTCCTTCCGTTTGCTCAAGCCCGAGGGTTCTGAGGCCGACGCAGTCCGCGTCGCCATCAACTTCGAAAGCCAGACCTTCGCGACGTCCCAGACGAAGGACTCGTATGCGTCCAACATCAAACAGAAGCTCATGCAAATGGCAAGCATTCGACAGCAGCAGGCTAACCAAGGTATCCCAAACAACCTTAATGGCATGAATCCCACACAAATGGGCATGATGGGACAGCCTGGCGTCCCTAACCCAAGGGCCAACCCGCAGCAGTTTCCTCAAGGTTTCCCTAATCCTCAATTGCAGCGGCCGATGCAGGCATCCCCGATCCCCATGTCCCAAGGACAGTCGTCGATGGGTATGAACGGCGCCAATGCCATGAACTTCCAGCAAGGCCAGAACAATGCCCAGCGAGGCATGCAGCAACCGCCGCAGCCCGGCCAGATGTCGGAGGCCGCGACTATCAATCGAGTCGCCCAGCGGATGCAAGAATCCGCGAAGCCCGAGGTCATTGCCAAATTTCAGCAAGAAGTTGAAACCTGGCCAATGAACAAACGCCAGCAGCTTGCGAGCCAAGGGATCAGCCCGTTGTTCTGGCGCTTTCGACAGCATGCTGAGTTGATGGTGAAGCAAGGCAAGATCAACCTTGCTTCTCTGCAGGGTGGCCAACAAAATGTACAGCAACAACCGCCGCAAAATCAAATGCAGAGTCAGCAGATGAATATGAACCAACGTCAACCCGGCGAATTCGACTTGAACGCCCTTGCGAATCAGCAGAATGAGGCCTTTCGCGTCCAAGATCAAGGCCAGCAAGTCGTTCCCGCGAGCAACAACGTGAACGGCACTAGCTTCCCTGGTCAGAATGCGCAGCCTGGCCAACCAGCAAACGCAGCACTCGCCCAGCAGCGACAGGCCTCTCAAGCCGCTGTATTTCAGAATGCCCAGCGCCAAGCTCAGGTCCAAGCGCAGGCTCAGGCTCAAGCTCAAGCGCAAGCTCAAGCACAAGCGCAGGCTCAAGCACAAGCGCAGGCTCAAGCTCAAGCGCAGGCTCAAGCTCAAGCTCGCGTGCAACAGCAGCTGCAACAACAACAGCAACATGCTCAAGCCCAAGCTCAGGCAGCACAGCGACCGAACCCAATACTCCAAGGCCAACTTGGCGGTCTTAACCTACCTCCAGGAACGACTCAGCAAAGTCCCGCAATGCCCATGCTCACCCGGCCAATAGGACAGCAACCTGGCGCGACCACCCCCCAGCCACGACCTCAAGCCCACGTACCGCAAATGACGCCCAACCAACCCCAAGTCGATCCTCAGGTCGCCACCCAATTGATGCGTGAGGCTCAGCAACGAGCCGCCGCAGCAGCGCAAGGGACTGGGCAGCCATTGACTACACAAGTACGAATAAACCTGTTACCACAAGACTTGCCCCCCGAAGTGAAGGAGCAGATGCTGAAACTTCCTGAACCCCAATTCCGCTCCCTCTTGGCCAACTTTATGAATGGCATGCGTGGTAACCGGCCCATGGGGTTTGGTGGACAGCCACCTGCAGGTCAACCCAATATGATTATGAATCCCGCACAGGCCTTGCAGATGGGGATACAGGGAAACCAAATGATAAATGCAGGGAACATGGGGAATTTTGGCCGGCCAAATGGAATGCCTCTAGGCCAGCAACCTCCAAATGGAATGACTCCACAGCAGCTGGCAGCGATGGGTCAGCGACCGCAACCAGGAGGTAATCAACGACTCGTTGCTGCGCATCAGGTACTCCAGCAGAACCCGGGGATCATTCAAGCCACAGACGATAGGCCTTACCCCCCGAATGCATTGAGCCCACAAGTGAAGCAAAGCATTCCTCCCGAAGTCAAAACTTGGGCTCAGCTCAAGCAATGGGCAAGCCAAAATCCGGGTCTTATGCAGAATATGGATGGGCAGAAGTTGATCCTCCTCCAAGTCTTACATTTTCAGGACCTCATGCGACACGCCAATATCGCTGGTGGACAGCGCATTCCCCAGCAAAATCCTAGTATGGCGCCACAAGTTCCTCAAATGACTCCCGGTCAAGGTCCCGCTCGGACACCACAACAACAGCCAAACATTCCACCTATGGTCCCTATACAAGTCACCCAGCATGAGTTGATAAATCTTCGATCAAGACTGCGGCCCGACCAAGCTGGGATCTCTGATGATCAGCTTCGCTCGTACATTTTGCAACAGAAACTCCAACACAGAAAACAACAGCAGCAGGCCTTGTTGCAACAGCAAATGTCACGCAATCAAATGCCTCAGCCTCAACCTGGCATACCCGTCCAAGGTCCCCCAGCATCTCGCCCACCAACAGCACAACCACAGGTCACCCAGCCTACTCCTCAGCCTAAACCACCAATGCAGAAACCCCAACAGCTTCCGCAGCCTCAAAAGCCTGCCCAGCCTGCTAGCCAGAATAACCCAAACAAAGGAGTGAAGAGACGGAACGAGGATTCCACAGAAGAGGGTAATTCCGAGCCGCCAGGTGGCAACGCTGCTCCCCAAGCCCCGGCAATGGTACCGTCCAAATCGCATCCCGGGATTGTTAACCTCACCCAGGAGCAGATTTCAAGGCTCACACCAGCACAGCATGCCCAGATGCGTGCTCAGCTGTTGCGAGCGCAGGATGCATCCAACAACAAGCTTCCACAACAACGCCCACCACCAAGCTACGAGGAGCTCATGGCTAGGGTGAAGGAACCAGCTAGGGATGCAAAGTTCCGCCAAATGATTAAGGAAGAAGATGCAAAGGCGGCCACTGGACAACCAGTCCAACTTTCCCCCAAAGTGCGTGCTCAATTGCAACAACTTGTGCGAGAGAAAATGCCTATCATGAGGAAGGTTGACATGTCCTTGCGCATTTTCATTGCTGGCTACGACGGTGCCGAGTCTGAGAACGTTGCTCGATCGGTGATGCGCGCCCGTGCAACGCTCTTGAGACAAATTCAGCCACAAGAAGGAACACTTAAAGAACATGTTACCCTGAGCGAGGAAGACTTCAAGAATCATGTTCGTCACATTTTCAACTTCGTGCAAAAGGTCATGGCGAGGTTTTCTACCCAGCAAAATCCCGCTGCCGTACCCCAACAAAACCAACAGCAACGACAAGCACTCGAACCGCAGCCTGCGACACAGCCTCTCAATGCCCAGAACCTGAAGAATCTCGAACTACAGCAACGTGAGCATAGGACTCCGCCAGCACCAACTGGAGAGAGACCTCCATTCCCGATTGGTCAGTCGCCCCGTGGTACCGGCGCCCCGATCTACCTCAAGGAGAATGAAGTCAAGGACCTCAGGCTTCCAGAGAAGAAGAAACCGAGACTGGAGCATTCTAGTTCAACACCAGGCCATAAGCCTTCCCCTCAGATAAGCTCAGGCAAAGGTGGTTCTCCCGAGCTCAAGAGACAACCACCGCCAGAGAAGCCTGTTGAGCAGAAACCCACTTTCAAATGTAAAGACACCAATTGTGAATATAGTATGCGAGGTTTTGATACCCCGGGTGAGTTGGAGGCACACACCAAAGACGCACATGGCAAGATCGAAGATCCCTTGCAATATGTTTTGGATTCAATGGCAGACTACTTGGATGTCGATGTACGGACTGGCGAACCTAGGTCGCATCCGAATGCAAATCGCGGTGCGAAACCAGCTGCTTCAGGTCGGGTCCCACCTCAAACCACCAAGCCTGGACAAACCCCGAACATCACGCAAAATGCCACGACCCCCGTAGGCCCACAGGCTGCCGCTACACCAATGGCTCGTGTTTCGACCCAGCCAGGCATCAAGAGCTCCCCATCAAACAGTTTACTCAAGACGCCACAGACGGGGGCGAAGGTAGCGACTCCCAACACTGGAGCTCTCGCCAAAGGTACCCCATCCAGCGTCACTAAGCCAGCAACGAAGGAACGTGAGATGGCTGCCGTTCCCGAAGAACAGAAGGAAGAACAGGCACAGCCATTACTTCCCAACGCTTTATTTGACCTCAATTACGAAGAAGTCTACGCTGCTCTTGATGCCAATGGCCCATTTACTCTTTTGGATCTCAAGGACGAAGACAATTCTTGGATTCTCCGCTCGACCTCTCCTTCCCACACGCCAGATTCGTCCTCGAAGGACTCTCCCTCTACTCGTCAGTCCGACATATCTGAGAATGACAATCTTCAAATCAACATTGGCATGAAGGACGCAGATATCCCTGATGGATGGCTCGCTGCAATGAGTGGAGATACTGTTCCGCTGGATGCACAATTGTCTGAAGATTTACAGAATTTAGGTGTAACTCTTCCCCCAATGGACAATGACGATATGATGCTGTTTTACGGAGACACTGTCATGACTGGCCTTGATGGATTTGATTCTGACAAGCTGGACTCGCTGTTGAATTTGGATTCTACGATGGCTTAATGCACCGCTTGGATCTTGGCACCAATTGAGTTTGGATGAGCTATATCCAAGAAATACTTTGGCATACCTACTATTCGATGTTGTTGGATTTCTTACCGCCAATACTTTTCATTTTTAGATTTCTGCTTTCCTTTTCCACGTTTCCAACCTCCATTGTGTACCACCACATCTACCTTGGTTACGTTGCACACACGGCTTTTTGGAAGTCCCAAGCGGGTGTGAGAGTTCGATGAGTCTATGCAACCGAGGGGGAAATGGGTGGGATATGGGATAATCGGCGTGCTTTATGTGTTTTGGGAGTGTTGCTTCACCTTGGGAATATTTGCGGGATCTTTGCGTTTCTTGTTTGGAGTAATTATACCCCCTAGTTTCGTTAGTCTCCCCCTTTCTTCCTATGTACCACAGTGTGGGTCTTGGGAAATATCTCTACGTCATCACGACTTTTGCATGAAACGGTGGAAGAGAAGATGGGGTTATAGTCTCAATCTCCGATGTTGGGACAGTTCATATCCTGACTGTCCAAGCTAAAGTACTATGTATGCGCGCTCTTATGTGAATTGCAGGCCCTTGTTGAGCTTTTGTTCTTAACAAGGTGTTATGTTGAGACTGTAGAAATTGGGTGTCGATGAGGACTCCTTAGTATGACATTAACTATTCCACCCCTTCATGATGTCCGAATTCGGAGCTTGAGCTACCTGACAAAGAGAATAGTTGGAAGATGAAAAGGAATGTAGTAGTAACGTTGTAATCTGATCATAGCATATGTTATGGGAGAAACTTCCTCGGGAGAAGAGTAATGAAAAGTATCCTCATCATACCACGGTCTGCGACGAATCAGCATACGAGTCTGTAAGGCAGCCAGACTTTTTGCGGCGCGCACGCCTCTCGGCTAAAGCACCGTGAAGATCTTTGAACATCAACAATCTTTATCATCTGATTCATATGCATGTTTGAAAATTCTTCTTCCTCAGACGAATGGAAAGGTTGGAAGGCTGGACGGCTTGACATTGCTTTGCTTACTATGTTTCGCGCGGGAATCTGGAGCAGTAGCTAGGATGCACAACGCCGAGAATAGCACTTGCTTATCCGGTCTGACGTTGGGGTTGGCTTCACAGCCTCAAAGGTAGCCTGAGGGCAGGCGGTGAAGGAAGACTGAGGTCAGAAAGCGGTGAATTTTTTAGCGCTGCGCGAAACCTGCAGGACCAGTTTTTGGAAGGAGTGATTTGGGACAATTTAGGGAGGGCTATGCGAAGGGTGCCTCGATATGGAAGGTTTTTGCAACAAGATCGACGGTAAGAGCGATTGTAGGTTCCAAAGGAGAGGATGGGCGGTTGAATGTGCGTCTAGATTTGCTCAAGACTCGATCCCGGCTGCGTTAGGCTGATGGAGAAGGAATAAAGTGGTGCAGTGAAATCGATGGTTGGGGGGAAGCAAAGTTAAATTCGTGCAGTGGGAGAGGCTGGACTGACAGATATCGAATGAGAGGTACTGGATTGTCAACAGTCACGGCGCGTTCCCAAGAAACATTGACACGCTACTGGTGATGATATCACAGTTGTACCACGGGGCAAAGAACTTTGAGGAACCCAACCTTGGAACTCTGGTAACTTTGGGACGGAAAGCTTAATCATTTGGCTTTTTCCGACCTCGGACTAGATTCGCTCGACGCAAACCCCCAGCCCAAGAGCATACAGATTCTCACGACGGCTAAGAAATAGACAAACCCAACGTTTCCCCAATCGATCGCATTCCAGTGCCAGAATCGGTAATAGACCCACCCACCGACCAGACGAACAGAGTAGAGATGGCCGAGATCGGCCACCAGCAATCCAAGGATGAAAGTCCTCCAGACCTTCAGGTCCTGGGTTGCACGAAGAACCAGAGCCTCATTGAAGCAGAGGAGGAAATACAGGTTGGCGAGTTGGGTAAGGACGATTGAAGTAGAAACGGGAACAGATTGGCCTGGAGCAGAGGGGGGGTGGGTCAGAGCCAGATAGAGCGACTGCTGGAAGTGGGCGTGGATGGCGCCGACAAGAGTTGAAAGAGGCTCAATGTACAGGAAGACAAGGCGATAGAGGGCTGGTATCGGAGTGGCCGTGCGGCGAGGGGATCCCGGGATGCCCAGCGAATCAGGATGCACAGACGACATGGTCAGTGGAACGGGCAGACCAACGTTGACACTTGGGGAGGTGGTGAGGGGCGAGGCAGGCTGGGTGGTGAAAGTAATGCGGGCTAGGTGATTTATTGTTTGTTTCGAGGGGTTCGAGGCGTTCAGGGAGCAGGTCAGGGTTGCTGGGGTGAGGGTGGCGGAAAGTGGTGAGGACTTGGATCTCCTCCAATCTCGCCTGGTCCAGTGCCCTTGTTTCGCCGGCCCTTGGTTCAACAAGGATCAAACCCTTTTTAAAAACATCTTCATGCACAACTTCCCGCCTTGTCCTCAACTGCTGCTCCTGCGAGATCCATTCCCTCCACTGCAGGCGCTATCGTCGCTCTCTCGTGCATTGTTTATTCACCGCTCCCGCCTTGCACACACTCCTTGTCTGCGTTGCTGTGCTCGCGTCTATTTCTTATAACTTTCAAGCCGTCGTCCGGACACGTTCTTTGCTCTAACCTGCCCTATTCTTCCGGCCCTCGTCGCGGCGACGGTTCCTCGACAACGACGTTTGGATCCTCCGCCAACAAGGCCCGCAGTCGGCATATCCGACGACCCCAATCGTCTCACGCCTCACAGACCGCCTGCCCGTCACATTAGCGACAAGACATGTCGCCCTCGATACATCGCAGGCCCTCCATCCTCACTCACCGTCCGAAGACGTCGTCGGCCGTCGACGACAAGCAAGAAGCGCTGGCCTTCGACATGAAACGGACCGCCTCGCAGACTTTCACCTCCGAGGCCCACGATGGACGGGACACCCCGAGGGCTCGCGGGCTGGGGAGCGTCGACGAGGGCCGGACCGTGCTAGCCTATCCGTCGTCGCAACACTCGCAGCACTCGCACCATTCGCACCATTCGCACCATTCGAACCATTCGCACACCAGCTCCCTCTCGCGCGCCTCGCAGACGGTCGTGGGCGGCTGCAAGTACATCTGTCGCAGACTGTCGACTTCGTCGGCGCGGCGGCCCTCAATCGCTGGCTTGTTCGACAACCACAACCACGCTCCCCCCGCTAGGGACAAGCTCGGCGGCCTGGACGTACTTCTCCCGTCCGATCGCTTAGTGCACCAGGACTCCGGCATGCCGAGCGTGCAGCAGGATCTCTCCGAGCCCCACGGCCATTCAAGATTTTCTGTGAAGCGCTGGGGAACAATTCGCCATCGCCGTCCTGCAACCTCGGGCCCATCTGGTGACACTGCTCGCTTCAACCCCGGCCCGCCGCCGGTACCCACCAACTATCCCATTCCTCCTCCTGGCTCTGCGGCTCGTGCTGCAGCGGCGGCGGCCAACAACGAGCGGTTATCGCTGCAACGGCGCGAGCAAGAACAGACGGCGCGCTTTCTCGCCGGCACGCTGAGCATGGGCACCCACGAGGACGATATCAAGGACAACGAGAGTGGCATTGGCATGAACTGCTCGTCGCCAATCCAGAGGACAGACAGCGCCGAGGAGAAGAAGTTTGGTGAGTGCTCCGTCTCGGTTAACCAAGGAAATTGCTAATTGGGCTCGCGGCCAGATCCTCTCAAGGTTTTGCCCGCGGAAATTTCGTCCATGATTCTCTCGAATCTGGAGGCACCCTCTCTCATAGTTGCCGAACTTGTTTCCAAGGTGTGGAACGCGGCTGCTAACTCCCCACATGTGTGGAGGAACGTGTTCCTGAACAAGTTCGAACCCAGAGTGCACGTGAACCCCACGCCAATCATGATGGGTGGTGCAGGCTGTGGCAAGATTCGCAACGGAAGGCCTGTCCCAGGGCAGGATTGGAAGCAGATGTACAAGGTTCGCAAGACCATCAGTCGCAGGTGGACGGGCTGCTCACCCAGCGCAATCTACCTGAACGGCCACACGGACTCGGTCTACTGCTGCCAATTCGATGAGTATGTGAACATTGTCTTCTTTAATTCATGAATGTCGCGCTGACGCGTCCAGGAACAAAATCATCACAGGGTCGCGTGATCGCACAATCCGTGTCTGGGACATGAAAACTTACAAGTGCCTCAAGGTGATTGGCGGCCCGACCAACCGCCCTGTTCCAAACACACCTCACAGGCTCGAGGCGCACAAGGAGACGGTCGTCAACCACCCCTCCTTGAACGGCACTGTGGAGGGCAACAGCATCTACTGCGTTCCGTCTGATTACCATGAGGCGTCGATTCTCTGTCTGCAGTACGATGACGAGATTATGGTGACGGGCTCTTCCGACCATACCTGCATTGTCTGGGACATCACCGGTGATGAATATGTTCCAATGTACAGGTTGAAGGGCCATAGCGCTGGGGTCTTAGATGTTTGCCTGGACGACAAACACATTATTTCCTGCTCCAAGGACTCCTCAATCAACGTTTGGGATCGGGTTACCGGAAACCATATCCGCTATCTCCAGGGCCACCGAGGTCCTGTCAATGCCGTTCAGCTGCGTGGTAATCTTCTCGTATCTGCCTCGGGTGATGGCATAGCCAAGCTCTGGAACCTGGACTCTGGCATGTGCGTTAAGGAGTTCCCGTCTCAAGACCGTGGTCTGGCCGCTGTCGAGTTCTCCGACGACGCCAAGTATGTCCTTGCTGGGGGGAATGACCATGTGGTCTACAAATTCGACGCGTTGACCGGCCAATTGATCCACACATCGGTTCGCCACGGCGGTCTTGTCCGATCGCTCTTCCTCGATGCCCACAATGGACGTGTTATTTCCGGATCTTATGATCAGAGCATTAGGATTGCTGACTATGCATCTGGAGAAGTCTTTGGGCTCTATGAGAACTGGACCACGAGCTGGATCCTTAGTGCCAAGAGCGATTACCGGCGAGTCGTGGCAACCAGTCAGGATGGCCGAGCCCTGATCTTGGACTTTGGGTGGAATGTTCTCGGCAAGGACTTACTGGTTGGTGCAAAGTGCTGATGTGCTGTTGAGATGGCCGAACACACATTGAGGCGTGGTCTATCCCTACAAGCCGGGATCTTTCCCTTTGGCCAACAAGATTCGGATCGCGAGAAAGATGGTCAGCTAGAATGGATGGAAGAGAATAAGCATGTGATAAGAAGCCGTGAGTGTGGTAGAAAAAGCCGCGTATCGAAGACATATCTGGAAAAGGTGGATGTTCGAATGTGAGGAAGATCCTATATCGAGGCATTTGTGTTTACACTAGGCGTTGCATTGCATTGCATTGCGTTGCGGTTTCTGGCATGCCCTAATGGTTGGCACATCTGCATCTGCCCACCGTTCTCTCTTGTTGTGCATTTAATTCCTCTGCTACGGAGTTTCAAAATTTTTAAATGGGGTTTTTTTTGGTTTCGACAATACCCTCCTCTCTCAGTCTCTCCTTCCCATCATCCTTTCTTTGTTTACTCTACCGTGTCGGAGTCAGTCTTGTAGAGAGGTGGATTTATCAGTGTCATTGCGTTTTCATAGACCGATCGAATTTCCTGTGTTCTGACCTTTTTTTTTTTAATCGATACTTATGAAGCATTTGCATGCGACCATTGCAAGTTTCACAATATTTTGGATAGCCAAAATTGGGTTTCGTATGTTTGACGCCGCCTAAGGCGTGTGTAGATGAGCATGGTCGGGCACTGGACGCCTTGACGATTGAATAATAGCGTGGTGCCTAGTCGTGTAATATATATATTATAGACTAATACCCAAGTACGTCCTTTCTCAAGACAGGAGTGATGTGATGAGTGGAGTCGTGGAGAAAGCGGAGGTGCTTGGTGCGTTGTCTGATCACCCGACAGGGAACATGACTGGCATGACAAGGGGGTAATTTAGGGCAGAGATTTACATCATATTGACGTCTTCCCTGATGCTAGCAAGCCGCTTGGCGGCTCAACCCTACCCTAGTTGTGTTGTATTAATTATAGAATGCTAATGCCTTGCAGGTCTGCCAGATTGTGCACCTCGAATCATGGGGCAGTGAGAATTCGAGTACGTTGTTATTTCGGTTCATGGGGACGACATTACGATCCGTCTCCCATCATTTATGAAGCCGACGGGGCGGGACTGAAACGGTCATTGAAGGCAGTAGATCTCGAGGAGAATTAGGTCGTCCGCTTTGCCTGGAAATGAGTTAACGGAATAGACATGGATACAACCTGCTGCATTCAGTGGGCATTTCGGAAGGAAGCTCACACTCAGCTTTAGTGTAAGTAGGGCATGGGTTGAATGCCTCATAACGGAGCACAATCTGATTAACTACATGCAAAACTGGAAAGCCATAAGCCAAAACCAGCGAAACCCCTTTATTCCCTCAACGCTTCGGAATCCGACTATTTTATGACTCCTCGTGACTTTCCCGCATCCTCGAACCACCGAATCATCCTAAGCAACGGGTTTTCGACATCGATGGGGAATGACGCTTTCCTGTCTCGTCCCCGTTCCTCGCCTTTTACCTCCCGCTCATGTCTAGGTTCAGTCATTCCTTCTAAAGGCTCACGTTATCAATTACCCACATCTCTTGTTTTGTTCCCGGGAGGTCAACGTTTACGCGCCTTAGGTCACTTGTGAAGCCGGCGAGTTTGGGACGGGATTTCCATGCTAGGGAGACCTCGGGGATGACTATGTCGTTTTCTTGCCTTTGGAACGGGTCAAGATACAGCCCTAGGTATGGGCGTGGGGGTTGAGACCTCTGCGAACCCTCGGGATCTCGGCGTTGTGGATGACAATTGTTATGACCTTACTGGGTGGGTAGAACTTGCTGAGCCCTCAATTGCTCGAATTACAGGACCATTATGAGAATCCCTTCAGGAGACTTCATCCGCTATCACAATGTCAGTAGTAAGTATCAACATGAGGGCTCTCAACCCTAATCTGAGACAGAAATCTCTATCCTCTTATCTATTCTGCTGCTTCTAGTAATTAATTTAGCAGGCTAGCCCGTTTCCTTTCATGAACCTACAGTAGGTTTTAATATGCGACAGAGCCGTCTAGTACACTACTATAATGTCCGGGCCTCAGAGAAACCTAAGGGTCCTACGCCCCTACAGGGGTTGCTTCGTTAGCGGAGCATGCGGAGATAGACACACTTTTCACGGCATTGGAGGAGACCAGACCTAAAAGCAACAGAACAGTATGTGGCGCAAAACTACTTGCAGGAACCTAGCAAGGAGTAAGGGATACTTGCCCCTAGTAGAACACAAAGATAATGTACAAGAACACACGAAGTCTCTAGCATTGTGTCCAAGTCCATGTTACGATGTAGCTCAGTTCAAGAAGCAGCTATAACATTCTAGAGGATATTACGAATGGCGAAAAATCTAGCATTCTGTTCGTCTTATCAGCCTAGGTTGTAGTGGGCTTGTGTTGTTGTGCTTGCGGATAGCTCCTACCTACTCGAACTGCTCGCACCGACGAAGGTTGTCCTGGTTCCCTTCTGTGACATCGACCGAGGATGCAACCACTGGGGAGCTTGAATACTTAAAGGTGGCACTAATCCACTCAATTCAACCCCAGTGGAAGGAGTCCGGGTAGTACCCAGTGCCGGAGAAGAAAGGAAGCATTAGGAGAAGGTGTTCTTTTGTAGCGTTTCTGGTATACTCCTGTAATTATCTAATGTAGTTTTCTCGCATTTTCTAATGTTATTTGTGGTGTTCCCAGGTATTCTCTCCTGGGGCTTCTTGTTAGTGTATTTGATAGCTGCGGGCTTCTGTCTTGGTAATAGTCTACTAGGTTTCCTCGAATGTACGTGGGGGGTAGTGTATTTGCTGCCCATTCTGTTGCATGACATGCAAAAAATACCCGCTATGAAACTCATTTTGATATAACTGTTGCGCTCCAATATCGTCGTCTTCTGGGTACTCATCTCCTCTAACTAATAATGGGGCACCTAAATGCTGTCCATTCCCGCGCAAAAGAGGCTATGCGGGTCATTGGTAATTTAAGTTCTAGAAGGCACAGGGAAGCATTAATATCACCGGCAGGAAGAGAACAGAACCAGAAAGAATCAAGGAATATATTACTAACTGTGTCAGATGGTTCGCTTGTTTGAGGTGCAGCAAAGACTGGGTGGATCAATAGGTGGCCAATCTCGGCCTCTGGCGTCGCCGAATCCGAGTGTTATAAGGCGGCAAGGCCGTGGGATAAGTTGGAGTCTCGGATTGGCTTCATTTTGGTTTAGATATCTGCGTGGTTTCCAGTGCGTTTAATGTAGTTAACCTGATTGCGCTTTGCCCCTATTCCTCTCTCATCCTATGTATCCTCAATGCATAATCCAGTAGGCACGGAGGGCCTTACGAATGAAGTGAGCTCGCAAAACTAGCAATCATGCACATCGAAACATAGGATGAAAGCGAGCCGAGAAATATCATGTCGTCATTCCTGCCCTCTATCGAAAATACCCCAATTCTCATTAGTTCACCATCGCTGGAAGTCGAGGCCTAGGAAATTCTTATGATTCACCACTTTATGGGTGTCCTTCTCTTCGTTACCTTTTAAGGTTTGGAACTCAAGAGTTCTTTGCTGTTAAGGTCGGCTTTGAGCTCGCTAACAATGTTGGACCTCGCTTTCCGTTTGTTCCAGCGGAATATATCCCAAGTTAGTTTAACGGGCAGGCTGGACCATCTAGGGATATGTAGCATCTTTCCTCCAATCCTCCTTTTGACCAGCTTCTGATTATTTGCCCCCCCTTCACCTCTGCTATCGAGGATCACAACGGGTGCTCTAGAATCAGCACTCTCCACCAACTGGGTAATCCATCTTCTATCTACCGGAGATCTACAAGGTCCAAGCTCTCGGACCACGCAAAACACCAACTCGTCCTGCCAACGGAAAGAACCGGTGGCGGCAAACCGGGCACGATAGAAGAGGAAGTAAGTCTTGCAATTCGAGTTCGGACAGAAGTATCTCCAGCAACAGGGTTCTTGAGAACATGGTACAATTTCAATTCCATGCATTTCGAGGCTTGGACAGTCGACGTATGGGTCTCTCTGCAGCATGTGCGCGATTGTCGAGAAGGTGAGATGTGGGCACGTGAATAAACCTTGCTTTTCGTCCACTGTTCTTAGAGCGCCGACGATCGTTTCCGAATACAAAGTGGAACTGTGTGATGTTCCGAAAAGAGTGGTTTCTGCGTGAACGACAATATTTCGCTCTCTATATATTTTTTCTTTCTTTCCATTAGGCTGCATCACCTGATCTCGACAACTCACGCTATCGACGCCCATGTCAACGGTCCCAACTCTTACGCCACGTCTCTCGGGTGCATCCCAGGGTAGATAATCCCATCTCTTTGTCTTCTCGTATAACAAAAAATCTACAAACTCGGAATGCGATTTTCTACACTGAGCATTTCCCCGCAGTTTGTTTGCATTGTAGTTGTAACGGAAATCGGTCGTATCTAGCTTGAAGGCATCTAGATCGGCCAAAGAGAGAGTCTTATGGCTGCAAATTCTCAATTTCCTGGTCCACCCGATACAATTTCGCACCGTTGGTCCTTTTTCTTTTTCGCAGTTTGAGAAATACGTGTCCGAATGAACGGAACAGCAGGAGCTGCAGACAAGTGTTGCATGAGCTAGTTTTCCGTCCCTTTCTTGAATGGATAATTGACAGAGTTGATATCGGCGAATATGGCCTATGTATTGTCGACGCCAGTGCTTAGCCAACGCTGCATTCGATATATCGGCGGTGGGATCTGGGAACAGGTGCATGAAGCGCGAGCATGTGCCTCGAAGGAGCATAATCGAGAGGCATGAACAGTGAGGCATAATCATGAGAAGGAGCTCTGCAGGCAAATTGTGGAGGAGGGAGTTCGTCAAGTTGTGGTGACGTGCGCGAATAGTTTGCGGGCCTGGAGATTGTGTTTCTGGCCCATCCAAACAGAGCAAGCCCGCGGAGCTTTTGCAGGTCGGAGAGTTCATGGTGTGTTTGTGTGGGGACGAGTTTGAATGCACGGGACCGTAATGTTGTGATTCGCGTTACGATTTCACAATATGGGGAGGAATAGCAAGTGACTCCCGGTTGACTTCTCACAGCCTGGGTGGCGGGGCTGAGGGCGGAATCCTTAGACTGTATTTGACGCTGATTGGCACGATGAATGAAGCTATCTCAATGCCTAGCATTCTGAACGCTGCCTCTACGGCATGATATCAAATAATGTGGAACATAACCAGGGTAGAGATGATCTATTAAATCTCTCGCTACAATTAGGGAAAGCATTAAATGATGCAAATTTCCGTCTTGACTCCCCCCGCCGTGGACTGCTTCTTATCACGTAATGTAGAACATGATAGGGGTGGTTTAGAGCAGAAATGTGCATCTTTTCGATGTCTTCGTAGTCCTAGAAAGAGAGCCAACGAATAGATTCCACCCTGGTCATGTTCTACGTTAGGGGAGTATATGCTGTAGGTTGATTGGGCTCAAGATGCCACCAAATACCTTGTAAAGGTCATATTTGCCTCTCATTTCTTTCCTTCGTCGTCACTCTTCTTCTTGTTCTCTAAGAAATCCTTAATGCTGAATAGGCCACTCCCTCGCTCTAATGGCTTGGCTTGACTGGGGCTCGGTTTCCATCCAATCATGTATATTAACCGGAACGTCGCCGGCAGCGTTCCGTCCTCGTTTCCATGGAGTTCTCGATAGATACCTTCGGCGGCGAGCAAAACATCTCTCTGGATTGCGGCCTTCTCACGGGCAACCACAGCGTTCGATTCTCCCATTGTCTGTAAGTCTTTCATCATCGAGAATGTATCCGGGAAGTCAACAACAATGTCATCAACGTCAACAGTGAGAAGGTTGAACCCAGCACGTTGTAGCAGTCCGCCAACATCCCTCACATCAGCTAAAGGAGACGTATGCGTGGAGACGCCTCCTCTCCTGTCCAGCTCGGCTAATTGTAGAGATGTTCTGAGCTCAAAAAGGCTATCACCACCCATCATGACACCAATGAATGGACAGTCTGGTTTCAAGATGTTATTCACCTGTGTGAGAACGGATGGTAGATCGTTGATCCAATGCAAGCTTAAGCTACTGAGTACAGCATCGAAAGTGTTTGCCTCATAGGGCAGGTTCTCGGAGGTGGATAAGACTTCTCGGTGGATATCGACCTCCATGTTGAACGGCAGATCAGAGTCCCTGTATAAAAGGGTCTCAGACGAGTCTGCTGAGGTGATCTTTGATACGCTTTTCGATCGTGGGCCAGCGGAGGGTGAGTCCTCGGAAGGGAGGGTCAGCATTCGGGCAATATTGCATGCATTCGCACCTAGATCGAGTACGTGCGGGAAATGACGGTTGATATCCTGAGAAGTGAGTGATAATGTTGAAAAAGGGCTAGAAAATACTAACCATAAGTCGTTCGCACAACCGAGACGCAGCTTCATCTCTGAGATAATCAACTCTTCTACTAGCTTCGGTGTCTGTTGCAGCGCGCTCTTTTTGCATCCATTTCTGTTGGTGACTAAATATCTCAAGCGTTGGAGCGCCGGAAGCTTGCACGGCATATTGACGCGTCGCCCGAAGCGGTATGCACCGGCGAGACAGCGGGGGAATGAAAGCTCTGACTGAGAAAGTATTCATTATGTATAGTAAAGAGGAGACTGCTGCAATTTCGAGATTAATTGAGTTTGAAGGAAAGATGAAGGCGAAGTCAAGACTTCAGTCTCGGTATTTCATTTTCCCGGCTCCCGACCTCCGACCTCGAACAATTCACGAAACACAACTAGCTGTCGCCAACTCTTCAACGCGGCGTCATGGCGCAGCCGTTTCCTTATACGTATTATTCCTGTGATTGCTATGACAGCAAAATCACCCCAAACCCCTCAAAACGTGCTTCACAACCTCCGCCCGCTGATGATGAAGACGAGCGAACTTTCGATCCCAGAAACCCCCGATCGAACTACTCCTTATACCCTCTTGAACATCTCCTTTATTGTGAGGATTGCCAGCAAATACGATGCCAGAGGTGTGTTATAGAAGAGACTCTGAATTGGTTTTGCCCGAGCTGCTTGTTCGAGGTTCCAAGCTCTGTGATCAAGAGCGATGGGAATAGGTACTCCCCCGTTATAGGACCATACACAGCAAGCACGATAATGCCTCTCGTTGAACGGAGAGACTAACGGATTGCAATAGGTGTACGAGAAATTGCTACAACTGCCCAGTATGCACGTCACCTATGACGGTCAACTCTCTAGAGAACCCCGCCGACCCCTCCAGCTCTGGCGGACCCTGGATTCTCGCTTGCCCGTATTGTCACTGGAGCACTGTTGAAATAGGAATTGAGTTCGAGAAGCACACCGGGATTACGTCTCAGTTAACGCGCATTGGAAATGGAGGGAAAGCTATCCCGACACCAAAGGAGCGTGACAAAGAGCGTGAGCGACGGAAAGAATTGGAGACCATGAAGAAAGACCGCGATGTTCTCTCCGGATCCGAAGACTCTCCCACGACGGATCGCGGCCGAGATGACGGTCCTCCCAGCCATGACGACATATTCTCAAACCTCTCCGCCTTCTACAAATCCCAAATTGCGTCTCAGACGCCATCGAACCCGTTCTCCCCACACGAGATCAACTTTTCCTCTCCCTCATCCTTCTCGCGAATAATGAATCTCTATTCTAGCACCACATCTAAAAAGCAGAAGCGTGAGAAACCTGCTCCCATGCGCGAAGCCGCGTCTGTCCTCGAAGGTCTCATCATCCATGACCCCTCCGAAGACGCCGCAGCTATCGAACGAATCAAGAAAGAAGGCTGGTCCAGCACGCTCTCATCTACTCAAAAATTTGCTCAGCCAATACCCACCATCCGGTTCGACTCCGAGCTGCGCCCCATCGCCAGCCTCCTCTGCACCAAGCGCGGAAAACGGTGTCGCAGCTGCCGTCACATTCTCTCGAAGCCCGAATCTAAAATTACATCCACCCGTTACAAAATCAAACTCCTCGCTCTGAATCACATACTCCGCCTCTCCCTTCGAGCCCTCTCTACTACAACTATACAACCCGGAACCCCATCCCCCCTAGCATTCGACTACAACAATCTCAAAAGTGGGATTCCTACACACTTCCTCCTTCACCTATCCAACCCGCTGTTCGACCCAATTCGTGTCACCCTGGCTACGCCTTCTACAACACCAGGCAAAATCCAATCCAGAGTTACGATTTTGTGTCCGCAGTTCGAAGTCGGCGCCAACACCGATGTCTGGGACGATGCCCTCTCTTCCTCCCTCAGTCCCATAAAAAAGCCAACTTCGATTGGTCCAGACGGCCAACCGCAAACCTCCATCGAAGCTGGCAAAATCTGGGACCGTGGCCGAAACTGGACTAGCGTCATTATAGAAGTCATCCCGGGGTTTGTTGGTGGTATTGGGTTTTCAGTCGGAAAGAGTGACCCAGAGGATGAATTAGATGAAGATGAGGACGTCCTCGAGATCCCGATATTCGTGAGGTTGGAGTTTGAGGCGGATGTGAATGCCGAGGAGAGGGGACTAGGGGATTCGAGAGGAGAGAGAGGGGCGAGGGAGAAGAGGGAGGAGGCTTTTTGGACGGTGGTGGGGGTAGGAAGGATCGCGAAGATGTAGCTAGTAGATACCTCACTGTTAGTTAGGAATTCTGATAATAACACCCATTAGCCGTGAAGACATTGGATTCATAAAATTGGGTTCACGATGTGAGAATATGACCATCTGTGAACTGCTAAAAGGTTAACTAGATGTGCATTGATAGGGATGTCTGGGCTATCATCTAGCTGGAAGTAAGTCACCCTAATAGTAGCGTCACCGAAGATTTGATTTCATGAAAGTGGACCTAAAGTGTGCGAATATAATCGTGGATGTTCTACTACAAGTTTGGCTAAATGTGTATAAATAGGGGGGACTAACTTACCGATGCACACAGTCAGTTAGCTAGACAACCGCTGGATAGCTATGCTATGAATACTATGATCCTAAACTAAAATACTAACCATTATTTGTACATGTCCGAAAGACCCCCTATGAGGTTCTAGAAATCGTTATAATTGGTAATTTTTTTTTAATATCTGGTGAAGATGGTAATAAAAAAACAATGCAATTCTTTCAAATAGTCTAGATACATATGGGTCTAAAGTGTGATATTAAATGACTAGGCCTAGCCTAGTCATTTCACCTGATTGTACTTCACGGGCACAGGTGGTGAGGGATTCACCATTGCCAGTGATCTCGATGCGCTTCCGGGAGCGGTCAACCCGGGCTCGCTTCTGATACCTATTGCGCCTGAAGCTCTCTGGCTTTTGTTTCGCGGAGCTAGCGCAGGTTGCGTCTTGAATTGGCGGGAATCCTCTGCACTAGGGGTGCTGAGAGCCGAAATAGGGGCGCGACAACGGCGGGCGACGTGGCCCTCCTGCTTGCAGTTGTAGCAAGTGGGGCCGTTTTAGTGAGTTGTTGTGTGAACTCCTTGACGGCAGAAACCAGCTTCTTAGTCGTATTGCCGGTGCTAGGAACAGCCTTGATGATAGTGGAATCCTGTGGAATACCGTCCTTGGTAGTAGTGGTGCACTCCCGAGCAAAGTGCCCCTTCTCGCCGCACTTGAAACAGATGAGATTCGCATTGCGATTAGTTTTGGGTGCTTGTCGGTTAGACTTGGTGGGCTCAACAACTGGAGCTAGCTGCTCCTGAGACAGAAGAGTAGTCGTGGTGTCGCTGTATTGTGCCCTAGTCTTGGGACTTATATTAACTGCAACCGGGAGCTTTAGAACTGGCCGCTCGAGCACCTGTGTAGTTTGAGCTCTATTCCCTTTAATCACCTTCGACCGGCGAGCTGGCATAGAATTCTTCGCTTTCTTGCTTACGGGGGGGAGCATTGGGCTCACTAGTGCTGCAGCCTTTGCATCGGGAGAAAAGCGAATTTGTTTCTTCGTGTTGAAAGCGCGAGGAGTCTTTGGGGTGACCCTGGGAGAAGGTCCACAGCTGTAATAACGAATAGCCCAGACGACCTCGGGAGTCGGATGACGCCGACCGTAGTACTTTCGTGAAAAGCTAGTGCGATCTTGAAGAATGTGCCGGATAGACATCTCTAGGAGACTCCTGAATTCTTCATTGCTTTTTGCAAATTCCATGTATGGGGTGTAGTCGAAGGCCAGGGGTTGACCCATCAGTCGAGCGATGGAATTAGCAGCTACATCAAGCGCAGGCGGAATAGAGGTTGCGATATTGCTAATCGTGATTACACCCGGGACCATGTGACGAAGTTTGTATCTAATACGCCCCTCCGTCTTGATCTTCAGATTGTCGTATTGCAGATGAACGCAATGGTGATGAAGTAGTATCAACTCTAAAAGGGCGAGTTCTTCAAATGGGACAAGATCCTTTGGATTCCGCTCACCTGCGAGCATATACCGATATATCCAGGCTACGGTGGTCTTTTTGCCACCTGGAATGGATAGTCGAGATATACCATGAGCAAACGTGCGCTCCTTGGAAAAACCACAGAAGTTGGTAAGAATACCTACAGAAGCACCTTCGATACCAATGTATTGATTGCCCACAGTACCTACGAAGATGTTAGCTGTTGGGCCTGTCTTCAGTCTGTCGGCAGTTAGGTCTGAATATCTGGGTTCGATATGGAAGAGGACTTACTTGGCAATCTGGGTCGGAGTGAGTCGCGCCTTCGTTACGATATTGGAAGCCTTGGCATATTTCTTGTTTCTATCAAAGAATGGGTCACTGAGATGGACTCAAAGGGTGAAGGGGTTGCCTACTCGTTCGCATGGGTGACGTTGTCTCCAAAAAGGAAGACTCCGTTCAAGGTGGTGGCAGGCATGAATTGTCGGCCACGAGAATTGTGCCAAAAGGTGCTGGATTGGTCGCAGAAGTCTCTGGTTAGCAGGCGTGAGATAATTCAATATGTTTGGAAACATACATGGCTTGGGTGGTAGTTGTGGGAGAATTTGCCATCGTTGATAGTAAAAACTCCGGGTAGCGTAGAGGTGAAGGTGGCAGAAAAAAAGTGAGTGAATCAAGTGAAGTCGAAGAAGATTTTGAACTTGAGAGGAGTAGAGCAACTTTGTTGGAAGAGGACAGAGGGCTGAGAGAAGCGAGTTCAATTAGAGCTGCGCAGAGTTGGAGTTGATGAAGATAGATGCACTTGGGAGCGATGAAAGGACATAGAATGGAGGCAAGGGGTTGCACTACATACGAAGGTAGGACGCAGGGGGCGGGGGGCCGAGTGTGGGCCGGGATCGTTGTGGCGACAATCTAGGTATTCTTGAGCTATATATAATAGGCATTTTAGATGAAGGAGAAGAGATACCTCAAGTTTGCGGAGGTCCTGGAGAAAGGGCACGGGGCCGGGGAGAAAACGACGCTGCGGCCACATGAATGCATCACGTGGATTAAAGAAAGTTTGGAAGTATACTCACCCATGCTGTGAGTGAATTGATTGACCCACTATAATTACCACCCGTTCTCTCAAACCCCTCTTTTCAGCAACAGTTGATAGGAATGTTCGCGATATAGAGCAAATGGCTAACAGCCTTTTGGAGAGTGTTCACCTTACGTGCACTTTCCATAGAAGGAAAGCGGGAGTGAAAGGGCGGTGTTGTTGTTTTCCTGATAAGGCAGGCACCCGCCGCCCCTGCACCTGCCCCTCTCACTTGACTTTAAGGCATAAACCACAAGTTTCTCATCTCTATACGTAATCTGGTACTGCACCAACGGCTTCTCCCAATCTCCCTTTAGCTGTTGTTGCGCTTTCACGCTCTCTACGGGGCTAGAGCCCGCAATGCCAACCTATCGCGGCATCAACATCGATCTCCACTCCCAGTTTGATATCAACACGCTACCTGAATACTATCCCAAGCCACAGGACTACTATACCAACCTTGGCATATCCGCCACGGTCCCTCGACTAGTGGAAGAAGAAACATCAACGTGCAGCGTCTACATCCCAGTGCTCCCATCTAGCCAATTCTGGATCGGCTATTCTATCTTACCGCCGGTCCCCGAAGATCAACACTTTCTCTTTAAGCTTTACATAAATAATGTACACATTGTGAGCTGGTCGTGCGGCAGAGAAGAGAAGTGGAAAGGGAAGACAATGTTCGGGCTGTACGAGAGAGGGGAGGGAGAGGACGGCAAAAAGCGCATTGAAAAGCGAGCCCTTTGCTTTACTGCTGTGGATCGGCAAGATGGAGAGTGGAAGGACGTAGTCGACCCCTTCGACCCGGACGCCCGGGTGGAGATCCAGGTCTTTCGTGCGAGTGGCAGGAAGAGGATACCAAGGGAGACGAAGGAGTTTGCGAGGAATACTGGGGCTCATGGCCGCGGGATAGAGTGAGGGAATTCTCCTGCCTGTGGAAAAACGTCAGCTAACCTAGAGCAGGCTGGTGAATGCAGGCCGAGCCAGTGGAGACCATCCCAAGAGATTCTACAAGTTTGCACTTATTGATCCTGTTGATCGGCCGTTTGTGGCGTTCAGATTCTTCTACCGGACTTGGGAGCAGATACGAGACCTGGGGCTGCTGGGCGAGAGCGATGAGTCTGAGCAGTCTTTGGTTCAACTGGATGGCCAAAAGGATGGAATGGGAAGTTCCCAGATGTTTGTACCAATGGAGGGAGAAGTTGATGTGAATGAGACTGATGGCGTTCGCCGAACTCGAAGCAATGGAGTAACCGATCCTCTGAATGTTGGCCATTATATCCCAACTGGCGCCCCAGGTTCGGATGATGGTTCGAGGAAGCGACACAGCGGCGCCGGCACTCCACCTCACTTCTACAGTCGTCTGTCGGTTCCGCCGTCTGTGAGACTCTCTCCGCCAAAGCCATCCGCAAACATTGCATGGATCCCGAGGAAGAGCGAATCGACTACATCCACCTCGTACAGGCCTCACCCAGCATATCCAGTCGAAGACTGGACTGTAAGGACCCCGAGCCCAGTCAAGTCTATCAGGGAGGGCATCTCAACCCCACCATTGGGAAGGCGGAGGGGTCTCACGGCGTCAGGTCTGATGAGTGTTGTGAGCAATGCGCTGAAGAGGCGCGGAACGCCAAGTTCGGAGTACTCCACTGATGCAGGTAGTCGGATGGGATAGGTATGAGGATGTGGGATGTGACGTTGATTGAGGGGGTCCAGATGACGTGTAAACAGACACCATGAGGCAGTTGGAGTGTTACGGGTAGTCCTTGTACTGCATAAATTATTTGTCTCCTATCACGGAAATATTGGCCAAGATGCCTTTACATGGCGCACCTGTCTGATGTTGGTCCAGAATCAACCCCTGCACGTGCCTCGTTAAGATGCAAGGGGATGGACTCTGATTGGATGATACAGCTCACCCCGCATCCTTGGAACAGCTTCGAGCTCCCATGACCGACAGCTCAAGCACAGCCCAGTCGACACTACAGCTCCAACTACCCTCCATTGTCCCTCCATGATCCCGTGATTGAGGGTTGAATAATTGCCTTTCATCAATATTAGACTTGTCTCAATACCCTTCCGTTCTCTGTCTGAGCTGTGCTTCGACTCTCTGACGCCATGCGACTGCTCGGCCTTGTCGCCGCGTCGTCAGCGCTTCTGGCAGGCGCTGCGGGCGCTTCAACACTCAAGCCGCCTGTTCTTCCCCTCATTGTTCGCAACCCCTATCTGAGTACGTGGCTAGGCAACGCGAGGGAGGAGCCGTGGAAGAAATGGCCCATGTTCTGGACTGGTAGTGAGGTACGATTCTGGTGGCCGATTGGCAGTATGGGGTTGTGATTGGGCCCGAAATGCTGATGTTCATGTGTGTCTACAGGTCGGTTTTGGTGTTCTGGCTTCTCTTCCCGATACGAATGAAGTGTTCCCGCTGCTGGGCAAGCCCCATGATTCTTTGCGGAGCGATGCGAAACAGCAAGTTTGCTCGATCGCTTCAGCAAGCCCTAGCTAATCGATCTGTGCAGTTACAGCGTGTCATACCCCACATACAAAGGTGCAAAGTACGACGCCTCCACAACCAATCTTACCTACGCCATCCCACCGCCGCCTAAGTTCCCCGGTGCCGACGACCTCGAGATCACCCTGTCCTTCCTCTCCCCAATCACGCCAACGTCGACTCTGCGGCAGTCGATTCCGGCGGCATACCTAACTGTATATGTGGAGGGAACTTTCGACGTAACCATCTACATTGACGTCAACGGGCAATGGGTGAGTGGAAATCGCGGCAACGTGATTGAGTGGAGCCTCAATGAGCAAGAACCCGTCGATAAGAAATCCGGGTTGAAGACATGGAAAGTCAAAAGAAGGACGGAGCAGATTCTGACCGAAAGCTGGGATCAACCGGAGTGGGGTCAGTTGCATTTCACCGCACCCCTGGATGTGCGCCATGAGAGTGGCACCTCGGCTGAGCTGCGCCAACGGTTCGCGCGGACCGGAACATTGCAAAATGAGGTTGACGGATCATTCCGTGGAATCATGGACGAGGAGCCAGTCTTTGCCTTCTCCAAGGCTTTCAAACTGGAAAAGAAAACTATGGGAACTGCCGCGACTAAGAGTGACAGCGTGCTATTCACTATTGCGCATATCCAGGATCCTGTAACGCAGTATGCCTCCGCTCGAGGTCTGACTCTTATGCGGCCATTGTGGAAGTCATGGCTTATTGACGATGAGAGCCTCATCCAGTACCATTACGGAGATTTTGCAAATGCCAATGCGCTGGCCAGCAACTACTCCGAACAGCTTCGTATTGATGCCTACAAGTCGGGATCTACCAACTACGTTGACATTGTCGCATTGTCTGCCCGCCAAGCTATGGGTGCCACGAGTTTTTCGGGCACTCCGGAGAACCCATTGTTGTTCCTCAAGGAAATCTCTTCTAATGGGAACTCTCAGACGGTGGATGTTATCTTCCCAGCATTTCCATTCTTCTTGTACACTAATCCGAGGTGGGCTGCATATCTCCTGGAGCCTTTGATCGAGCATCAGCTGAGCGGCCAATACCCCAACAACTACTCCATGCACGATCTTGGCTATCACTTTCCCAATCTCACAGGCCATGCGGACGGTCGCGACGAGTACATGCCGGTTGAGGAATGTGGTGACATGCTCATCATGGGCCTGGCGCTCGTGAACTCCATGAGCTACAACTCAGACGAAGAAGCTCAGTCGATTTGGTCTACCATTGGAGATAAAACTGACTACAGCACACAGAATGAGAAACCCTTTGCTTTAATGAATCTTGGAACCGTCAACGGCATTTCCAACATCGATGATACATGGGGTGGGGGCACAAAGGGCGTGAAGCAGGCTCGGAAGTGGTTGGAACCAAGTTACGACTTATGGAAAAAGTGGACTGGATATCTCATCGAGTTCAGCCTTGAGCCACATAACCAGCGTAAGTATCGATCCCAGCAGACACCCAACACGCTACTTATCATTGAATAGTCTGTACCGACGACTTTGCAGGCTGGCTTGCCCTCCAAACGAACCTCGCGCTCAAAGGCATCATCGGCATTAAAGCCATGAGCGAATTCTCCGACTTGCTCGACCGCACCGGCGATGCCAAAGACTTCCGCAATATTTCCGAAACCTACATCACTAAATGGCAAGACTATGGTATCTCGCGCGACGGGTCTCATGCTAAACTTGCGTATGACTGGTATGGAAGCTGGACTACACTCTACTCACTCTATGCGGATGCGGTGTTGTGTTTCCATCCATCGATGACGAACAAGTCTTCCACGAAAGTAGAAGGCTTTGCATCCGGTCGTCATCAACACCAGCAACCCCTCCAACCAGAAAAAGGCTCTAACGGCCGCACGCCAATCACAGAAGACTTCATACCAAGCTACGTGTACAAAATCCAATCATCCTGGTACTCAGCCGTCATGCAAAAATACGGCCTTCCACTCGACTCCCGCCACCTCTACACCAAATCTGATTGGGAGTTCGAGGCCGCGGCTGTAGCATCCAAAGCTGTACGCTCGGATATTCTGGATCGTGTGGCAAATTGGCTCAATGAGACGGTTACGGATAGGCCATTCACTGATCTGTACAACACAGAGGGTGATGGAGGATTCCCAGGGCCGAATTTCTTTGCGAGACCAGTAGTCGGTGGACATTTTGCTTTTTTGACGTTAGAGAGGGCTTGCGGGGGCAAGGCGGTTGAGGGTTTGGCTTTTTTGGACGAAGATGGAAACGAGCCTAGACCCTAGATGGTGACGAGAAGATATGAGGGAATGATGTACATGTATGAGTGCTTTCAAGTTCTAGACAATGCGCCTTGTTGATAAGCGGGCTCCCCTGCTCAGTCCCGCATTTCTGCGTACATCTGCTTCAACGTCTCTATGTAGCCTTGATGTTAGAACATAACAACTAAACACCTTGCTAGACCCTAGCACTCTCTTAGTGAGATGCCTATTCCTGCACTCTGAGGCCTTTAGAATCTAAGAAGTGCGTGTTGTTTATAAACTCTGTTACTTGAGGTTGCTTCTGCACACAAGTCTCGAGAGTCTCTACCTGCAATCTCTGGGAGGCCTTTGCGTGAGAGACCTTAGAATAGGACATAAAATCCTAGCACCTTGCCGGGATATGGTCTTCTTCTGAATCGATACCGATTCCTGCGTTTTGCTAACTACCTGGCTGTGGAGTGACTTGGGAAGCTCAAAGTCGAGCCAGCAACGTAAAGCGAAGAAGTTTAAGGCGCACTCCACAAAGCTACTGAAGCTGCCCATACCAAGGTCAAATAGAATAGGGATGGCACTTATGACAAGGCCATGGATGCTTGAAATCATACAATCACGAAGGCCAAGGAGCGCTCCCGACACGGCATCAAGAAGGCCGAGAATTCTGCCACAGTCGGAATTAAGAAAACTAAGCACGAAAGAACTGTGCTGAGAAGCGTTTGCACACCCTGACGACCTCCATGAGCAGTGTTCGGAATGGATAGGTGGAGCACCTGCAGGTGCTCCACCTGAGGCTTCAACACTAGTATAATTAGGTAGAGGTTAGGCCTAAGGGTGTATTTTTGGGCGCTAAGAGAGTGAATTAACGTACTAAGCTGTCACGGCTATGTTACAGCTATCCAACCCCTGAGTACCCTGAGATTGGCACCGGGTATATAGGCTCCTCGGCCTCTGTACCTCTGCCTCTGACCCTAAGGTTTACTCTCGTTACACTCCCTATCCTGCATTCCCTCTCTATGCCTCGTGCTTCCTGCTCGATACCTCTCACCTAAGCCTAATTACCCGCCCATTCCTTTTATATGCCACATAACGTTAAAAAAAAAGTTCAACAGGCTCTGTTGCACCTGCTTTAAACGCTCGCTATTAACACAGTGCCTATCCTGTTATTGCATTAGCTAAATATTTATACAAGCGCAACAGCCACCTCACTGCTGCTGTGGTGGGTGGTTGAAACCTAAGCTAACAACCCTATTGCTGCTGTTAATTATCCTAGCTAAATTTATCAATGTAGAGCTTCTTAGAGGGGAGGAGGAGGTAGCGTTTAATTGATCTCAAAAGCGTGCACGCGTGGAGGGGGTTGTTACTGAGGTGCTTGTCCCTAATTCACAGCAGAGCTTCTATACTGCCTAATAGGTTCCAAGACCCTCCCTGTTTCAAACAGTCCTGCATTCCCTATGTCTGGAACTCCTTCATCTTGCTCTTACCTACGACTAGCTTCAAACTTATCACGAGGCTGAACACGCCATTTTCTGACCCAAGGTTGGCGAGATACTGAGACACGAAGAGGAGCTGAATAGATCCCTACGAGGTCAAATGATGATTTCACGATTATCTTATGTAGAAAGTCCCTAGTAGTGTGTGACAGAATCGATACGCCGATATAATAATGGGAACAGTGGGCCTGTTTACGACAGTATATCTATGTCTGGAGACTTTTGGCTCCTTTTTTAGAGGCTTTCTGTCGCTGCTTTTGGAGTCACTTGCACCCAAAGTGCCAAGTCCAGCCCTTGCAACGACGTCAGCTTTTCTTACGTAATTTCCGCACCGCCCCATCCTATTTCGTTTTATGCTTCCTAAATTCACGAAGACTGAAAGAGCCTAAAAACGCACCCACATCTGTCTTGTTGATATATTATCGACGCTTCCTCCGCCATACCCACCTCTTTCTACACATAGACAAGCCTGACGTCGCGTTTCGACCCACTGTCTTTACTCGCACTGTATCATAGTATACACCTATCGATGACGATGTTCTGGTAGTCGAAGTGGGGATGACGCGGCCATGAGCACTAGAAAGTCCTCCGCGCGGTTCGAGGGATGCCACTACTCCGTCAATGCCCACGTCGGCCCAAGCGTTACAGCTCCCAAAAGAGGCGCTATCAGTACTTAGGTACCTACACGGTGTTCTCCGTCAAGGCTCGGGCGGTCGTGGTTCAAAATTTCCAGGCTTTGTTAGTCAATACGTTTCCAGTTCAATCTTGCGAGTTCTATGTAGTGGCAGCTCAAACAACAGTACACCTCGCGGCTAGCAGTGGAAGTAAAATTGAGGAACTAATGGATTGACTGGAGATGAGCTTGCGTAGTCTATTACCTAGGTATAGGCTCCTGGCGATGCTGTGATGCTGTGATGCTGAGATCTGAGTTTATCTCGTTTAGCAGCCGGACTTTCCGCAGCAATATATGAACAAGGCGAGCTCTATGTTTCAATTGAAGGTGATAGCTCTCTTACTCCAATCGACATTTCATCATGCATTTCCTCGTTCAATTGTTACTCGTCTCGACCGCTGGCGCTGCATCTCTACTCGAGCCTGACGGTCCTTACCGCGTTGGCTTCACCCAATTTATCATCCCGCACATTACTCCTGACGATCCTACTCCAGGACCGGGCAACGAGCTACTCGCCCACCTCTACTACCCTACACGTAACACCTCCAGTCTATCACCCGTGCCATACTTCGACCCGCGCAGCGCGGCGATCTGGAACCCTCTGCTGGAGCTCCCTGAGGGCTCGCTGAATAAGCTGACGACCGGCCTGCTTGGCAACGCGAGCTTCCTGGACGCTCCGACCGGGCATCCGACCATTCTGTTTTCCCCTGCCGCAGGCTTCAACGCCTGGATGTACTACGGGCTGCTGGCGAACCTAGCATCCAACGGCTACACCATCCTCGCCATCGACCACCCGGGTGAGCCGCCGGCGTTGCGCTGGCCCAACGGGACAGAGACCATCGGCTTGAGTGTCGACGTCAACTTCACCGCAAGCCTAACTCGCGAGGTCCACACGTACCGGGTCGCTGATCTGGCGGCAGCGCTATCCTGGTTCTCCGCGTTCGTGCGCAGGACGGACGCCCCGTTCAACACGTCGCAATTCCTTGTGCTGGGTCATAGCATCGGCGGCTCGGCCTCGGTCACGTTTGCCCCCGGCCATCCGAAGGTGAGGGCCGCGGTCAACATCGATGGGGGCTTCTCCCAGCACGAGACGGTTGTGACTGACGTCGGCCGACCGGTCTTCCTGATGAGTAGCATCAATCACACGATACAGTACGATCCATCATGGGGTGAGTTCCAGGAACATCAGACCGGCTGGTGGGAGTACATCAGCATCTATGGCTCCGGGCACCTGGACTACTGCGATATCGCAATGTGGAAAGACGCCCTGGGCTTCGGCCCTTTCGTTCAGGAACAGTTTGGCCCGGTTGGCGGAGTCCGGACGACGCGGATTGCTCGGAAGTATGTTGGCGATTTCTTCAGGTGGGTAGAGGGGGGAGACAAGGGAGTGATAGCAACACCGAGTTTGGAATGGAGAGAGGCTGTATACGTTAATGGGAGCGACTTCGCGGACGTGTAAAGGAAGGGCGAGCATTTTATAGACGTAAAAAGCGCGCGGCTTGATCGGGCGGGGAGCGATACCTAATATAGATAAGCGAGGGATTACACTAAACCCAAAGATGGAGTCCTCGATCAGAGATTTCAGCTTATCACCCGCACCTGCCAACTATCCTCCTCGTGTTTCTCCGCTCAAAAATCTCAATGCAGGTGCCTCTGCTGCTCTGTTTCGTCTTAGGAGGTGTCGTTACCGGAAACCTACAATGGGTAAGGTTCGTTAACAATCATTCGAGTTTGGGGAGACGGAGTGATGGTTATTATCCTGAAATTGCCATTTATGGGACCGATTATATCTTCAAGGAAGCATATGGGAATAACTTCAAGTGATGTAGCTCTGGAGCTACATTCCTCACTGCTACGGCCCTTGTGCAGGGGAAACTTGCTGTAGTGGCGACACTGGGAGTAAGTCCTTCAGAAAATTGTTATCGTTTACTCTAAGCTGAAATTAAAACGGCTCTAGTATCTTGTGATCTTGGCTTTACTTTGCACAAGACTCGTAATCTAAGCCACGGCGTCATCCACAGGTAGTGCTTCTCTCTGCTCTAAGTCTACAAATTTCAACCGTTCTAACTAGGGAATGAACCTAACGAATGTGTGGTAGCATTTAGAGCGGTGACGAGGGTATTTGAGTTTGCCACATTCCCCTTTCCTCGGATACCATACTGGGTACGACACCATTGATAACGCCAACTTCGACCTCAAGCAGAGGGGCCTCAAATATCCCCACTATAGTGACCACATCACCACCCACAACCGTGATTACCCCGGATCTGTGACCCAATAAGAGGACACCTTCGGTCTATAATACAAAAATGCGACTTCATCTATCGAAACGTACATAGGTGGAGGGTCTGTTTGGCATACTGTTTCTATAATACGTGGGATTGTTGCATTTGTTCCGTTGCAACTGTTTGATTAATGATCGCTAAAAGAGATAGAGGACATACGCATTTTACAACCATTTGTGAGTACACTTCTATGATACTAAACAATTCCTCTATATGAAAAGTAATCTCTAGAGCCCTTGACACTACCTTCGATGTAGAGTTCCGGAATGTCCAGCACTTTTTAGGAAACGAAGACTTGACCAAATTCTTCTCAAATTATGTAACCTCTATTTCGATTCATATTACGAGAAGGTCTTGAGGAACCTTTTCCCTTGTACACATTTGCTGGAGTAATTAAGGTCCTTGCCATGTTTTGGCTGCGCAAGAACTTCGATTTCTTGTCTTAGTCTGGTCGGAGGTATGTAGCTACAGTTTAGTTAGAACTTTTCTTTACCAATGGTGGCGTGTTGGCACTATGTAGATGTAAATCGCCGAATGTGGGCTCTAATTACAATGTGGAATAATTTAGGATATATAACGCAGGCGAATAAAGTAGAGATCTTGTCACTTCCTGGAATTTGACTCTCATCTGCAGGGAATACAAAGAGAATTGACTGGGTTGTTTGAAGCGGTAAGGCTGACCTTATTGAGCAACGTTACCATTCCGACGGCCCCGCAATCTGAAGAAAGGCCTTGTCTCCACTGTTGTTGATGGCTCGGCCTAATTTACTGATGGTGTACATTTACAACGTCTCTTGGACTACTCTGAAGAGGCGCATCGGACAAACCGGAAATTCCTCCGCCGCGCAACTCTCACGATCGTGCACAGTGAGCTGCAGAATCAGTAGCTCAATAGATCGAACAAGCCACTGTGACAAATAGCCAGCGTTCAATTTCATTTCTAGGGAACGATTCATGTATTGCGAATATTTAGTTGAATATGACGATGCACATCTGATCATAGACATGAAAAAAATTGCGCCTGTAACATCCATCCTGTGAAACACAATCTCAAACCATGAATTGACATTTGAAGAGTTATTAATTATACAGGGTGTTTTCATCTCCGTCGTTGGATCATGCACCCATTAAGAGGATATCTAACGTTAGCCCCTTTACACTCCCCATTGCTTTGCATTGTGCAGAAACGGCGCAATATAGAACGTCTATAATGGCGTAGTTTTATTGTAATGACAGAATGGCAACATATTGCTGTTGTGTACACTGCGTGTGATTGTACGGCATATAACAGGGTGATTACTACGAAAGGATGTTATCTGCCTTCCATTCCTAAATTTACGCCTTGGTTCCTTCACACTTACTCTCATTTGATCCCTGACACATTTGAAAGGAAGCAATAGGACATAATTCATAGAGTAGCGCGTTAAAATCCCAATCGACAAGGGAGAAGGAAGAAGGGTTTCATTGAGAAGAATTGGTCGATTAAGAATAGCATCTTTCTAAGTCGCTGATGTTATACAAGGAAATCGCAATGGAAGGAGAGGAAGGTCCAGCTGGGTAGGGGGATGGGCGGACCCCCGACCAAAAGACTTTCACATGGCCCTCTCTTCGCCATTCTTGCACCTTGAGAAAAGACTTTCAGGGAATCAGCCTGCTCAAAGCCTGTCGCTCGCTCACGCAAGTCAAAAGCGCTTTCCACTAAAGAAAACATTCGAGCCGTGCGTCGACGAAAGCGGGCATTAATGCGAATCATACGGGACTTCGGCGGCCTCTTCTCCGAATAGGTATAGCGCAAACATTGTATCTCCCCATTACTCTTGCAACAATAAACGATGCTTTCGGCTTGGATTTGGTGAAGACGGATGACCTTACATATCACTGCGACGTACAAATAAACGCGAGGGATTACCCTTAAGCAAAGATAGAGTTCTCAGACTGGCTCTTCACTGTTGTTCGGCGCTACCCTTTTTCCCCTCCGCAGCCACTTCCTCTGTTCGGGACGTGGCGGAATGCCGGGCAATGACCCGAGCTTTCACCAGTCAGTAGAACAAAGGAAATCTCACTTGAATTGTTGTTGTTTTTGTTCTTTGACTTCAGCGCTAAAAGAAGGGTGATATAGGACAATGGATTTAAACGTGGTATAATAAACTGAACAGAGGGAGGGCCACTCTCAAACATCTCAAACACTTGCCTTTTTCTTCTGCTGAGCACAAAAGTTATCGCATCAACGCTTTCCAGCCATGTCAGGCGTTCATTTCCTAAATGACGTTTTAGTTCGAAATGAGGACCACGACAACTATCTCGACGGCAAGGCCCACAAGGCTGCCAGTGACAAGAACTACGACGACCAAGCTATGATTGCGGCCCGCATGCAGCCTGACCCCGAAACGGAATGGCCTCCCTATCAAGTCTACATCACTATTAGTGCGCAGATTCTGAGGAAACCGTATTCTGGTAGGGACGACCAAAAATGGAATTACGACAAGGAGCTGGATAACTCAGGGCTTCTACCTACTTGGAGAAAAGATGGCGAAGACAGTGCAAGATCTTATATCACAAACGAGGAACCAAGAATGGAATTTCCGGATCGAATGCATAAAATGACACTGATGAGATTTTCGGGCCTTGCCAATGAATACTTCACCTTCAATCCTAAGGAAGGAGTACTGCCTTTACCGGTAAGATATCCTCGACAGCATATAATGGGGGAGGTGCTGCCAGGTTATCGAGATGAAAAACACTACTCTAACCCCCACATGGCCTACATTCACCGAAAAACGGTCGCAGAAAGAATTATTCCTTGGTTTCTAGAAGCGGCAAAGGTTAAACCTCCCAAAAAACCTAAGCACTTCGATATTCCCGACAATCTAATGGATAAAATCCACCTTTATAACGCCATGCTCCAACTCGGAATGGATCAGTGGCTTATACGACCCCTAACTCAAGCCCTCTGTGAGCAGATGTTTCAGACCGATTTGGTTAACTGCCACCTCGATGTTTTGGAAGCTACGATCTGTCGGCTTTACTCACAAGGCTTGCCGATTCTAGATCCTGTAGTCAACCATCTCATTGGAACTTATGCGCTTAGGACCCCTGAAGATCGCCGCAATGTGCGCGACCAACTTGAATACAAAAGAGAGAATGCACAAAGACCTAATTTCCCTGAAGATGAGCGGCTAGTGCCTCCACAACTACCACTCCTTGGCCATTGCATTAAACACTGGTCAGGGGTTTTGGAAGATGACACTATTAGCGCAGCGCATTTGGGTAACCCCTTGAATGTTGGGGTAGTTTATCACAGATATGACCGCCCGTACCCTGGCCAGCAGAGTTGAATGTCAGTAAATGAGTATGATCAAACACATCTGGCACAAGAACAAAATTCCTAGGAGAGGGAAGAGTGGGAGACTTCATTTCTACTTTCGGCAAAATGCGCTGTAGAAGCTCTCGACTTTCGACCGTATTGTTTCTTTGCGAACCTAGATACTTAGTCAATGCGGTTGTTAATATGATTTTAAGAGCCAGCTTTCCTAATTGGAAGTCATTCTAATATTTTCAGATATATCCATCCATCACATTGATTCCTCGCAATGATCGTATCAATACTGTGCTCTCTCTAATCATGGACAGAGGAACCTGGCATAAGGGAATATAACAGAGAGGCTGCTAACATGATGCTGATTCTGCCCTAGATATCCCTTTCGTCTCCTGTCGGGGATAATCACGGAACTTGTGCGCTCCCTCGATTAGACGGGACATTAGAATCGATGACCGTATTGCTAGAGAAATCAATCGGTACCTAGTGCGAATGCAGTGGAGTGTAACTCGGTAAGTTGCTGAGTAAAGAAAGGCGTTAAAGGATATTCTAACAAAAGGCAAGAGCCTTCGTTCATCTCTCATATGTTGAGATTCTTCCTCAAAGACACTTTAAGCTGTATTTGCGCTTCGTCAAACGATACCCTTATCCAGTAAGGTTGAAGCCAGTTCTGACTATTGAAAGCTTGATTCCCCGAGGAAGAGGTATTCTCGAGAAGACTCAGTTCTTGTAGGCCTGGGAACTTGAAGGACTTATTGATCGCGAATTCTTGGATCCAATCGGACTGCGTCGCATCAACCCCAGTTGAGAGAAATTGGGAGTATTCTTCAGCATCGAGTTTCCCATTAGATGTGGAATAGAAGATGCCGATATTTGCGGGGAATTTGAGCTGAATTGAAGAAAACTGTTAGCTGAGACCTCTCCGCTACGTCTCAGTCACTAAAGGGCGTACCTTGATGGTTTCTGCAGTCAGTGGGAAGAGCTTGTAGACACCACCGCGGCGTATATTTTGAGAAATAGGCGCAAGGAAGAGCATGGCTGGGACATCGATATTCTTTAGCTTTGAGAAGCTGCTAAGGTCGAGGCGTGAACCATCGTATTTCCTCCAAATTTGTTTGTCATCATAGAGTTGTAGTTTTGTTAGAGTTTTAGCGACATGCATCAGCGAAGGGGCGAGATTGATTGCTGAGAATGTCTCCATCTCTCTTTCTCGAGATGTTGCGGCCTCCTTCAAAGGTCGCTGAAGGGGTAGGTTGCACTCTAGGAGCTGAAGATTCCGACATCGGCGAAGGACGTTCGCGAAAAGAGGGAAGGCAATTTGTGAATCTTCAAAACTGAGCTCCTTCAACCAGATATCCGTCGCTGCTTTGGGGAACTTCGAGTAGAATTCGAAGTCGTCGAGAAGCCAGAATCGCCATTTCCGAATGACTGGGAATGAGATCAATTCAGCCACATCTTTTACATCTAGACCACCGGGTATATCTAACTTCTTGAGCGTGTATTTCATTTGAAGTGGCTTAGCGAACAATGTTGGAACTATATGGTCATACGGTAGGCCGCCCAAGTCAAGTGAATGCAATGCTGGAAGAGATTGGAGCAGCTTTCGAATCTTCCTGGCGGATATATTACAACTCTTTTCGCCAGTCGTAAAGGTCAAATGCCGGACATTTCGACCGTAGCTATGGTCTTTATTCACTGACTTCTGGAAGAGAACGAACGTCTGATCGTTAGAATGAGCGTATAACGTGACGTCTTTGGGAATGTACTGCCGCGTAAATATCCAAAGAGCACGGCAAGTTAAGGCGAGATTCAAAAGATCGGTTCGAGAGTCTCCTTCCGAAAGTATTTCCAGGATAAGGTGCATGATATCGATGGAAAGCATGGAAAGTGGAGTTCCATGGTACGGTCCGCAGCCTTGCTGAATTCGGAGAGAACGTCGAAGGCGAGTCAAATTGCGCCTCAGCATGCTCATAACGCAGGAAGATTGGAAAGTGATGGAGGAACTGTCGGGGCGTAAGATAGAAATATATCGGGTGGAGAAATTAGAGATTCAGGGTGGAGGGAATCTGGCTAGGCAACTAAGAACGGCCAGATTTTCTTGGCGCCAAGTGATTCTTGCTTTCACCTCACTTAACCTAAGAACTAACGTAGGTGGCAAACAATCGAAGGGAGCAGGAGGTCTGGTAGCAAATTTGTGAACAAATTCTGAAACCCCTTGGGACCTTCAATAATAACGCAGTTCAACAATTTTAGTTGATGATATCGAGAACTATATATTCTTCCCTCTATTTTCACATTTCAGTACCTGCTCTGAGTTGGATGAGTATTCTCTGGCTTCGTCTCGTAGTTCGCGACTAGGTAAATCCTTGGGGCGCTCCTTGATCAGAGACTCTACCGCTTCGTCCACCATCTAGATTGAAAGCCCCATACATTTCATCCTTTTCAAGATCAGGAATTTCCGCGGAGGTTGTAGATAATAGTTGACAAGATAGGAATGGGAATCAGTCCAAATAAAACATTTCTTGATTGGGAAGACAAGTAGGGAATTATCGATACAAGTAAGAGAGGAGAACGCGGTCAGTCAGAGCCTGTTGTGTATCGATGGAGTACTACTTAACGTGAGAGAGATGCTAGTAACTATTGAAAATTACTATTAGAACACAGTGGAAAATTTAATGGAAGAGTAATATTATATATATTCCCAAATGATCTCGCCATGTCATCTCCCATTCCCTGCAATATTTCAAAAGATAGACGTGCCATTACTGCAACAGGCCTTGCACGTGGGACTCGGCCCTATATCCTCTTTGCTTGCTTCGCTATCTGAATAAATCGAAGGCATAAAGCGCATTTATAAAGAGCTTCCACCCTGAGTGCCCCACTTCCTGAACCAAAGCTTTTCGATAAGAGTGGCTTACTCCCTACTAATCCTCCAAAGCCTAAGCGTATTGACGGTTTCCATGCTTTAATCCAACAGGCTTCAAGGCTTGGAAACCCCGTAGACGTATGAACCACTCCAGAACAAGGGAGTGGCAGTACGCGTGTTCAAAATTTTCGGTGTGGGGGCAGGTTCACTCTTCGTTTGTAATCAAAAAAAATGTTGCGCTGTGTTGTACAGTGCACTGCTGGCTGTCATAAAAGGAAATGGTGATGAAGACTGTATTGGCTAGTAAAGTAATAAAGCGGTCCGGGAGGGCGGATGTTTGCCACAACGTGAACTAGATTCGATTTAGATAAGTGTAATTATGAAGATCACGCACTTCCCAACGCTATATCTTAGCGCACATAATGGAACAAAAATGGGATGGCCTTGATTAATTAGTACCATTTCTTTCCTCCCTAAGTTCTTTGTGCGTGCTTGATAAGTACATTCGATGAGGGACTGCATCAATCGAGTCGCTAGGCGTCGGCATGATGCGTTTGGTTAGTAGTTTCAGCTAACAAAGAGGACACAAGGGGATGGACAAAAATTTTTCTCGTAAATGGAAGTAGAAATTGTATGGATACGAAACAAAACCGGAAGAGGAACATTAAGCATGCCTCATTATTCCTCGATCATGCTGAGTACTACATCTTGCCGAATCACATGATGATGACTCCTGTGTTAGGCAGATCTACGCATAATGTTGACGTAGCCGCATGATATTCAGGTAATATGAATGACCTCGATATGATTATATGATGGCAAATAGGCTCCGAATATTCCATCAGTAACGAGCAAGTGGATTACAAATACCTTCTCCACTAGTTAAATAAACATCGGGTCCAAGATTCCTTGGCTTCCGGCTCAGCCGCATCTCAACCCTCTTCCAAAGTCTCACACACCCATATCTTTAACTTAAAGTGCCACTAAAGGTCCCACCTGTTAGTACAGCCCTAATCAGCCTTTCTTTATCGGCAACTACATTATAGGCATTGTCCGCCTATCTCCCTTCTCTCTGGGCCCCAACTGGCCGCTCAAGCTCATGATCACCGCTCTACTCAACAGCAGTATTGAAGCCGCTCAATCTGCAATTAGCATATACAACCTTCTCTCTACCACGAAAGCGTATGGCTCACGTACCAATCTCGTGCAAGACCCAAACATCGATAAGTTAATCGCTAATGAGGCCTCCGCCGGGTAATTTTAAAGTATTCGAACATATAGTTTGCGCCAATACCGATCATGGATAGATTACCGAATGCATTGATCATTGTGGCGAAGGCGAGGACACCCCAGTGCAGATGCTGTTTTAGTCCGACACCGAAGATGACTACGCCGACAGGTGCTATTATGAATGAGGGGAACCAGAGTGTGTGGAGGCGGTACTCGGGAATCCAAGTCCCGCCCCGGTAATTTGCTACCCATAGTGGAATACGATCTAGTACGAAAAGAGAACTTGCACATGTATTAGTCCTACTTGCCATCTAGTGTAGGACATGGTAGAGAGGTAATTTAGGACAGAAATCGAGATCCTGGGAATGGCCTCTTTACTTCTAGCAAAAGGTTTAATAGATGGACCCTACCCTGATCATATTTTACGTTGTATGATAACATGTTGCATAGGATACAGGATCTGGACTTGCGCGATTGAACTTCGTCTCTTCCAGAATAAGCAGCACCAAAAGAGCAGAAAAGGCGACCATGGCAATACTCCACCAATATTCAACGGGCCAGTCAGCATTTGCTGCAACGAATCCTGCAAATGTAGGACTGAGTATAAATCCAAAGTCAAGGGCAATGTAAAAAGCTGTGAAAGCCTGGCCCCGCTGGTGGAGGAAGAAGATATATAGGATAGTACGCGCTCCTACTTGGATAGTCACAGTACCGAAAAAGCCTGCTACAAATCGCGAAGCAAGGTAGCCTCTGTAGTCGGTCAACTTAGTCATCTTAGTCGCCTAGGTCTGTGCTGATAGGGTCCCGAGAAGGGCCCAGAAGATAATAGAAAGACTGCCAAACCTCCAAGCCAGTGGGGTCATTACGAGTCCACCAGCCGCAAGTCTGGCAGAGGCGGGAGAACTACGATAGGCTACTTCGCTTGGCTTTTTGTGATAGATCTTGGACTGTTGAACAAGGTTGATTTGGTCGGCAAGAGGTGCTGCAAGTGCGGAGAAGGATGCGATACAACCGACCGCGAGAATGCGACCCTTCTTAGCAAATGGCCAGTTCTTTGGTTAGATCAGTCGTTATGTGAAGGCAAAGAGGGTTGATCGGGGGAACTGACGAGTGGATCTCGAGAATCATCACCAGGTTGAGGTATGAGTAATACTCGAGCTTGCCCCTGGGTCCAAGAGATGTAAATGGGAGCAGTTGACTCGGTGGATCCGACACGTGACTTTTTTTCGTCCCCCATGACTGTGATGTAGGTTGGTGGAGAATAGTGTCTGAGATAAGCGCCGTGAGAGGAACTTATAGAACACTCGCTCATTTTTGGGGAATCTAGAACCTGAATTGACGTGACAACGGGACGTATATTGATACATACTCTAAGATTGCACAACAGGGCCAAGTCTGGAATAGGATAGATAGTTGCAATCACAGTGAGCTACATATGTGAGCAACAGTCATAAAAGGATCAGGACTCCCTTTTTGATAGCTCCCAATATTCATTCTTTTCAAACATGGGTCGAGGAGTTAGTTGTTGGAGAGTCTCCTCTCCTTGTACGAGACTGGCCGAGATCTTATAATTTTAAGTGCCGAGAGCACAAGCAGCGTTCCTAACCGTACGTAATACGTTACAACTTGCTAAATTAATAGTTGTAACTTCTTAGATTGTAAGTATGTTTTAACATAAGCATAACATTTAAGTCTACTTACAGAGCGTAACTATTATAATTTACATTTTTTCTATGTTTTAATATTTTATAAAAAGTTATGTTATAACAGCTTATATATAGTCTACTAAAGATAATAATTTACTATAAATATAGCACTAATATAGCTAGTTTTTCTACAGTTAAAAAGCTTTAATTATTAGGCTAAAAAGCTTATTTTTGTTATAAGTAATAGTTCTTTTACTACTACTAAAGCTCCTCTTACAGTTGCAGCTTGTAGATAGAATAGATAAAAAGTTAAGAGTAATTTTATATAGTGTAGAATAGGTAAGCTGTCTAACTTATTCTTACTATGTAAAAAGATTAGTAAATAAAGGGCTATTATTCTTAGCTATAGTAACATCTTTATAGTAACTATTATAGTATTACTATAATTCTATTATTTTTTGCTGCTTTTTATATAAATAATTACTAGTAAAAAAGCTTATATTTATAAAAAAAGTTTACTTAAAGCTTTTATTATAATACTTGCTACCTAGTAACTTATGTTGTGTAGATAGTAGTTGCTTGTTATTCTCTACCTCTACCTCTACTTTAGTATTAACATACTTTTAAAAAATAGCTTTTATTAAAGCCTTAGCTTTTTTATGCTATAAAAAGTGCTTACGCTAGTAGTTTTTAAACTAAAGAAGATAAAGCTAAAAGTTAAGAATAGTTATAACATAATAATAAAATATAAGCAGCTTTATAATAAACTTTTTCTAGTATATAAGCAACTTCTCTATGCTAAATGCTATGCTAGATTTAAAGTAGTAATTATTACTTTTACTCTTAAGTTTATCCTTTATTTAGAGAAGCTTAGTATATAGGTGTTGTAAGTTAACAATAGTTATTTATAGAGATCTATATAAGCCCTTACCTTTAAAGTATTTTATTATAAAGTAAAAGACTTTAAAAAACTTATAAAAGTAATTAACTTTTTTTTATTTATTTTTAGTAATAATCTTAGTAAGAGTAGCATTACTAAGAATAGTAGAGTTAGTGCTATTATTCTTAGTGCCTCTTTACTTATAAATAAACTTAGTAATAGTGTCTTTAAGCTTATAACAGTAGAGAAGTATAAAATAAACGCTGTGCTAGTGTACACTACTATCTTATATAAGATTAAGGGTTCTAAAGCTCTAGAAAAGGTTCTTATTATTAAAAGTAGCTTAAAAAGTTATAAAAGCCTTTTAGTGTTTATATAACACTAATACTATGTTTATAAAGTTATAAAGCTTGCTTATAACTTTATGCTAATAGTATAGTTTAAATTAATCTTAAGAAGCAGCTTAGGCTAGCGCTGCTTTAAAAGCGTTTATCTCTTTTCTATATATAACTGCCTTAACTACTAGCTAGATTGTATAACTAGCGCAGCGTATACAGTGCTTAGAGGTAAGGGGCCTTTTAAGATGTTATATAAAGGCAGAGATAGTTTTATTATTATTATTTAACATATTATTAGCTACTAAATAATAAAATTTTAACATAATTTTAAAGTTATTAATAACTTTAATAATCTTCTTAGCTTAGTTTACTCTTATATAGTTACTATATAAGTTATAAAAGCTAATAAGTACATTATAGTGCTAGTAGTTAACATCTATATTAGTATAAGTAAGCATGTTATTATTAATTTTTATAGTGCTAAAGCGCTAAAATAATAAGCTAAGGTACATATACTAATAAAGTGTAATACTACACTTAGAAAGAAGAGGTAGTTTAGAGAAGTTTATATATTAATACTTAACATAATTTTACTTTAAGCTATTTTTAGTATTATTTAAATCTCTACTCTCTAGCATAGGCAGGCTTTATTTACATAAAAAGAAAATATAGTATCTAAGACTAAAAAAGCTATAAGAAGATTAGCTTAGTTTTAAGTAAAAATGCTTTAAAGTTTTACTAATAATACTATATTAAAAAAAATATTATAAAGAATAACTTAATTAATAACTGCTACCTATAACACTTTTTCTTACTACATGTTATAAGAGATAATATATAATAAGCTAGTAACCTTATAAGTAGCTTTAAATAGACTTACTAAAATTCTTAGCATATTAAGTAAAAGACCTTTTTTAAAGATATTAATTTTATGTTTTTTTCTAAGGTAGCTTATAATATAAGTGTAACTATTAACTTTCTTTACTTTTTTATAAATACCCTTAGTGTGGCACCTTTTATAGAGCTATAGCTTTACTTTAGAGCTGTTCTTTTTATTATTATACACTAAATCTGCTTTATGCTGCTAAATCTAGAAAAGCTGCTAGTTTCTATAGAGCTAGCTTTTGTGCTTTATGTAATACCTAACTTTTTTAGGCCTTAGCTTTCTATTTGCTAGCTAGAGGTTATTTTACTTTATAGTAAAAGCTACTTTGTTATTAAAACTAGTGTTAGCTAGGTACTTTTTTAAATAGGCATTAAATAGTGTACTGCCTTAGAATAAAACTAAAGAGAAAGATAATAAGGCCTTTAACTTAGTAAAGTAATAAAAACTAGCATAATAAAATACATTAGTTTACTAGAAAAAGCTAGCTTTAAAGAATCCTTAAAATAAAGTAGTACACCTACTGCGCTAAAGGAATTAGGACATTTAGCTTATAGTAGGTAAGATAATAGATGTAGATAAATTAATAATAATTTATAGGCTAAAAAGCTAACTATTTATATAAAATAGCACACTTTACTTCTAGCCTTTACTATAAGTGCTAATGTCTTATAAACTTTAGAGTTTTTACTTAATTATTACTCTAAAAACATAACTTTAAACATGCTTTTAATGTAATCCTATATGTGTCTAATTAGGTCCTATTTTAGTAGGAAAAGTTGCCTTTTTAAGACGTACTATAGTCTGTAATGGGCGCTCCTCTAGTCATACGTTACAACTCATATCTCTCCTACGTTTCAACGGCTCACGTGACTGTTACGGGTCGTATACTACGACTCGTAGTACGTACGGTTGGGAACCCTGAGCACAAGGTTGTATACCTGATGTCCTCTACCAATCGTTTTACAGTTGAGGAACCAACGCTTCGGAACCAATACAGACCCCGCTGGTGATTATCAGCATGAGCGATATCGATGCATCTTTTGGATGCTATTGAATTAATGCAACTACCTATAAATTTACGTATTTACCCCCAGTTTCCCTTCGCCATGTTAGAAAGAAAGACCACCACAAGCTGGGATTAATACCATGATTAATAAACTCGCGTAACGGTCCTTCAGGAGTCAGAACAATCCTCAATTTCTATCCAAAGCGACCTGATGGAGAGTTAGTTCATACAACGACTCCTTCATTCTTTAAACGGAAGCTTGACTCACGGTGCATGGTTGTGGAGAATATTCGCGGTCGAGAAGACGAGTTTACCTTTGACCGAAACGCTGCGCAATGGTTCACAGCTCCGACGGCCATGTCTTACGGGGACTATAACGACCCGGAGAAGGTGAAGGTGATATACCTGCCAGAGGCCATCTAGATTCTCAAGGAGACGTAATTATTAGCCAATCACGGTTCTCGGCTGGATGACATGATTGCCAATAGACTTGGAGCGACCCATATAATTGTCCAGAATTCTAACATCCGTCGACACCCTTGACCCACAGACGAAGAATTAGCCGCGTTCGACGAAAACGACATCACGACTAACTTCAACCGTCTCGGTGCGGCCCGCGACATCCACGTCGACGCGACGCGAGGGCTGCCGAGAAGGCTTTGAAACGACAGATCTCTGATGAAGAGGCCAAAAAGTTGAGGAGATGGTCTTATTTCTCATATTGGCGCCCACTGAAGACTATTCGAAGGGATCCCATCTGCGCAGCCGATGGATTGATAATTTGTAGTGAAGATCTTGCGGAGTTTGACAGGTTGATCTCTCATATAAACGTTTCGACGGAAGCCACAGCGTCAATTACAAGCCTTACCACAAATTTTTCTTCCGATGGGGGCATGGAGCCTGACGATGTTGTGCTGCTCAAGTTTCATGATACTGTAGAGAAAGATGACTGGGCGAAGCGTAGCCCGCATTGTAGCGTCGAGGATCCGGCATTCAAAGACGAAACCCCGAGAGAGAGCATCGAGCCGTGGGAGTGAATGGTTGCTCGATTGAACGTCTCCTCATCATTTTGTTGTCTTTGCTCTTCGGAGTGGTTTGACTGAAGAACAATGGCAGGTGCCGATCTCTAATATCGGCATTTAGGGGACATCATCATAGTCTGCGTTGCATCCTGTATCGTATCGAGTCCGGGCATTAATGGCATTGCAGACTTGATAATACAGTCGCATCACAAAGCTGAGAGGTGGTTGAAGTGACACGTTCGCGTTGCGGGGAAGGTGCAGTCTGGACACGGCCCGATCACTCCGTGAAAGACTTTTCCCCAACCGGATATATGACACCCCACCACGCGAGCCTCGAGAAAAAGTAAACCTCACCAACAGCCTTGTCTGTCTCCCAAACATCTTATCCCGTTGTAAAAATGGCCTCTAGAAATGGCGACGACCACTACCTCACCCTCTCATGTCCGGACAAGCCCGGGATCGTGCATGCCGTCACAGGGTTGCTCGCAGCCAATAGCTTCAACATCCTCGATCTTCAGCAATTTTCCGACCCAGCATCTGAGACCTTCTTCATGCGCGTGCACTTTGGTCCCGCTTCAGATCTCTCTCCCCTCCTCCCTTCCATGGCTACCCTCGCCGCAGAGATGAAAATGGACTATGAAATCCAACCCTTACAAAAGAAGCCACGGGTCCTAATCATGGTATCTAAAATTGGCCACTGTCTTAATGACCTCCTCTTCCGGCAAAAGAGTGGACAGTTAAAGATTGAGATACCACTCATCGTGTCAAACCATCCCGAGTTCAAGGAATTGGCTGCATCCTACGACATTGCATTCCACCACCTGCCCGTCACAAAGGACACCAAAGAAGTTCAAGAATCGCAAATCCTTTCTTTAATTAAGGAAAATGAGATTGATTTAATTGTTTTAGCGCGTTATATGCAGGTTCTCTCCCCGCGTCTTTGCGAAGCCATGTCTGGAAAAATAATCAACATTCACCATTCCTTCCTACCATCTTTTAAGGGGGCGAAACCCTATCATCAGGCGTATGAACGGGGCGTAAAGATTATCGGTGCGACGGCGCATTTTGTGACGGCAGATCTGGACGAGGGTCCGATTATTGAACAGAGGGTTACAAGAGTTGATCATGGGATGACACCAAAGGAGTTGGTAGAGGAGGGAAGTAATGTCGAGAGCCAAGTCTTGGCAGCGGCGGTGAAGTGGTGGAGTGAGAAAAGGGTGTTTTTGAATGGGAGCAAAACTGTTGTGTTCAACTGAGGGAATTGCCCTGGGGTTTCTTGTACATATTAGGGAATCAAAAGGTCGAAGGCCTTCAAGTGCTGATCCTCGCATTCCGCTGTGCAGACCGACGTCGGCTCCTTTAGTTAGCCCGCACTAGTCCCCGTCTCGAACTACTCAAGTGCATTTCAAGCCGCCACTGTGAATGTAGGCAACCCACTGTGTACAGAAAGAGTCCATATGAAAGTGTGAATCTTATGTTAAACATTAAAAAATTACCCTCTTCTCTTTCAGACATATCCTACATCAATTGTAAAATGGCGTCCACATCTGAACCCGACAAGAAGAACATACAATTAGAAGGTAAAGTCATCGCCATCACTGGCGCAAATCAAGGTACGTCTAACTGTCACCTCTATTGTCCCATTTTTGACTCATGTAATCATTATTGCCTCGAGCACTCACTTTACGATCCTAGAAATCGGCCTCGGGATAGCAGACTGCTGTCTCTCCAATGGCGCATCAAAAGTCTACTCTGTCGACATCGGCTCCCCTGGTAATGAATTTTCCAACCTACAATTAAAGTATCCAGACCAGTTCTTCTCTTTCCAGGCCAATGTCACAAAAGAAGAATCAATTTCCGTGGATCATATATTGTCTGAAACAGGAGCAATTCATGGTATGGTGTGTAATGCCGGGCGTACAAAACATATGCTGGCACTGGAATTTACGACCGAGGAGGTTGAGCAGCTTTGGGGTGTCAATGTAAGTTTGGAAGGCACCGTGGGTGTCTGCAGTATGGGGGCTGAAGACAGGCAGTTATACGAATCGTTTTGCTCTGCGAGAGTGGCAGCGAGGGCGTTCATTAAACTCGGCGTCAATGGCGTCTTATCGACCAAATAAAGTGAGGATTTCTTCCGCATTTCCCCTCTCACCCGTTCCTTCACGCCAAGATCCTTAACAGCAAGTTCCGTCAGCACCATACGGTGCCTCTAAAGCCGGTGCCCGGAACATGGTACACACCCTCGCCATGGAGTTGGCATAATACAATATCCGCGTAAACTATGTGTCTCCAAGCATTGTCAAAACCGCTATGACATATTGGGTGCCGCAGCAATCTGATTGGGAGTAGCAGTTGAAGTACTATGGCGGGATTCCCAGGTTCGCAGAAGTCGAGGAGTTGGGAGGAGCATATGTATATCTTTTGAGTGACGCGGCTAGCTATACAATGGGTATTGATATACCAATAAATGGGGTCATCGGTATTTGTTAGAGATGACATACGGCCGGATAATTGTGAGTATGTTGGGCTGTAAGGTCTCTTGTGAAGGTCTTGTGGATTGGATGACAGCGTTTGATGGGAGCCGTCCAACTCTTCGCCTGTCAGAACTTAGGTTGTTCGTTTTCGGTTCGAAATTCCTGAAGCTATGCTACTCCATCTTTTCTTTCTTTGACCCCAATCCGTTGTTTGCATACTTCGGTCCAGTATACTTCAACCCAGCATATGGCACTCCTCTCTTAATCGCCGTCAATTCCGAAGCAACCCCAAACGTGCAATGACTTAGACCTTGCAATCCATCTCCTGATCCAATATATTCCATCTCTTCCCCTCCTTCTGTTAAGACCCCAAATCTTAGGCGCGTATTCATCAGCTCCATTGGAAAAGGATCATTGCCTAAACATGCTCCTCGACTAATCTCGTCTAGCGTCGAATTCCTCGTAGTAACCATTATCCGCGAGAAACCAACCGAAAAAGTGGTTCCATCTTCCCAGACAGTCCAAGCTCCAATGATGAGGAATATTAGGGTGAAAAATATGACTGGTGCATAGCATCCCCAAAGCTTGCCAGCGTCATAAATGAAAGCTGCTTTATACCGCGTGGTATTCACCTCGACCCGATCTTCAGCAATCACGAGTAAATTCGGCGCTGAAAAAAGGGAAAGAATCATATCCGCATAAAAGTCTTGGAGCTCGATGTGAAGGTTATGAACCGGAAAACTGTTGGATTTCACAAGACGGGTTTTGGTGATATCGGAATAGGGTCGAGCGTAGGTGGCAGGACCAGGGATGGGTGGCTCTACTTCAATCTTCCCTTCGAGAAACTTCCGCAGAGATTGACCCACTGCATGGTATACGGCCGTCTTCTTATATAAGGGGACGTCGGTACGAGGGCTTACAAAACCAGAAGCGGGTACGAAGTCTTGGTAGTTTGGGATGCCATTGTCGTAGCGGGCATATGTTGTGTTGATGATCGGGGCAAGGAAGTTGTGAGAGATGGACGTATTGAAGAAGGGGCCTGTGTAGTTGTACTGAACAGTATAATTCGTCTCGTGATGGATGCATTGGAAAACATAGGGGTCGTATTTGGATGTCCAGGTGTCTTTAAAACGTGGGTCAGGGGGATCTGTTGTATTCACGGAGTACCCAATCCAGAGGATTGGTTCAGTCTTGAAGACGCCTACATCGTTGGTAATGTTGAGAGGAACACCTTGACGACCCAATTCTGTCTGAGGACGCAAGTATTCCCCGATGTCAACCTGGGCGAAATATGCTAACCGTCCGACAGGTGCTAAATAGCTCGTGTTGAAAGGTGCACCAAGTTCAGCCAGCTTCTTATCGTCATCTGCTCCATGGGCTAGCTCCTCGCACTTATACCCTGGGCCGACGAATGAAATTGTGTATGTGCAATTAAAATCGCCGCCACATGACCGGTACCTAGCGTCTTCTCGATTTAATGACTGGTTCTTTAAGCTATAAGCAGACATCAGAGATACACGCTCGATATCCGAGGCCGGCTTGTCATAGTAGTCAAACCAACCAGGGGCCGTCGCCGAAGGATCCGTAGTATTGACAAATATGAGAGATTTTTTCTTCGTAGTCCCATCCTTGGCGAACACCGGAACACGGTAGTCCTTGTAAGATTCAGCAGTGAAATTCAATGTTGGAACAGACAAGCTCGAGGTGTCGCGCTGGATGAAGACTCCAAATGTCAAGGCACCTGGGGACATGATGATGGTGGCGATAGGGATCAACCAAATTACCAACGCCATTAAAGTAGGAAGAGTTGCCTTGCCCCAGGTTTCCCAATGCAGAAACAAGGAGAGATCTTCAGTAGCCAAAAACAGCCGATCAATAGCCCAGACTGACAATACGTTCTCTCGGAAGGTCCTCCAGATCCGTTGACGGTAGCAGAGAATAACACAGCCACCAAAGGTAATCTTCGAGAAATATGCGAGAGCTCGTCCGTAAAGAACCAGGCGAATCCTCTTCTCAGGATCCTCTGGCGCCGTATGATGTAATCTTTTGTATAGGATGTGTTGGCTGAGAGCACCGAGTAGGCCAAGAAAAAACGATACAACCATGAGCGTTGGCGTTCTCCAATGAACTTTCCATTGTGCTGATTGGGTGGACCGATGTTGGATAAGGCTCTGGGTCATAAGATCCGTCCTCGCACGCGACAAACCCGACCCGAAAGAAGTTACAGAATCTGGAGTTTGCAAGTACTTCGGCCTCGGGCTTGACGATGAGAGGGGTGAATAGATGCTAGGAGAAGTGGCCAACTGGCTAAGATGGCGGACGTTGTCTGGAGACATTGGCGAAGACATTGGACTCATTTCAATACCCAACCCGGACTTTGCGGAACCCACTGTCTTCGTGGGCTTCCTTTGACTTCGGCTACGTGCATCTTTTTCAGTCCCAGGGGAACGGGTGGTGAAGAACTCAGGGCTGGAGACCCGGATCTCGGGCGATGAGACTGGAGGCGAGGCCGGCGAGGCTAAAGACTCCATAATTCGTCCAGAAAACTCAACTCGAAATCAGACGGCGCTGTGAGACATAATTGTGAACCTTTCACATGAGAATGCGACGGCTATGATGCCTGGGGAATATACAATTAATTGCAGGGAAAAATTCCAGAGAGGGAGGGCCAGAGGCAGGTGCAAGCTGAAAAGCACGCAAGGGCTGAAGGTTCAGGTGCCAAGGATTTAAGCCGGGGCCAAAATCCGCACCTGTGCATCGTCGTGCATGTAGTCGAGCGAATGAGGATGAATTCCAAGAACGCCACGTCGCTTGGTGCCCGGCATCAGCAATTTGGAAATGGCGGTTTTGGCAGATTAGGATAAAGAATAGAGAAAGAGGAGGATTTCCCTTCTAACATCTGCACCATTGCACCACAAGCAAATAGGATTCACGACTTGAATCGAATGGACAAACCCGCCTTTCTTCAAACATGTAGGGAATTTCAAACTAATCGCTTCACTCTTTTTGGAACTCCAGCCGTCCGGGAGTTTTTTGACCGAGTATTTGTACATATCAATGCAATCCGCCCAGTTGATTCGTCCGCGTTCAACGCTAGCCTGGAGGCGAAAGGTCACCAGCTGATCCCCCAGAGGTGCAAAGAGGGTATACATACTTGACTGACACGTCAGCGTCAGCTATCATCTGGTAGTCCGTAACGTATTGTATCAGTAAGCTGCGCATATCAGTAAACTGCGCGCCCCAAAACCCACTGAAAATGACGAAACCGCATCTCAAGGTCTCAACAAGAGCTTGAAAGAATAGTCTAAGATTTTCATTGTAGTTTTTGTTGCCTCTCTAGAGTATGCTGTAGATATATATATATAGAGAGAGAGAAATATATACTTCAATCCCTAAGACACCTGATTTTGACCTAATTTTACCCTAAATTTGGCCTGGAAATTTGATATCTTAACAACAGACTAAGTATAGAACCTAATAATCTAATATATGTCTTAGAAAGGGTATAAAAAGCTAATGTTAAATTATTAGATTTTTCTGTGTAGCCGTTCGTGAGATCTTGAGGTGTGCTTGTCGTCATTTTGGTGCTTTTTGGCTTACTGAGAGAATTCGTCACAGCCGAGCGTTCTTACTCGGCGAGAGAGTGAACACCGAACACATATTTGATGGCTTGACGTTTTGCTCAACCTTTAGCAATTGGCATTTATGGTGCTCTTTAATCCTCCAAACCCCGAATCTTCAAACATCGCTTTCGCCTGAACTCTCCTTGGAGATGAATCAGCCCGTCGTTTCCCTCGAGAAATCTCGCCAACAGCAAATCTCGAAAGCTTAGGTAACTAATGGCCAGACTTGAAAGTCCACTACGCAACCACAGTTATGCTAATGCTTCTTGAAAGGGGATTCGGGCTGCTACACTGAACAATTGTAGTTTGTGCTGAAAAAGAGAAACTGCGAGAGTCTACAGGGAATCTTACCAGCTATCTGCATAGGGTTGCAGTGAACACAACATTGAATGTCCAGGAGTGGAAGAAGATTAGTCAGCTGCTGGAAGCCGTCGGAATGTGATTGCACTCCATTGTGAGTCGTGCTCAGCGGAACTGAAATCTCAACGCTGGTGATGGTTTTTATCATATGTGATTCCCACCAGTTGATGATTCGGGGGGTAGGGTTTGCCAATGCACCGATGCAGAAAATGGGTTCAAGTCTCCACTTCCTTCTAGCGATACCGCCCTCCGGCCAGTGACGGATAACAGATCCGCTCAAGGCCTTGATTTAGCGGCCGTCCTTTTTTTCGGGGTGAGCGTAGCTCTGCGAGGGCCACATGCTCGTTCCACACTTCGAAAATGGGTTTGGCTTCCGCAGAGATCCAATAAAGAACATCCGCCGAAAATCAGACCCCAGTATTACTCAGTTTTGCATCCAGGTCCACATCACAAAGTCGGGTTGAATCGTCATTTGAATGCAGAGCGTGACATGTCTGGCACACAGTCCATTTTGAATCCCCGCGAAAGATTAGGCGGAGAAAGTGATCGTAGGTTGCGAGATCGCGCTCTTTCAAACCCTTCCAAGCAGACCAATCAATGGCGTGGTGAACGCGGCGATATGTTAACGAGAGCGCAGCGTTTTCAGAAATCGCCAGCAATGCTGCAATCTTGTGAAGAAGCTCAGCCGGGAGAGGGAGAATGTGCGTTAGATTCGGCAAGGATAGGCAAATGCGACCCGAAGAAAAGGTCGCGCAGAAATCTGTCACGTCTTCTCGGAAGGTAAAATAGCTGTAGGAAATGTTAGGCGGTCCAGGCAACAGATTTGATGTGGGGTTGACGGTACTGTGACGGTCCCAGCTACGGCGCTTGGTCTGGTGTCGGCAGATCCTCATTGTCAACCTTGGAATACTTTGGCCAGGCAATTCAAGAACAACCATAATGCTCGAACAAGACAAGGCACATAAAGATAGAGGGCTGCTTTTCATCTGGAATCCGTAAACCAGATTGGACATCTTCCAGGTGGGCACATATCCAAGGCAGCGAAGGAAATCTCCATGCGTTAAACTAAACTTGCATTAAATGGGCATTTCATTGTTCTCGGTGCAGTCGAGACACCTTCATACACAGTTCACAATAGTATTTAAAGGAAAATGGACGAATAACTTGGAAGATTCATATGATGGAGCTGCTTTCAAATGACAGAGAGAACTTTCGTTAGGCAATTCATTTTCCTGGACAGAATCATATCCTCCCCGATGGAAATTGGCCTTTATATACAACAGTAGCCACTTGATTTATCTGTCCATACGCCTCATATTTACGCGCATACACCGTTGGTACACTTCTGCCCACCAGCGCACTAAAGGGACATCATTAGAAGGGAAAGCTTTAGTTTCGGCATATTCACTCACCTGTTTAGCGCATGATCCACAGTTCTTGACGTCGGTTGCAAGGTTGAAGCAGCCATTAGGGCAAGGACTCAAACCCGCTGTGGTACACTTGCATTTTCCAGCTTGACAGGTCTGGCCTCCTCCACACTACAATAGTTAGCCAGATTCTCTCTTTTCTTCGAACAAATCATTAGAAATGTGGTTGGTGGTATACCTTATTGCCACAGGTACCGCAGTTTGTTGCATCGGTTTGGAGATCTTTACAAAGACCACCACAACTGGTTTGACCCGCCGAGATGCAAGTGCATTTTCCAGACGAACAGAACTGATCCTTCTTATTACACTAGACTGACAGTTAGCAATCCGAGCATGTGCATATAGGATTATAGAGATTTAAGTACCGTGACACCACAGGCCCCGCAATTAGCGATATCGTTGTCGAAATCCGGACAATTCAGTGTTCCTATAGCGCCTGGACATGGTGGCTTGCCAGTTTGTGTGCAAATGCAGGATCCGCTCGTGCATTGAGTCCCAATATCACACTACTAGAGGTCAGTTGTGTAAAGTGGGACGATATAATGAGACCTACTAGGGTGCCGCAAGTACCACAGTTGAACTGGTCGTTCTGCAGGTCAGTGCAGACTCCAGCGCAAGTCGTCGGACAGACACAGACTCCACCAGTGCATACAGAGCCGAGATCGCAGACGGTTCCGCATGCTCCACAGTTGTTAGTGTCAGTTTTGGAGTTGATGCATTTCCCACCACAGAGGATGTCGCTGGCATTTGGGCAAGCGCAGGCACCGTTGATACAGCTCAGCCCTGGAGCGCAAACTTTCCCGCAAGTGCCGCAGTTGTTGAGATCGGTTTTGAGATCCAGGCAGGTTGTACCACAAAGACTCTGTCCCGCAACAGGGCACGCGCACGCTCCGTTGGTACAAACTTGTGGTGCAGTGCAAACTGTTCCGCATGTTCCGCAATTGCTATTGTCAGTTTTGAGATTCTTGCAAGTAGTACCACAGAGCGACTGGCCGGCGGTAGGGCAGGCACAAACTCCGCTTGTGCAGACTTGTGGTGTAGTGCAAGTCGTACCACAGGCGCCGCAATTGGCCGAGTCGGTCTTGAGATTCTTGCACCCCGTCGAGCAGGCAGAAAGGAGGGAATTGTTACAGATGCAGTTGGACGACTGGCAAGTTGACGCTTGGGGACACTTGCGGTCGCATTAGTATACGTCTTAGGACGACTAATTTGTAAACAGGAGAACGTACAGTTTTCCCACATGCGCCGCAATTGTTGGTGGAGGTTTTAAGATTTACACATGTTCCAGAGCAAATAGTGAAGGCGGTGTTGGAGCAAGTACATTGTCCGGCGATGCATGTCCTCCCTCCGCCAACGCATTGGGGAGTGCATGCCTGGCCTAAGACCGTCGCTGCCCAGCCTACAAGTAGATGTGAGCACTTATATTTGGATTAGTTGGCCTCTGGGCTCACCAAACAACAGCAGAATTGAGGGCTTCATCGAAGGTGAACACGTCTCTCAAAATCCAATGAACAGCGCAAAATCCAGGAGAACCTGTTACCAATTTGTAACGTTCATGCTTGTGGTCTTATGTCTCACCGACCGCCTGGTGGAATGCAGCGGTGAACTCACTGTCCGCCACGAAAGTTCTTCTGTTGCGGAAGCGAATTTCTTCTAGGCGTGAAAGGCTTCGTCGAGCTGGAGAGTCAGTGGAAACTGGTTATTTACTCGCTTAATAATATCGAGGCGTTGAGGTAGCGATTGAAAAAGCTTGTCATTGGAGATCGCAACGAAGGCTTGGGTTTGGCGAATTGATTCCGCCTCTAGATTCCTAGTAGATTCCACTTCGTGGAAAGCTCGGGCGCGTCAAGCTCTGCGATCCGAAATGAGCTAGTGGTTTTGGTACTGCCGCTCGTTAAATAAGAGAGTGGTGTCGAAAGGGATGAGCTCCATATCTGATTAGCAGATTGTTACCTCTCAACGTTTCCGTAGGTTACTGACTATTCTGAATTTCTTCGATACCTATGGGCAATACATGAGCCGAGATGACGAGATACAGCCTGTTAAATACGATTGGAATGGTGCGTGAATAAAAGAGACATCAATTCAATTTGCCATTTCTAGATCGACTTGCGAAAGGATGTAGATGACGGGTGAGGGAAGAGTGGCGAGTGAAAAGTTCTAAGGATGGATGGGAGCTCCTGCCAAGAATGGCTAATGCGTGCCTGAGCTGGGAATTGTGTATGGAACAAAATCTCAGGGTTTTTGCACAAGCATCCGTTGGGTAAGCATCTGTCAGAAGGTCTTCGACGTAATCGAACTCATTGTAAAGAATCAGAAGACCGGATTTGAGGAAGATCCAAGGCTAACACGCTTCAGCTAATCCTTTCTAGAAGTTCAAAAATCATACGATTTCCAGATATCAAAGAATCCTCGATAATTTGCTATTTCAAAACTTAATGTATCACATAACTGTATGGCTAAATAAGTTTCTAGTTTGCAATACCTAATCCAAAGAAATGTTCCAAAAGACCAGAATTTTCAGCGCTACCTCTGCCACATATCCGATGTTCAAGAACCACACCCACACGAATACGAACCTAGAGCCTTACACATTAAAGCTCCTCCCCACTTTCCCTCGAGTCTAAAAACCCCCCTCATCCACGATGCTACCCCCTTTCACCACTCGCTGGCAACTTAGATCGTCTTTCACCCTCCTCGACTCCTGAAGATAGAAAACGTGGTGAAATACGTTAGGCTATACTCTGTTTAGAGTAGCACTATGCATGGTGGTTTGTGCGTCCTCGGTTCTCTCATCACCCTGGCTGAGCTAGCTGAGATAATTGTCAGATGAAATCGTTGACCTCCTTCACGTCGCTGAGAATGTAGCAGGAAAGGTGTGCAATTGTTCGGTAGATATTTGCTACTATTTTTCTGTCTCTGAACGGGCGGTCCACGTATTGTGACTGCTTGTCAGAGGACACTCTTTCTGCAGTCCCAACACTGGTCAATTTCCAATTTTTTGATTGCTATATCACACGACAATCATACAGGCGAGCTTAATGGAATTTCGTTCTTATTCAATGTGTATGTCTTTGCTAGACACCTTCAGGCGCTAGGCTTTCTATGGGGATGTAATCCGAACTTCACTCATAGATAGAATTCGTCGCCGCAGAACCGTGGCGTGCCTTCCAAACGCGTGGCCGGGCTGTCCTCTCAGTCTACCATCCACGTTTCATTTACATTTTGATGACACCTTAGAGCACACTATATGATATCAAGGCATCGTAGCGTTGTATTGCTGCTTTCAAGAGACTCCTGGTAGGTGTTCCTCACTATATTCCCAGAGAAAGGCCTCCATAAAGCCCACCGGCTTCGATCGGCTTCCGGTGCTTTCCTTATTTCACCTTGTGGACAGTGGCGGATACTGAAGTTTGGTGAGTGACTAATAGAACGCAATCTGCACCTTCCTCAAGCTCTCACACGGCTTAAGCCCGAGTAGACATAAACACCCAGCCCAGATTCTCTTGCCCCCCCTTCACCTTCTAGTCACGACTCCACCCTTGTACCTTCCCCATACCATCAAATTCAATTCTGCCAACCATGAAGCGTTTCCTCCTCATCCTCGCAGCCACTGCTACCATATCTACCGCGGCTCCCACAACTAGCGATAACTGTCAGGCTTGTAAGACGTTCTACGATCGTTGTGTGGCTGTATGTCAAACCTTCCACATCCATTCCTTCCCCTGCCATAAACCAAACTTCCCTCCTGCGTAAAGTTACAATGAAGTGGGAGCTGACTCCTTTCTATGTAGGGCAACTGGGGTCTCGGCAACTACCGGGGCCAGTGGCGCAACTGCCGGGACGATACCTGCATTGCGAACTATCCGCTTACTTTCACACCCATGGAGGTGAGTTAAAGGGCGATTCTCCTCGAAGCTGAAGCCAATGTTTTGTGCTTATAGTGCGGCCATTGCGGATACTGTGATTGGAAGAAGGGCGAGGAGCATGGCGAGATGGCCACAGGTAGAGCTCTTGCTGGTGGTGCAGCTGGTGAGGCCGGAAAGGTCTGATCGACGCGACATCCCCACTGAGTCATCTACTCATGATTGTAAGCTATTTCTGCTTCAACACGATGGATCGACTCACTGATGTCTCACCTAGACGGAATAGAATGGATTTGCAAAGGAGAGATGCTTTACGAATACCCTTCCATTACAGGCTCATTTAGAAGTAGATTCGTGGAGGAGAGGAATTAGGTTACTTCCTAGGGAGATTGCGGCGGAAGAGGCTGCATACACAATAGAAATCCTCTTACACTTTCCTAAATAGGCAAAATACCCGTTCTGCAGCTCGTATGAGGCAGTCTGAAGGCCTCAACATTTTGTCAATTCCACACCCGCATCTCATCAACCTTAATAACCTTGCCTACCCCCTCCGTCGCCCCAGCCTACCGCCTCATCAGGCTCATGCGCGTAACATGGCAACATGCTAGCGGGCTTCCCGACAGCATTTTCTTCTCAACACCTCTGGTCTTTCAGTGTCACCTTCAATGTGTCATCTACACTTAATTCACTTCTTGGTGTCATCTTAGAAGCCACGATGAAATAGCCCGGTCATCTGAGTTTATATTAATACTCGAGATCTTTACGAGAGACGTCGGTAAGTCCTCATCAAATGAAATTCTCCATCGAGGTTCCGTACTCACTAATTAGGGAGTGGGAGACCATGGGGCCTCAGGGAGAGACCGGGATACACCACCGTCTTCGAGCTCTCACGGGGTCTAACTTTTGAGGGTCTCAAGAAACCCTAATATAAGAACCTCCCCTCCACCATAGACTGTCTGCCATCCCATCAACTCCTACCCTGAACGCCCACCTTCATAACTTTTCGACATACTAACAGCTTCAAACCTCTCAGATTCAACTCCATCAAACATGAGGCTACCCTCCTCGCCACTGCAGCTACTACTGCCGTCTCCTCCGCTGTCCCACCCGTTCATGCTATTATTGCGACCATCTCTTTCAAGCTTGGGTAGACGTACGTTGAACTTCCCGCATCCCTTCTTTGCCTGTCCTAACCCACTTTCAGCTATCTGATTTACAACGGGCGTAGAGCCCACTGTCCCTATAAAGACAAATCTGGGCATGGGCTGCCGCGGTCACCGCTGGTGGGGTAAAGATCGATAATTAATGTAGCCTCAAAGTGATTCTTACCTCCTATGGCAGCATCACACAAATGACACAATGGAATAATCCGGCTGTAGCCACGAATGAAAGATTGATGCTATATTTAGCGACAGTGAGTAAAACCGCAAAATAGAGAGAGATGAACTGGTGTTGTGCCATGTTATGTTATATACTCGCACACTAAAGTATATATAAAGAATGTTGCTAGGAGATAGATGTTGATAGTAAGGACCAAGACGTAGCATCCTTGTAATGAGTGATTGACACTGAAATGATACGGCAGATGGAAGGCAACATTGGAACAGGCACGAGAATTCAGTGGCTGTGTGATTCAATCCCTTCGGCTTGCACTAGCATTACTTCTCTTGTAGCTGGTCTTCCCACCCCACCCCATTCCCCGCCTTCTTCATTTTGATATTGCACCTGGGAGCGAGTTCGCAGTCTCTTCTCAGGTGGTGAAAAGCGGGTGTAGAGCACTATCACTGCCTACAAGAATGTAGCAAAGATGCCAGCGAGAAGCGGAACGAAGAGATACGGCATTGATTGGACAGTAAGACCGGAAGCGGCGTTCGTTGTGCCGCCAGTTGATTGGGCCTGGGTAGCGCTGCTTGAAGCAGAGGCTAAACATAGTCAGCATTATTCCGATCACATATATCAGGAGGTAAGCCTCACCACCACCGGAGTTGGCCTTCTGCTGCTGAGCGCACAGATCCGTAAGTGTGGTATTGGCCTGCAGAGCCTTCAACTTGGTTGTTGCATTACCAATCTTTTCCTCTAGCTTCGCCATCTGGGTGTCATTCAGCTTCTTCTTCGCCATGAAGGCATCCATGGCGGTTTGGTTGTTGGCAAGGTTGGCCAAGTTCGCGAGTTTCTTCATGGCCTTGCACTCTCCCACAACCTTCTGGTGAGCATCTATGACGGCGCATTCGGTGACCAGCGTCGTGTTGGCCTGCATGGTTTGGAGCTCAGTGGTGGCGTTCGCAGCCTTCGCTTTCAACGCCTCGACTTCTGTCTGATTGAGCTTGCCCTTTGCCACCAAGGCGTCAAGCTTGGTTTGATTGGCGGCGAGGGCGGTAAGGTGGGTGAGTTTGGACATGGTTCGACAGGCCTTGTTTACCGAGTTTCCATTGGTGGTGCCATTGTTTTTACCGCCTTTCCGAGGAGCAAGAATGCCTTCTGGCCAGGCATAGGATGAGGTGACGAGGGCGAAGAGTAGCGCAACGATGAAGCTGAAAGAACGCATCTTGATAGCGACAAACGATAGAATATCCACACAGAAGGTGAAGAAAAGAAAAACGTTAATGACAGGGGAAGGCGAGAAGTGAAGGTCGGACCGGCCGAGGCAATAATCGAGAAGAATGGAAAGGATGGCTAAGGAGGGGGTTTGCACTTGGCACTCATGGCTCGAAACTATATACATGAGGCAACAAAGGGTACGCTCATCGACAACTACGCGGCCACTGCCTAGTCGAAACAGCGCAGAAACGTGGTCGTAGCGAGCGTGCGTGAGGTACTTCAAGGTGGTTCCCCATCAACGTAGGATGAGACGCCCTCGCGAAGCATTGCACCCCGACTGTTAGAGAAATCCCCAGAACTACATGGCTCATGCGAATGGTATGAGGCTTAAAGGTTGAAAAGGGAAAGGGAAGCGCAATTGTGGAGAAGCGCTAAGTTTGAGCGGGGTGACGACAGAGGCGTATCAGGAAGAACATCAATCGTAGTCGAGAACCCGAAAGCCAGTCAGTCGAGTGCGGTGTCGTGATATGAGGGCTGTGAGTGTTTCAGACGGGCGTGAAATTACGACGCGGGCTAAGCTTTAGCTGCCGCCTTGGCCTGTCGCCTGTTTCATCATCATTGGTGCTTCAGAAACGTCAAAATCTGCTCAACACCATGGGCGGAGAACGACAGATTGGAAAGAATGTCCGCGTTTTGTATTCGGTTGTACATACTATACACCTCGCGTCAAGACTCAGATAGCCGCGGCGGGCGAAACCGAGGACGATCTTGATGCGAACTCCTGCTACAGTATTGGTGAAATCTATTTCAGTTCAGCAGCGTCTTACGCAATGGAACAAGTCTTGAGCAGTGGTAGCCAGCTCATGTTGAGAAAGGTACCACCGAGATCGTTGATCTACATTCCCATACCTTGCCTTGTGTGACATGGAAGGTCGCACAATTTTCAAGTTAGAAAACGCCTTGAGTACGTATTGCGAACACCTCAAAGCAGTGACAGACAGATTCTGGGAGCAAGCTTCAGCCAATCAGAATATAACCAACAAGCGATACGAATCCGACGTAGCACGGTGATCGACGGTCCATGACTGACGAGGCATTCGTCCCAACTGCAGCGGCGGCACTTCGCGCTCGTGTAGGCGTAGAAAGAGGGCCCGAACTTGTTGTCCGGGCCGTTGAAGAAACCAATGGCTGGGTTGAACAAGACGTCGGCTTTGTGAGCTCCGCTGTGGGCTGCCCACCACGCGTCGAGCTTTCAAAATTGATGGTCACATTAGGACAAGAATTGGCGCAGTCCTGGTATTGGATGGTGCCATTCCCTTGGCCTGCCTTGGAACTTTCATATGCCGTGTCCGAGCAATTGCGAACGCAGGCATAGCCCGTACAAGGCGTGCCGTCGTCTCCCCACAGCGTATATCCTTGAAGCTGGTAGTGACCCCAGTATCCGGTACCTCCTGATAGACTGAAGACGTTCGACTCGAGGGATGCGCCGTAGTATGAGCCGTCAGTCTGCAATATCTGTGCCACGAGGACATAATGATTTCCGGATGGGCCGATGTTGGCGGGAATGGTAACTGAGAAGGACGTGTTCTTGAACAGCACGTAGTCGTCTGCAATGACTACCGATTCATCGCAAAGAGTGTGCTCGTGAATTAAATAGCCTGGCAAGATCTGAGTGAGCAATGGATCTGAGTATCTCTGACGGGAAGCCATACAATCTGAGTGAAAGAAGTTAGGCGTCGTCTCGTCTTTTGCCGAAGTAGCCAAATATACGCGAAACGTGCTGCTCCACTGAGTATCTCCATTGTGCACTTCAGCATCTAGTTGAGCTTCGATGGGTGTGTTTGCTGCCACTTTTGTCGGCACCTGAATGTATATCATGGGATACTCAAGCGCAACTGATCGGTGCAGCAAGGCAAGCAGGTAAAAGACGACACATTTCATCATTGCAATGGCCTGGTATTAGAAATTAGGAGTCTGGGAGGGAAGTCTGGCGGAGAAGCTCTAAATGTCATGGCGACTGTTGTGAAGAAATGGCATGGCCACCACAGTTGAGATTGATTCATTTCGACGAAGGATTTAGGTCCATGCTAGTCAGGAGAAGGTCCACCAGCTGAGTGAAGCGAAGCCGATATCGATAAGAACCACGTGATGTCGCTGAGCGACACATTTCCTTAGTCAGCGCTGCCCCACGATCCGGTCAAGGCGGGAAAAACATCCACCCCACATTGACAACAACTTCAACACAACACAGTCCGATATGTCTATTGACTTCCCCAAGGAGGAGGAGCGTATCCTGGCCCGCTGGAAGGAAATTGACGCTTTTCTCACCCAAGTCGAGCTTGTAAGTATAGTAAAAATGACTTTCCGGGAGCTCTGACTAACACTGCTTTCCAGTCTAAAGGCAAGCAGCCGTACACTTTTTACGGTACGTTCCTAAACATTCAGTGAATTCGAAGCTTGTAGTCTAATTCCTTGCAGATGGACCGCCTTTCGCAACGGGAATGCCCCACTACGGCCATCTCCTCGCCTCCACCATCAAGGACATCATTCCCCGTTACTGGTCCATGAAAGGTCGATACGTCGAGCGGCGGTTTGGATGGGATACACACGGCGTGCCCATTGAATATGAGATTGATAAGGACCTGGGAATGTCTGGTCGGGACGCAGTCCGCCAACTGGGTATTGCCAAGTACAACCAGCTGTGCAAGGACATTGTCATGCGATATGCGACCGAATGGAGGGAGACTATCGACCGGTTGGGCCGGTGGATAGATTTTGATCGGGACTATAAGGTAAGGTGCCCCCATTCAATGACACTCTAGAGCTACCCTAGAGTAAGGCTCTAACTCATACAGACTATGGACACCAGCTTCATGGAGTCGGAGTGGTGGGTGTTCAAGCGTCTGTTTGACAAGGGCGCCGTATATCGAGGATTTAAAGTCATGCCCTACAGTACTGCGTTGGCCACGCCTCTTAGCAACTTCGAGGCATCACAAAATTACAAGGATGTTCAAGATCCAGCCGTTGTTGTGTCTTTCCCCCTTTTAGATGACCCAACAACCAATTTACTGGCTTGGTATGTGTTCTGAACCACATGATGTACGCAGGGTTGACGACTACCTCAGGACTACGACACCCTGGACGCTTCCCTCCAACTGCGCACTTGCCGCCCACCCTGACTTCGAATACATCAAGATCCTCGACGAAGCCTCAGGCAAACACTACATTCTCCTTGAGGCTCTGTTAAAAACCTTGTATAAGGACCCGAAGAAGGCCAAATTCAAGATCGTTCAAAAGTTGAAAGGCAAGGATATGCTCGGGTGGAAGTACGAACCCCTTTTTGATTACATCTACGAGGAGTTCAAAGATGTCGGGTTCCGTGTTGTCAATGCAACATATGTTACCGCCGATAGTGGTGTCGGTATGGTACATCAAGCACCAGCGTACGGTGAAGAGGATTACAAAGTCGCCATGGAGTACGGAATCATCAACGAGACGCGACCTCCCCCCAATCCAGTCGATGACGCCGGGTGCTTTACCTCCGTTGTTCGAGATTTCGAAGGCCAACATGTCAAGAAAGCTGACAAAAACATCATCAGGCACTTGAAGGCAACAGGGAGAATGGTAGTAGACTCACAGCTAACTCACAGCTATCCCTTCTGTTGGCGATCAGATACTCCGTTGATCTATCGAACGGTCCCTTCGTGGTTTGTCCGGATCCAAGAAATTATCCCCAAGATGCTGGAAAATATCGAAGGATCGCATTGGGTTCCGTCTTTTGTCAAAGAGAAACGCTTCGCAAACTGGATATCAAATTCTCCCGATTGGGCCGTTTCACGAAACCGATTCTGGGGAACTCCGCTTCCGCTTTGGATTAGTGATGATTTGAAAGAGGTTGTGTGCATTGGAAGCATTGCCGAGTTGAAAGAATTGAGTGGATACGAAGGCGAGATTAACGACATCCATCGCGACAAGATCGACAATATCACCATCCCGAGTAAACAAGGAAAAGGAGTTCTTCGCAGGTGTCCTGAAGTTTTTGACTGCTGGTTTGAATCCGGTTCCATGCCTTACGCTAGTCAACACTATCCGTTCGAGAACGTAGAGCAGTTCGAGAAATCGTTTCCGGGAGACTTCATTGCCGAAGGGTTAGATCAAACACGAGGCTGGTTCTACACTTTGACAGTCCTTGGAACCCATCTGTTTGGCAAGCTTCCATTCAAGAACTGTGTAGTCAACGGCATTGTACTCGCGGAAGACGGAAAGAAGATGTCAAAGCGCTTAAAAAACTTCCCTGACCCTCGATTAATAATGAATAGCTATGGCTCCGATGCGCTCCGGCTGTACCTCATCAACTCACCCGTGGTTCGTGCCGAAACCCTTCGCTTCAAAGAGTCCGGTGTGAAAGAGATTGTTTCGAAAGTGCTCCTTCCGTTATGGAACAGTTTTCAATTCTTCGACCAGCAGGTAGCGTTGCTGAAGAAGGTTGCCGATCTGCACTTTGTCTTCGATCCAGAGGCCGAGAAGACGAATTCAAACGTCCTCGACCGGTGGATACTAGCATCGTGCCAGTCTCTACTGAGGTTTGTCAACGAAGAGATGGCTGCGTATCGCCTATACACCGTTGTCCCACGATTGCTTACGGTAAGCTTCTCAGCACGTCAGTCCAACGCGGACCACTAACTATAGTAGCTAATTGACAACACCACGAACTGGTACATTCGCTTTAACCGTCGACGATTAAAGGGAGAGTACGGACTTGACGACACTTCCCATGCTCTCAACACCCTCTTCGAAGTTCTTTACACGCTCTGCCGTGGTCTTGCTCCCTTCACCCCATTCATCACAGACAACATCTACCTGCGTTTACTCCCTCACATTCCAAAAAACCTCCACGCCGAAGACGACCGTAGCATACACTTCCTCCCCTTCCCTGAGGTACGCGAAGAGCTGTTCGATGAAGTTGTTGAACGCCAAGTGAAACGAATGCAATCTGTTATCGAACTTTGCCGTATCTGCCGAGACCGCGCAAATAAAGGATTGAAGATTCCGTTGAAAACGTTGGTCATCATTCACCCAGATCAAGAATACCTTGATGATGTCAAATCACTCGAGAACTATGTGTGCGAAGAACTCAACGTTCGCGACCTCGTTCTATCGAGGGACGAGGAGAAGTACAAGGTGCAGTACTCGGTGTCGGCGGATTTCTCTGTGTTGGGCAAGAAGCTGAAAAAAGATGCGGTGAAAGTTAAGAAGGCCCTGCCGAATCTCAAGAGTCAGGAAATCAAAGACTTTTTGAAGAATGGCGAGATGCTTGTTGATGGGATTCGGGTTGAAAAGGAAGATCTTTTAGTCAAGAGGGGACTAGCGAAGGACGATAGCAACAAGGATCAAGAGTTCAACACGGATGATGATGTCCTCATAATTCTCGACGTTGCTAGCTATCCAGAACTGGAACAAGAGGGACTTGCCCGAGAAATCGTTCGCCGAGTCCAGGACTTGAGAAAGAAAGCGGGCTTGGTACCAACGGATGACGTCGGCATGGAGTACCGAGTGCTCAGTGATCCTGATGACATTGGTTTAGAGGCTGCATTTGAGTGCCAGGGTGCTGTTTTCGAGAAAGCACTGCGAAGGAATGTCGACAAGCACGTCAATACCGAGGTCGAGGGCAAGATTCCGGAGCAGAATGGAGAGACGGTTATCGCGTCGGAGGAACAAGAGCTGCACAAGGCGACATTCTTGCTTAGACTCGTGAAGCTGTAGATGGAGTGGTGCTGCTTTCTGGGAGTTATATCGGGTTTGAAGGTCCAGGAATGGACAGGAGTGGAATTATTTTATGAAAAGCGACTCAAGTAGATATACCTGAATGAATGAAGTACAGGTGTTCCATCTTATCTGTAACCAAACGCCTCGTCCATGCAGTGTGCGCCTGTGAAAACCTCCTCTAATTTTTAGTGTCGCTGGTGTCAGAGTGAGGTCATTGCCTCTTATATGCGGCCTGCAGTCTATTAATACGCAAATTGAGTTCAGTTTAATGAATTACCGACCAAGTAGCATTCTTTCAGCTTCAGAAACTCGGTCAAACACTTGTCTTTGTAGACATTGTTGTAGTCGGCCATGATGCATTTGCCATACTGCGAACCCTATTTTCCATCAGAGACATTTCTTTTCCTCGGATGTATGAGAGTGGTGAATACTTCCTTGGAGCATTTTGCAGCGGCAGCAGCGAACTTGTCGATTGGGCGCGTCCGGCCTGGCATCTTGATGAAGTTTGGTTGAAATTGGAGTTTCTGCGATCTGCGTGGTTGGATGACATAAGGCGTGGTGAACATCGAAGCACGGACCATGCTTGGCGCATACTTTCCGCGAGAACAGCGACCAACCATCGCATAACAAAGCGCGTCTACTTTCACCTTTCACTCACCGAGAAACGGCTTTGGCCTCTCGCGCCCATTCATCCCCTTCTTCTTACATTAATGCTTAATCTGTTTTGGCGCGACGGTTCTTGGACATTTTGCTCTCAACACCCTGGCACACATCTCTCATGCCGCTCAGAAAGCGCGTTAGATGGAAGAGTCGTGAATCCGAATGCCACCCTCCATGACAACAAACGATGATGAGATTCCTCCACTCACCAACGAAGGTAGGTACCACTCTGCATACTGACGCGCGCTTGCTGACTCAATTGCTAGACATCGAAATTCTCTACGACATTGTCCGCCTCGCGCAAACCCTCCCCGGCCGCACCTTTCGTGCCCTCTTCCAAGCCTACGACAAAGTCTTGTCGGAGAGAAATATCAATCCGGACAATGATACGCGCTATCTCCGCTTTCTGTTCCGTATGCAAGATGCTGGCGAGAGGGAGGACGAGGGCTTGGTCGACCGGTTCCAGCGCTTGCTGGCCGAGATGGGCATACAGGTCGAATGCGATCCAGAGGGTGACGGTATTGAGGAGATCACGCGAAATGTGGATAACCTCGTGTCTAACGGGCTGCCCCCTTCGATGCCAAACACACCAGGGCGAATTCGATCGCGCCGCGGGAGCTTTGATTCGTTCTTCGATGGACCGGTGGACAAAATTCGAGAGACGGACCGTGTGCAGGATATTCCAGCATTCGTGAGACGCGGTGCCCCTGACACAGCATCGGATACTGAAGATCTGCTCCGCAAAGGACGGTCGCGGCCGGGATCAGCGGCACGTTCGCAGCTACTGGCCCAACTCCCAATTCGCAATAGGGTGAATGGTGCCCGTAACACGAGAGTCATGTCCGACAGCATTCCTTCACGTCCAGGGCGCAATAGATCCATACCCAGCCACGAAAGTCTACAGATCCCCTCAAGTGCACATGCAACAGCGCAGCAGTTTGGGGGTTATGATGGCGATGAGAGCGAGCAGTCGGACAGTTTTGAACGCTCTCATATTCAGATTCCTGGTGTCAATGCGCCGATACCTGGCATGGCCTTCGATCCAGCGCTACAATACGTCGGCCCCGAAATGCTCTACCGACCTTCCGACACCCAGATGTTTGATGACGCCGAGACATTTGAATACCGTCGCATTCTCACCGTGGCGAGAACCTGCATCCGGAAGTGGCGAGAACAAACGCGCGAAATCACCGAAAATCTCGAAGAAATTAATGCCATTGCATATGCATTTGATCGACGAATCCTGCTTCGAGCATCGCTGGATTCATGGCGCGTCGCACTGCAAAATAAGCACCAAGTTGTTGAAACAGAGCGCTTCTTTGATCGACTTGAAGGCCGAGCCGAAAAGGCAAGGAACCTGTTCTTGCTCACTAAAGCCTTCACCCACTGGGCAAAGAGCGCCGAAGACGAGGTCCTACGAACTTCCGTGGCTCGGAGACACATTCTTCGAACGAAATACTTCAATGCCTGGCGCGATATCACGGCCGTCAACGAGCTCAAAATTCAACACCATGTCCTTGGTAAGTTCCTTATCACTTGGCGGAAGCGAACGGCAGCTGTGCAAGAGAATGACGGCATGGCCGTTGAATTGTATCACGAAAATTTAGTCAAGAAAGTCTTTTGGAAGTGGTTTTTCGCTTTTTGCGGTCGCGCCGCCCCGGTCTGGAACAAAGAGCGGCTAACAAGAAACGTTTTGGTGAAATGGGTCGAGATTGTTAGAGTGCTGAAAGAGAGGGAGAACTGGGCTTCTGGGCGAAGAAATCGAGAGGTTTTGAGAAAATCATTGCAGGCAATGAGGCAGAAAGTAGCCGACGTACAGACACTGGAATCTCAAGCAGAGGAGTTCAGACGAACAACTCTTCTATCATTTGGACTCCACGCTATCTCCACCCAGGTGAAACTCGCCCCATTGTTCGCTCAACTCGCGCAACGAGTCCAGTTACGTCTTGTCCAATCGACGCTCCATCGATGGCAGCATAACTCTCTTCTTTCCCGCCTGGCCAAGAATGTTGACCGTGAGCGCATCCTCCGCAACGCCTTCACTTCGTGGAATGACCAGCTCCGAATCAGCGAGATGGCTCGAAGAGTAAACGCCCGCGTCCAGGTTGAGGCGCTCTACAAATGGGTCTTGGCCTCAAAAGGGCTGCTGCTCTTTCGCAGACACGATAGGGCGCTCAAATGCTCTACATTCTCAAACTGGGTAGCCAAAACTCGAGCGCATCGTGTTAGGCTTGAGAATGCGGAAAGGACGTTTGCTCAATTCAAAAGAGTACAGATGTTGAGGTCGTGTTTGAAAAGGGTTGAGCAGAAGATGGCAGAGAGAAAGGGTCAAGAATTTCTCGCGCTTTCAGTTTACGAACCGAGACTCAAACAACGCGCCTTCGAAAATTTGCTCGAGAAGCATGACCATCTCCAGCAAATGGAAACTTGGGCCGAGGACGCACAGTTCTACGTCCTTACAAAAAATGTGCTAAAACGCTGGGGCGATGCAACGCAGCATGCACGCCGCAACCGACGACGAGAGACCTATGCGCATGTGAGAAGGATGGTGAAGATGAACCTCGTTCGCCGCACTTTTGGAACGTGGAAAGAGAAAGTTGGCCAGCTTGCCATCCAGGACCGGCAAGCTACCGAGGTGGTGGAGGATCGTATTTTAAGAGCGAGCATAAATCTTCTGACCCGTTGGCATAATAAAACAGCGATTATATTTAGACTGTCGACCCAAGCCTCTCTTAAATACAATAAGAAGCTAGGCACTACCTATTTCGCAACCTGGACACAACGACATCGATACTTGCAAAACCTCGACACCCAAGCCGTAGCGCTCAAACAAGAAAACACAGAGATTGTGGCCACTGGGGCACTCAAGAAACTAGAGTGGAGGTTATGGAATTCAAAACAGCAAGAGAAGAATGCACTTGCGTTGAGACAGCGTAACTTTGAAAAGCACATCAGAGCGATGGTTAGATTCTGGTGGGAGCAAACGGCAGAGAGACTGGCACACAATCCAGAGAGTCCAAGCCCAACGCCTAGCCCAAGGCATGGCGGTGGCGCGGACGATGAAGGTTGGGGAGGTGACAGTCATGACAGCGACGGCGTCGGCGGTCCCCCAGAAGAGTACGAACCCGGCGATGAAACTCGACGACTAGAGAACTGGACCGCATTCGACGAAGGAGCACTCGGCCTCTCAAACCTCGACCTCAGTCTTTCATTCACACCTCAACGTCGACAGGCGCATCTTCAACATCCCACGAGACCGCACCCCAACCCCCAACCCCAACCTCCCCTTCCACTCCCTCCGCCTACATCAAACGCCCGTTTCCTCCCACCACTAATCCAAGAACTCGATGAAGACTTGGACATCGAAGAATCGCGTGTCTGGACTTCAACCCCCATGCCCATGCCTAAACCAGGCTATCTAAAAACGCCGAGTAAACGCAGTGTCGCGAGGGCGAAGAGACCGGAATTGCCTGCTAGTCCAGAGAGGCGGCCGGTTGTGGGGATTACTGCGAGTGCGCCGGTGCCGGGGTTTGTGGATAAGGGGGTGGGCATAGGGTTAAGGGGAGAGACGGTGACGAGCTTTGAGAGGAGATTGAGGGAAGGGGGTTTTGACGTTGGTGGGGGGCCTGGAGGTGGAGGTGGGGGTGGGGGTGGAGAGAAAGGAATGCATATAGGTAAAGGCAGGTTAATGGGATTTGGAGGCTCAGGAGGGGCAAGGAGAGAAAGGGAAAGGGGCAGGGGCAGGGGAAGGGGAAAACAGAGGACGGTTGGATTTAGGGATTTGGGTGATGCGAGATGATACTTTGGTCCGTTGGATAGACATTGCTGGGATGGAAAATCAGGTTTGCATATCGGCTGCTGGTTCGGTTAGTGCAAGGTTGGGTTGGTGCAAGGTTGATACCCTGGCGTTTCTTCTTTCTGGATAGTTCGCAACTTCAAGAGTACAGTAACGTACCCATATTTTGTCCTGCCTGTCTAGATTGGTTTCTTCATTTTGTTGGGCATGGGTGGACTGACTTGTGAGAGAACATGCCGTCCACGTCGGAGCAGGTCCGCCAACTCATCCGATTAGGAAGTTAGATGTCGTGTGAGTGAACAGTAGAACGTCGGCCTAGACGACAAACGGGCCTCGGGGGTGTGATTTGGGTCTATAGTATCACAATAAAGTGGTACGGTGATGTTCGAAGACACCTCTCGCATACGCATTTAGGTCTCCCCGGCTATATTGATCAGAAGTTCGACATCAATGCAAACCATCTGATGACGTCTCGTTTCCAAACTCGACCTCTCTCAGCAATGGGCAGACTACTTTGGCAGACCCTTATCTGGTGTAGTAAGCGTTCCCTGGTTCCCAATCCATCCCTTCCGCAAACGTATTTAGAGCAAATTATTGTGAATCAACCACCTTTAAGAAACTTTCGTTCAGTCTCTAGAAACCTTGCATCTAAGTCCCTAAGCCTGTCGTTGCTTCTGTCGAACTGAAGTGCCATGGCAACAAGAGCGACCTTTTTCCCTAAGTCTGCATAATTCCTCCCGCGGTGCAGTGTCCTAAGAAATATTGTGCCAATGGTCGACGTCTAGATGTCATGAATCACCCGGCATCCGTCCAGCGTGGCCAACAGTCCGTAGTACGTAACGTAACTACGTGAACGTAGTAATCACGTGAGGCGTACAAAAGTAGTTAAAATGTAAGACGTAACTTTTGTACAGTGAATTGCTAAGTACGTACTGTAGTACAGGTTAGAGAGGTTATATTTTAGGAGATTTCCCTCCTGTTTTTAGACCCTATTAGCTATTATGTTAGAAGCTTTGTTTAAGGTTGCGTTTTAAAGTAATAATTAAATAAAACTCTACGTTTTATAGCATAGTAGCCTAATTAGTGTGCTAAGTAGCCCTTTATAAAAATAGTTAACTTTTGCCCTAAAAAAGCTTCTTATCTTATTAATTATTATAATAAGCTAGATGTCTTAATTTCTTTATTATAGTAGGTGTACAGCCTTATCTTAATCCTTTTACTTATTAGAGTTGTTTTAACAAGCTAAGGTGCTTTATTACACTAGCTTTTATTATCTTGCTAAATTAAGGTTAGCTTTTTTAAAGTTGTTAGTGCTCTTAACCCTAACTCTAGCCCTAGGCAAAGATATATTCTTTTGTAATTTCCTAGTAGACGCGCACCTTAACTCTAGAGCCTCTTTTATAATAGAGTAGAATAATGTTTAGCTAGGAAAAAAAAAGCTAGTGCTAGAAAGACTTAGCTATTAAGTAAAGCATAAAAGTTAACTTTATAGCAATTATCCTGTCTCCTAGGTCTAGCGTTATAGGGGGGATTTAGTGTATAAGGATAACAACAGCACTGTTCTTAAGGTGTAGCTTTATAAAAGATGTCACCTCTAAGGGCAACATAAAGCTGTAAAAATTATTAGTAGTTATAATTATATTATCTCTTATCTCTAAAAAGAGCATAAAATTAATGCTAGTAAAGATCTTCTACTTAACAGCTTAAGGCTTTTTACTAATTCTTTTAAAGCTGTAATAAAAGTAGCTAGATCTATAAGAATTATTTCTTATAAAGCTTAGTAAAAAGAAGCTTTTTAAGCTGTAGTAATAGACTAAGTTATTTCTTAAGATTAAACTTTTAAAAACGCATCTTTAGCTAAAACTTATAAGGTACTTACTTAGAACTGCGCTAACCTTTTTAACACTATACTATCTTTCTACACTACGCTTTTAACCTATATCTAGAACAGTCTAGTGCGCTAGAAGCAGGAGATTTAAATAATACTAAGATTAGCCTATAGTAAAATTACACTAAGTGTTAATATATAGACTTCTCTAAACTACTTATTCTGCCTAGGGGTAGTAGCTTATTTTTTTAGTATGTACTAGCAAAACCTTAGCCTAGCTGTGTTAGCGCAAAAATTAAAACTATAACACTAACATCCTCTACATAGATGCTAACTACTAGCATAGAGACCTCCTTATTAGCTTTAACAATCTATATAGAGACTACACTAGGGAGAATTAAGCGCTAAAGATTATTAAAGTGCTTAAGGACTATAAAATTATATTTAAATTCTATTACTATGTTACTAACAATATGTTAAATAATAACATAGAGACTATTATAACTTTAGCTAAAAAGCTTTACTTGCCTCTTACTACTAAACACTATATCTGCTGCGCTAGCTATATAATGTAAATTATTATTAAGGCAGTTATATATAGCTAAGGAGTCTCTACCTTTAAAAAAGCTCTAGCCTAAGCTGCTTTAAATAATTAATTTAAGCTATACTAACAGTAAGGTGTTATAGGCAAGTTGCATAACTTTATTAACATAGTGCTAGCATCTTATAAATAATAATTAGCCTTTATAACTTTTTAAGCTTTACTCTTAGCTAATAATTTTTTTTAGAGTTTTAGCACCCTTAATCTTATCTAGGACAGTAAAGTACACTAGCATAGTGTATATCTTATACTTTTATGTTGCTATAAGTTAAAGGAGCCTATTAGTAAGTTTCTATATAAATAATAAAGTGCTAACGCGTTAATAGCTACTACCCTTTATAAAACTATTTTTAAAGAAAAGTAGAAAAAGGTTAATTATCTTATTAAGTTTCTTTAGTTCTTTTACTTTATAATAAAAAGACTTAAGAGCAACAGTAAGTATAGCTTTATCTAGATAACTATAGTTAACCTCTAGCACCTGTATATAAAGCTTACAAAGATAGAGGAGAAGCTTAAGGGTAAAAGCAATAATTGCTACTTTAAAAATAGTGTTGTGTTTAGGATCTAAAAGCTAACTTTATACTAGAAGAAAATTATTATAGATCTGCCTATATTATACTGCGCTGTTGTAACTATCTTTAACTCCTAATTATAACTTGTTTAGTTTAAAGACTACTAGCATAAGCACCTAGTATAGCACAAGCAAGCTAAGGCTTTAATAAAGGCAGTTTTTTAAGACTATATTAATAAAAAGATAAAGGGTAATAAGAAGAAAGAGAATCTATAACCTTACTAGCGTAAGCTCCTTAGTAGTAAGTATTATAATAAAAGCTATAAGCAAACTCTTTCTGTTAACATAAGCCTTCTTATAGGCTTAAGGTTATACAAAAAACAGTAGAAAATAATAGAGCTTTAATAATACTATAATAGCTATATTAAAGACCTCTTTATAGCTAAAAAGGGATCTCTACTGTTCTAATTACCTCTTACTTAGTAGCTTAAAGTTAGTTGTTACTTCTACCCTATACTTTTTAAAATTGCCCTTAATTTCCTCTGTATACCCTTAATAAGCTGCAACTGTAAGAGAGCCTTCTCTAGAGGCAGAAGGATAGTTATAATTAATAGAAACTGCTTAGTAGGTTGTATAATTAAGGCTCTGCAGCTCTAAAAGAACTAGTTATGTTATAGGGCTATAAAGAGTAAATTAACTACTCTAGGGGACTTTATCTAGGCTAAAAAGCTTCTCCTAGAATAATTTTAACCTAGACTAACAAAACTTCTTGTAAAAAGTACAAAAGTATAAGGATTTTAAGAAGTTACTGTTACGTTATGTACTTGCTAATTAATTCACTGCTTATGTACAAAAGTACTACTAAATCAAGAAGTTACTGGCAGAGAAAAGCTCAAACGTAACGTACTACGTACTGTTGGCCACGCTGCATCCGTCTATCCCGGAGACATGGAGTTGGTCTCTAAAGACTCTCTCATCACTGCCTTGACCAGAAGTCCACCAAGTGTGTGGGAGATAAAAACTACGGGTCGGTGGATAACTGCCCGCCGCTTCTCTTCAAACTCCTCGAGGTTTCCCGCATAGCTCAATAGGCTTGGTTGATTGGCAGAGCTAGAGAAATATTAGCTGGTTGGAGAATCACATCCGAATGTAAGGGTGCGCCGGTTGGAGATATTGGCTGGCAAGAGAGCTTCTGGCCAGGAATAGGAGATCTCTAGACGTTTCGGGAGGAGGCCGGCCTTGTAGTATAGCCAAGTCCTCTTGGAATGAGCCTTCAGTCAGTGAACAAGGACGATACTATTTGCGAAGGAGAATAGTCTCCAATACCTCCTAAGTGATATGGAGCAAGTTCATTCGCAAACCCTAGCTGGGATTACAAAGCGAGGGAAACCTTTTTCCGATGTTTGTTCAACACTACATTCGTCGTTGTCATGGTGTTTAATAGAACGTAACTGTTACTGTTAGTAGTGTTTTTGAGGCGTTACTGGCGGCAATAGGGTTTTGTTCTTACGGAAAGAGTGAATTAAAACAGCCTTACGGGCAGTAACAGTTACTGCTAAGTTAATTAATAGTAAAGTTACTGTTTAGTGCAGTTACTGCAGCAACTGGTGTTACTGAAGGCTCTAGAGGGCTTAATTTTGACACAATCTTGCTAATATGCTCTTCACACGATATCTAAGGCCCCCAGGTTTTAGCTGGAGGTTGCAAGTCTAGATATTGTCCTGAAACTTGTGAGAATAGAAAAACTAGAGGATGAGGCCTTAATTATAAGAGCTCCTAGAGGCAGCCCTTGACTTCTCAAGACGACGAGAGCTTGCGAGGTGTTGAACTGGCTGCGAGCTTTGAGTGCAAGGAGTTACTTCACTGTTCTGTACTAACGATGGATAGTATAGGCAGTTACTGCAGTAACTATAGCCTCATTAACTGTACAGTAACGGAAGGCAATTCACTTTCGTTCTAACTGCTAAGAGATTGTTACTATCAGTAACAGTAGGAGCAGTACTACGTTCTATTAAACACCATGGTCGTTGTCTGGCTTCGCGGCGAACGTGATATAAGTACTTGACTTACTCAGCCTTTGCATCTTCGCACTCCCAAGCACCATGAACTCCTCGTCAGTAACAGTGATAGATCGTCTCTCTGTAGTTCCCAACTCGATCATCTTGCTGGAAAGAGTGACTTGTGAAGTGCCACCAGGCTACCCTTATCTAAACACACACGGGTGAGAACCATGTGACCAAGAGTTACTTTTTGGAGGGTCAACCTGCTAAGCGGCTAGGCTCTCTCACCCATTAGCCATTACAGTCTGAGACAATGCAGCTTTCGGCCCTGCCTCCCGAGGCGAAGTGTAGGTCGCCAGCCGAGTTTCTATTGAAAAACTGCGTGGTTGCAGGATGACTGCCGAAGGCACAGCAAGCATATGACTGGAATGTGATGAAGGTTATAACAAAGTCGGGCTGCGTAGACAACGGTACATTAAAGTCGAGGAGGTAAGGTAGCAAAATATATCAGCTCCGTCAGCCAATTAGGCCTCGCTGCGTTTGACTAATTTCGAAATTTCTCGTTCCCCAAATGAACAAACATCTACACCACACCACCTCCTCACTTGGAGTGGAAGATAAGAATAGAGTCAATGTTTTAGATTTATTGCTGGAACTATGGAGAAAGCTAACAGGATGCAAATATCGGTCCCAATTGACCCCTGCTGCGTACCAATCACATATTTTCGGTACACAGCAGGCTCATTATTCGCTACCAAAATCTATTGAATGCACCCCTTATCTAGATAACTCCGCGTCTTGCTCCCCACCAAATCTCGAAACCCCATAATCGCTTCGACTCCATCTATCCCATGAAATTTGTGCAGAACTGCCTCCCTCCACCCCTCACTCCGTGGACAAATCATAAATCTTCTGAATTCCCTTCAACATGTCCTCAAAACCGATCTCCAGATCCTTCAACAAACCGTCCTTAAACCCGAACACCCAGCCATGCACAATCGGAAACTCATTCTTCTTGTAACTCTGTTGCACTGCCGCGGTCTTGATGATATTCCTACACTGCTCCACCACATTCAGCTCCACCAGTCTATCATACCGCTTCTCCTCATCTTTGATCGCGTCCAACTCCGTTTCATGCAGGCGATACACGTCACGAATGTTCCGCAACCAAGGGTTGAGAAGACCCATGTCTTTGGGGCTTATTGCGGCTTTGACGCCCCCGCAGCCGTAATGTCCGCATACGATGATGTGCTTGACTTTCAAGTGGCGGACGGCGTAGTTGACGACGGACATGACGTTGAGGTCGGTGTTGCAGACGAGGTTGGCGATGTTGCGGTGGATGAACATTTCCCCGGGACCAAGACCGGTGATGGCTTCGGCGGGGATGCGGGAGTCCGAACAGCCTGGAAGTGAACGTGAAAGTGAGTCAGCCAGCCAACTCTATCAAAGGCCCGGTCAAACTGTCTACACTTTCCGTAGCTCCCAGCAACGGCTGTACGGAGAATTGGAGAAGAAAGCACTTAGTAGAGAAGGGTATTTTTGATCTTACCTATCCACAGATAATCCGGTTCCTGACCTGCACTCAACTCGTTGAAGAACTCGGGATTCTTCTCCACGTGCTCCTTTGCCCACTTCCGATTATTCTCAAAAATCCGATCATGGCTCTGCTGCAAGTACTTTCTGACTTCCTTTGGATCCTGTCCCGCCATATTATTAAAGAAGCTCCAGCTCTTTCTGCCGTGTGTCGAAAATGCTCTTCCTGCTATCAGCGGGTGTAATTGCGGGCGCACTTGAAATAGCTGCGCAGGTCCCAAAGGAGAGGAAAAATTTCGGACGGTATTGTTTCTAATTACCCCTCGAGCGTGGGGCCACGAAGCCGAAATTCGCATGCCCAAGGTTTCTCCGTGGTTGTGCTGCGGGAGTGTTGAGGTGAACTGCAGAATTCTGATTGGATCTGACGTCAACCCACCCGAAATCTAAACCTTGTCGATGGCTAGCGCAGGCCAAGAAATTCGACGAGAATGGGTTGGGACAGCTTAACACTCAGTACCTCCACGGACTTGTTTCTTTTTCGTTTGACGTGCCGCACGATGATGCACAGACGGGCGTTATTTCATCCCCGAACGTGGGAGATGTTAAGAAAGCGCGATTATCTATAGACGCTCTCCTTGATCGCTCGGTCACTTTCGATAACAAGTTGACGGGATGGTGAGGACGTCGAGATTCTGCAGGGCGGTAGTGGTCCCGATCAAACATCGACGGTGGAAGATACGAACGGGCTAATCCGGGTCAGAGCCAGGCAAGCAGAGAAGTGAAGATGTGGACGGAACGCTGGCATGCTGACTTGGTGATGGTATGTTTTTCTACCTAGTGATAGGTATGTACTTGAAACGTGGGGGTGACAGTCTCTGTAGCGGTAAAGCGCTTATGCACCGCTGCGTGGTCTTGTTGACTCGGTATTTCATTTATGCCGCTGATATCCAAAACTTCTCACTGAGCTGTGAAATGCTCCAAAAATGGGGTGGAAAGCTTCAAGGATGCACAGCTCCACTTCCACCGAGACCCTCCCATTGATGATCCCACTCGCCCGCGGGGTCTGCAGCGCCATCGCTTCCATTCTCGGCTAGCTTGCGAATGTCGCTCCAGTACTCTAACTTCTTGCACTCGGCCTCTGCTGCCTCCACAGCTTTTAGCAGGTTGTTTATTCGTCGTTCCTCTACCTCGTCTTCAGGTTCGCCCCTTTCCCTGTGTTCTTCTCGATGGTCCTTCGCGACGTCGAATGTTCGCATGAGGGTAGCAAGGAGTTGGCGACGGGAGTTTTGGAAGATGAGCATTGACATGATGGCCGGTATCTGTGGGTAATTAGAAAAAGGAACGGTAACTCCACGGGAAGGATACGTACCTGCTCCGCCAAATAATGCAACTCCTCGCCTGCCTCGTCGATGAACCTATTGATTGCCACAATCTTCTCGCGATCAATAGCCGCCTTCTTCAGCCTATGCATCAGGGTCGGAATATCCCTGATCTCCTCATCCACCGAGTCCTCGGTGTAACTGCCCTCCAAACTGGCCGGTCCAAGGGTGCTCGTCCGTGCCAGCGTCGTCCCAATGCTGAATGTCTCCCCGAACAATCTCTCTCTATTCTTCTTGGTCTTCTTCGGGAGCTTCTGTTTCACCCGCCTCCTCAACCACCGTCTCCTACGCACAAAGCTATGAAACCAAGGGTGATTGCCATGCCACGCTGCTCCTCTAAACCACAAGCTGTACTGCCATCCTTCCTCATCGACATCGTGGCTCATATCCACATACCAGCTCTTCCACTCCCACACCCAGCTTGGGTCGGGAACTTGTGCGTTGGTGATATTGACGGCCGAGGGTTTGAGGCTTGCGTCCACCCATGGCGAGTGGTCGATTTTGAGATTCCAGAGGGCTTTGGAGGAGAAGAGTGGGATGCCAAACACAAACCATCCCCGCTGGTTCTCATATAGGATGTCAATATGAGAGTCTGGTGTTCGCGGAGATTGTTCGGAGGGCGCTTCGGGTTCGAGCTCGTTGTCAGCGTGGTCGACGAGATTGATGTGCTGTTCTGCCATGATAAATGCAGGGATGTGTATGTAAAGGTGATAAAGGTGGATGGCTATGAGCCCGCGTTATGATAGATGCATGAGTCTAGCGTGGAAGTCAACCACTAGAACACTTTGCGTGAGTTGAGGCAGGCGCGATGGAGAAAGGGGTTTGCCCGCAATTCACCACTAACGTCCCTAATTCAACCTGCTGAATAAACCGCAAAAATACAGACACAAGAATGCACAAATAAACCTGCATCCGTAGGGTGCAGGGGGAATAGCAAGAAACACAAGGGATTAAGAGCGACGATGAGCGGCGTTCGTGATCTGGTTCGCGTCAAGTGGCTGATGGGGCCCGTGCTGAAGCTTGGAATTGCGGAGGACGACAGGCCGACGTCATTGGGGATTCCTGGTCGCATCCTGGAAAGACTCCGCATCCAAACAATGCCATCAGCCCACCACCCATAAGTACCCCCCCTCGTACTCCTGCATCTTCATTTCAGACCCCGCCAGAAACAACTCCAGTCCCTACTTTACCTATTTCAAAACCTTTACTTTCTTCGATTCAACAATGGCAGCACGTCGACTGTTTACATGGGGTGGCATTGGTGCTCTTGGTGTCGGCACTTACTACTTGTATAATGCCGGGGGAAGCCCGACCATTGCCGAGAAAAAGTTTGAGGGTGTGCTCATTGTCAATGTCATGTTTGGTTGGTTCGCAGCACTAATATCTGTCAGAGGATGCCGCACGTGCTTCCGCCAAATTCAAGAGCGAGCTGCCGGGGCGGGGGAAGGAAGCAAAGAAGTATGGAGAGTTGACCAAGGAGCAGATAGAGCAAAACTACAACCAGGCAGTATGTTTAACCTCGCATACCGGCGTGGCCCAGCGTATAGTTCCTGGATCATGAGCCCTTGCTAAGCAACCGTTCGCAGGTTGACAGCGCGAAAGCCACAGCCAATAAAGTCGACGCGAAACTTGACGCATACCGCCAGGATGCTACGAGGAAATTCGAAGAGGCGAGGAAGGAGACCGGCAAGGAGTTGAACAGTGCTGTAGACAAGTTCGATAAGACAGTGACGGAGAAGGCGGGCCAGTCCAAGAGCTGGCTCGGAAGCTGGTTTGGATCGAAGTAGGTGACACCGAGGTTGGTCGGTTCTTCGGGATGATGCATCTTCCATCGTGGCATTGAGCCTCATGAAGTTAGTATTTTTGCATCTGTATGAAGTATGAAATCAGTTCACTGTTATCCATTGCCCCTCATGGATACTGTTTTTTCGGCCCTAAGGTATTTTTCGAGCTCGAACCTCGCCTCCAAGTAGGTGTACCTGCCGACTAGTTACTGGTCTTAAGTAGGAATCCCTTGGATTGTTTTCCCAAAGATTCTCAAAAGTTTGGAACGTGAGAAGAATCTCATTTGCAGCAGAAATTAGGATCTTGTTAACATCTTTCTGAATACCAGCAGGAGATTCGGCTGGTCAAATCTGTCCTCGAGTGTCCCTCGATGATGCAATGCGAAACTTGGAATCGGGTTTATCGCATGAGTTGAAATGTCGCCAAGGGGGGTGTGGCATGCGACGCCCTCCCCGCCTAGCAAAAGTTATGAGGACAACCTATCAATTTATTCCAAGAGGGCGGGTGGAAAAGTCGACCACGGGACGACGTCACAGAAAATGAGGGTGACTTGTTGTCCTGCGCATCTCATTGGTCAGAGACGCGTCGCGCACAATTAAGCCCCAATCTCGCCTAGCGTGTCGCGTCTGCCAGCCCCTCGACCTCTAAACATCAACCCTCACTCCCGGGTCTTCCTCTCTCAACTCCATTCTCACCCCAATATTTCTCTCAGCGCATTGTCTATTCTATCTCAACAGACTACATCTTATCATCAATAACAATGTCGCCTGTCGCCTCGCGCGCGCTTCCTGTGGAGTTGGTCAATCTCCTATCCCTTCACTCCTCCTTTCTCACGGCGCTTTCGCTACATTACGCACACAATGGCACCGCGACACCCGTTGACCTTCGAGAGTTAACGCAGTCTATCTCATCTGTCTGGAAGAAGCGCAAAGTCACCATCGACGACGTTAGGCTTTGCCTCGGCGTCCTTGGCTCTGGTCCCTCTGGCAACAACACCCCATTCTATCTGTCCGACTACAGCGGCGGCAAGATATGTCTCGAACTTCATGACGAACACAAGATGGGGCCGGTTGGGACAATGAACGAGGATGCGCTGCAGGCCATGTTCATGGAGGGGTTGGATCACCTCTGGAGAGCTTGGAATGAAATGCACGCTGCGCAGCAAAAGATTAAAGCACGGCCAATTGCGACACCGAAGCGGCGAGGACGACCTCGGAAAACCGACGTAGCACAAACGAGCATCCAGCCCTTCCTCGATGAAACCGCCATTCCCAAATTCCTTGCCCAGCTTCCGCACGCTGAAATCACCCTTTGTCCGTCCCTCGCAGGTGTTGCTCCTCTCCGCGAAAAGGGCCGCAAGAGGCTGCGGGAGTTCAAAGATAGCGCACAGCACGGTCGCTCACAGAAGAAAGTCAGAGAGACTACAGGCAAGGAGAACGAGCCGATTCTGGCACAAGCCCACCCGGTGCAGGCCAAGATGACCGAGTTCACTCAGGTCCGCAAGTCAAATCTACTCGATCGCATCCTAGCGAAGCAGGCCCTCGCCGAATCTCTTCCCAACCCACCATCACCAGCGGAACTTCAGCGAAAGGCGGCACTTCAGCGATCCGAGGACGTCTTGGCTGTGCTATCGCTGCTGGTGGCGAGCAGAGGTGGCGGTACGCGAGTGTCGTTCTCAATGGCTGCATTGTTGCAATCACTCCAAGGCTCGATCCGAACTCCGCTTTCAAAAGAGGAAGTAATGAAGTGTGTCGAAGTGCTGGCGACTGAGGTTACGCCGGGGTATGTTTCTATTGTTCGAATGGGCGCAATTTCTAGTGTTGTTATTAATCAAGCTATGAGGCCTATGGATGTGAAGAGCAGGCTGCTCGCTCTTGGCGTTGGATGCTAAGGGAATGTATAAGGATAGTGCAGCGTAGATGCTGTTTGTGTTTCTTGTTCAGCGTGATTGTGTAATTGAATATTTCTCCTCATCACGCTTTGTGTTCTTGTGACTTGAATCTAGAGCTTACTAAAGACCACATTTTCTTCTCCCCATTTCTGGCTATACTCCGAAAATTGTCTATGCGTGCATACGTCATGGTGGTTCTGAGATAAAAATGTCAGGTGCAGGCTGAGCGCACGGCCTTCTCTCCATGTAGCCCTTAGCTGACGAACTTTCCAAGCCTAATCTTCAGCGTTCTCGAGATATCTTCAACAACGCCCTCCTTTGACCTAGAATATGGAAAGGGGCCTAAGTAAGCTGAATCCTGCTGCCCCCAAATGGTATCCTAGAGCCTGGCAGCAAGCCCTGGAGGAATTTTACCCACAACCCCCGAAATGTCCTGCACGCCCGATCCTGGACACATGGCCTCACATCGCCCTGTACACATGGACCCTTGACTCGGAATATAGACCATGGCTTTTACCAATCGAATACTTCTGGGTCCGAACTAGATCCCATAAACTCGCTGCCAGTTCAGGAAGACTATACAACTTCCCCCGATGTATTCTACACAGCGACGTCTGGATATTCTACCCCATATCATATTCCTGGAAGATTAAATCCCGAATCTATGTACGCAAAAACTCTTAGCAACGAACATGCACTGGTTACCAAAGAGCTGTTAGGGGTTCCCCATGTAAATACTAAGATACATATTGGTATTTCCCTCCTCCAAAGAGCAATTTAGCAGAAAGCACGCCGTTTCATTCTTTGGTGTCCTCTATGTCTTGGAATAAATGCTGCTCGGGTGTCTCGCAATTGGATTCATGGCCTTATTGAATGGCTTGCTGATTATGCACCAACGCCAGAGAACTGTGCTCAGTGAACTGGTCCGGTCGGCAAGGCCAACACATGGAATTTAGAATCAATGAGGCGATTCCGCTCGAATTCGAAAAGGTAGTCGGGTATTCTGGCACCGCATTGATTGAAGCTGTTCGCCAACGCATCCGCCTTGTGCGTCAAAGTATCCGAGTAAACCACCGCGCAAAGCTTGAAGATCTAATCAAGGAAGTGGTATAGATGCACAGGTTGCACCACCGACATGCAATGCAACGTGTTGGGTCCTATTTGCAGAAGACCACGTTTTCTATTCTGCTATATCCGGTCACTACTGGAGAATTGGTCAATTTCTTTCATGAATGGTGTCCAGAGGAGTTTTGGTATGACTCGAGCGGCAGCCCATTCTCATCTAATGCCATTTAGGAGTAGGATTTGTCGCGATTTTCCCTTTGCTTAGCGCGTACTTTAGGTTACTAGCACTAGCAAGGAATTCGGCATCCGAGTATCAAGCCAAGTAATATCCTAGTCCACGAAAGGCGGATCATCCAACTTAGTCGATTTACTTATAAGATAATTCCCCTTCAGGCCTCAGACGTTGCGATTAAGCTGTACAGGACGGATTTTGGCATTTGTCGAGCCTTCACAGGAGAAGAAGGTTCTCAAACTGAAGGCCCAACATCGATGACTGGGAAGTGGTGCAGTCCAGAGGTGGCCGCAAACCTTCCTTGCAGCCGGGAATCTGACATATTGTCCCTCGGGGTGCGTCTTCGTGCAAATTTAGAAAATATGAGGTGCTTTAACCACACACACAACTGAAACTCTCTACGTGCATTAATCTCTACCACAATTCTATAAAGTCGCGTGTTGTAGCTACTCCTAAACTTCTTAGCCTCCTCCTGTTTAATAAATTATGTTTAGATTGTCGCTATCCTGTTTACTTTATAGAGAGACGTCTTTTATGGGATAATAGTGTTCCTCCGCCCCACAGTCTTGCAAATCAGCTTGGCCATTACTCCGGTCAACCAAATCAACTCCCTCAGGACACGGCCCGAATCGCAACCTTACAAGGGTGTGGCCGGACCGGGTTGGCCGTTCTCCCTGCAAACAGTGGAGACTTAGATCATCACAAAGTTATTATGCGAAGCTTTTGGTAGGCGCAGAAATGAAGAACTGGATTGATTGCGAAAGGAGTGTACTCTAAGGGTTTATATACGAAGGAGGGAGCTTATCAAATGGGTGAGCAAGGTCGGTGGTTATAGGGAGGTGGTGTGACGCTCATCTGAGCCTCACTAAGCCTCATTACCGCAACCACATTACTTAGAGTTATAACCATAATTTAGGTGTAGAATAGGCGAATTGCTATAAGGGGACTTTATTGTTATATATTAGGCGGAGGTTTACTAATCCTACACATTTACTTATCACTAGAGACTGAGTAGTATCTCGCAGAGGTTTTGCCTCGCACTGCCACACCTGGTGGCCCATGCCTCCAGCTATGCTACCCCACTATGCTTCTGCCTGGCGCTGTTCGTCACGTCACAACTTCGCGGAATATTCGCTAGGACATAGGAATCAGCAATGTGCTCTAAATGGTCGAAGCATTAGTTGTTGTCAGCGTTGTCGCCAGCATCGTCCAACTCGTTGATTTCAGCACTAGAGTTGTGCGTCGCCTTGAAGAGTTTCACTCCATCGTGGGAGAAGTCCCGAAAACTTTTCGTCATGTCAAGACTGAGCTCCCTCTGTTGGAGACCACGCTTCAACAAATCAAAGGAGCTATCGACGCGGACTCGGTGGCGGACGGAACTGGAAAAGGCCTCTTGCTTACTATAGAAGGATGTCAAGAACAAATCGCGCAGCTAGACGCCATCCTCGCAAAAACATTACCAGAAATTACCGACAACTGGCGAAAAAGGGGTAAGAAGGCAATAGTGAGCCTGCGCCACGACGCCAAAGTGGAGAATATTATGAAGATCCTGCGAAACTATATTGGGAACCTGACGTTCTACTACGCCGCTGCATCGTCAACCTTGCAGCCCCTCACAGGTCGGTCCCTTGATAAGAAAAAACATAGAATTTACTCTAACTCCTCTGTAGATGCAAAGCTCTGCAAGATCCGCCAGTGGCTATCTGCGCCAGACCCATCTACGAACTACCAGAAAGCGCTCAAGCAACGGCAGGCTGACACTGGGCTTTGGTTTCTTGAGAGTGAAAAATACACTAGATGGAAGACGGAAGTTTCGTCGCCTCTTTGGCTGTATGGGATTCCGGGGTGTGGCAAGACCATCCTAAGTTCTGCTATTGTCCAAAATGTGCTCCAGCACTGTCATGATGATCCTGGAAAAGTGGTTGCGTATTTCTTCTTCGACTTCAACGATGCGCAGAAGCAGGATCCGGAGAAGATGTTGCGCTCGTTGATTTGCCAGCTGTCACAACAATCCATTAAGATCCCTGCTGGTTTAGATGCCTTGTTCTCTTCTTGCGAGAATGGGCATCGACAGCCGTCAGTGAATTCACTTCTAGAAGTAACGCAGGGGATGATTCGGGAGTTTCCGCAGACCTACGTTGTTCTCGATGCTTTAGATGAATGTTCCCAACGTGCAGACCTCATGGACATGCTCAAGGCAATGGCTGATTGGCAGCTCCAGAATTTTCACCTTGTAGTAACAAGCCGAAGACAACGGGATATCGAGAGCATCTTGGAGGGTCTAGTAGACTGCCAGAACGCCATATGTCTTCAAAGCAAACTGGTAGATAAGGATATACGGCGATATGTTCGACAAAGGCTATCTGATGACAAGCGCTTGCGAAAATGGGAGAAGGACGCCGCTAGGATTGAGGCTACCTTAATGAACGGAGCCAAGGGAATGTGCGTTTGACTTAACTACAAAGCCATTAACATCATATGCTGACGATAATGCTAGGTTTCGGTGGGCTGTTTGCCAGCTAGATGAACTAGGAAAGTGTGTGAACCGAAAAATGTTAAAGAACGCCCTTGCAACACTACCGCCGACTCTGGACCAGACATACGACCGGATTCTTTCTGATATTAGCGAAGAGTATTCCCAATACGCTATCCGAATCTTACGATGGCTGACATTCTCTGCTCGGCCACTCTTAATAGAAGAGGTCGCCGAAGTGGTCGCCATTGACGTAGATCGTGACCCTGCATTTGATCGAGATGAGGTCTTGGAAGATCCACTAGAGGCCTTAAACATTTGTTCTAGTCTCGTTACTACGACTGCAGGTGACGAGGATAGGTGGGCAAGGCCAAGCACACGAGTTGTTGTATTGGCACATTACTCAGTTAAGGAGTACCTGCTCTCAGACAGAATACAAAAAGGCAGAGCAGCGCAGTATGGCATGCAAGAAGTTGCCTCTCACGATGCTATAGCGAGGGCCTGTCTTAGTTACCTTCTTCAGTTCCAACAGGCAGAGCCGTTCTCAAACGAAACGCTTGAGGGATTCAAACTCGCACAATACTCTGCAAAATTCTGGATCAGCCATGCTAGAATGATAGGGGATCAATTGGAAAAGACAACCCAAGTTGCAATAAATCTATTTTCAACGGATAACGCTGTATACATTAACTGGATTCGGTTATACGATCCAGACCAGCCTTGGCAGGAGCCTGATTTTAGTAAGGGTCTAGAGCAAATACCAGCCCCATTATATCATGCAGGACTCTCAGGCCTTGAGGAGGTGGTAAAGCTGCTGCTCGACAGGGGTGCTGACGTTAACGCGCAGGGTGGGTACTACAACAACGCACTCCAAGCGGCTTCATTCGGATGCCACAAGCAGGTGGTGAAGCTGCTGCTCGACAGGGGCGCTGACGTCAACGCTCAGGGTGGAGTCTACGATAGCGCACTCCAGGCGGCTTCATCTAGAGACCACGAGCAGATGGTGAAGCTACTGCTCGACAGGGGCGGCGACATCAACACGCAGGGTGGAGAACAAGGCAACGCACTCCAGGTGGCTTCGTCTAGAGACCACGAGCAAATGGTGAAGCTGCTACTTGACAGGGGCGCTGATGTCAACGCGCAGGGTGGATACTACGGCAACGCACTCCAGGCGGCTTCATCTGGAGGCAACGAGCAGGTGATGAAGTTGTTGCTTGACAAGAACGCCGACGTCAACGCGCAGGGTGGACACTGCGGTAACGCACTCCAGGCGGCTTCATCTAGAGGCCACGAGCAGATGGTGAAGCTGCTGCTCGACAGGGGCGCTGACGTCAACGCGCAGGGCGGACACCACGGCAATGCACTCCAGGCGGCTTCATCTGGAGGCCACGAGCAGGTGGTGAAGCTGCTGCTTGGCAAGGGCGCTGACGTTAACATTCAGGGTGGATTCTACGGCAACGCACTCCAGGCGGCTTCCTCTGGAGGCCACGAGCAGGTGGTAAAGCTGTTGCTTGGCAAGGGCGCCGACGTCAACGCGCAGTATAGATATAGCAACGCACTCCTAGAGGCTTCATCTAGAGGGCATGAGCAGGTAGTGAAGCTGCTGCTTGACAAGGGTGCCGACGTCAACACGCAGGGCGGATTCTACGGCAACACACTCCAGGCGGCTTCATCTGGAGGCCACGAGCAGGTAGTGAAGCTGTTGCTTAACAAGGACGCCGACGTTAACGCGCAGGGTGGATACTACGGCAATGCACTCCAGGCGGCTTCATCTGGAGGCCATGAGCAGGTGGTGAAGCTGTTGCTCGACAGGGGCGCTGACATCAACACGCATCGTGGATACTATGGCAACGCACTCCAGGCGGCTTCATCTAGAGGCCACGAGCAGGTGGTGAAGCTGCTGCTTGACAAGGGTGCTGAGGTCAATATACACGGTGGATTCTACGGTAACGCACTCCAGGGGGCTTCATCTGGAGGCCACGAGCAGGTGGTGAAGCTGCTGCTTGATAAGGGCGCAACGCCACCTTAGGGGATGATATATCGGCAACGGAATAATCGGCGTTACCGAAGTAAGCTATATGAAAGCTAAAAGGTATTCCGAAAATGGCATGTCCAAGTTGAGTTGCAAGGCTGTGGGGTTGAGGGTGGCCCGCTTCCCAAGACTTCGCACAATCACAGACCTACCAGCCATAGGCCTAGCTTACTGTATTCACACTATTACGACGTGATGACTAAATGCGGGGCCATTTTACACTAGTTGAGATCAGCTCTGTAGAAGTACCGATTAGCGTGGCGACCTTGCTTGAATTTGCGCGCCACAGAAGGCATAAGGCTGGTGATGACATCCTAGCATTATTGTAAAGCGCTAAGACTTGGATAACTAAGATTCTTTTGTAAGCACAAACAGTAGTCAAATATAATAGTAGTGCTATAGTAAAGGAATACTATTACCCCTTAAAAGAAGGCTCTCTATGAAGTATGCGTAACGGCAACAATACAAATATAACTTATTAGATATGAAAGGATTAAGAGTTTTAAGGGTAGCTACAGCAGATAACCTATATAGAATCCTGTAACTATTAATGTGAACAGAGAGTTTGAATTACGTAGAGTTAAAGTACCTCTCATATTTCCCGGCACAGTGGGTTTTCGCCACTAGGGAGGGATATGCCGACGCAGAACCGAAGTAGTGGCTGCTAGTATAGGGACTTGGTCCAAACTTGTGTCGGAAACATCATGCATTAGCAATGCAATCTTCAAATAGTTTGGATGATGTTGTCCGGTCGAAGAGGTGGATTGTGGAGTTCCAAATTCGGTTAAGCCCCTGATGGTATTGGTTGGAATAGAAGGTGAAAGCACTGCTGTAGGAGGGGATGTTGTCATACATGAGAGTGAAGAAGTCTCGAATAAAATCACAAAAGGATGCAAAGTAAAGAGGCTGTGAAGAACGCCGAATCGCGATCGTTCGATTTGATGAGAAGATATCGATGTTAAGAAAACACACTGAGCACAAAGCCCACAAACACCCCGATGGGGAACATCTAGACACCCCAACACTACCGTTTCAAGTATAATGAATGTCCAAACTCAAACTTATCATACGCCTGATACCTGGAGTGTCTAACACCCTCCTCTTCTAACCTTCTAGGGCCGTGCAGAAAGCGAGCCAGTGTCATCTGAGTTGCATCGCTCAAAGATCGTGCCTCGTAGCTTTAGGCGCAGAATTGCTCACTAGTTTCTCATTCTTCCAGCTTTTGTTGCAGAACCCACCTGGATCCCGAGATCCACATTCTGTGTATGCATCCATGCTCCACTTACCAGAGGAGCTTTCGACACAGCAGCCTGGTCGTTCGCCATAGGGGAGACAAACAGAATGCAAGTACATTTTTCCGCTGTAGGCCTCGATAATGCTGGCGTAATTATCATGCTGAATGCAAGACTGTGGGCCTCTTGGTTTTGGAATAATTTGTTCCGAGTTGCCTGAAGCCCTGTCATCCGCCATATCCCTTCGAATGTGATCGGATGACCTTTCTGCGCCGCGGATATCGTCACGGATACGCAATATTGGAGAGGACAGAAAATGTGGTGGATGCTGGATTGCATCAATCGCCATGCAGCTCGCCTGGCCGGATTCGTCCTCGTAACACGTCGAGCCAGATGGACATTTCTGGAAAATGATCCACATAGTACCGTTCCATCGCAACAGATCTGTTTCGTTCCTGCATTTTGTTGGAACAGAGGGAGTTTCGCTATCGGCAGGCATTGGGGGGGGTGGTTCGGTATTTATTGGCAATACTGGTGGACGATCGGATTGTTTGAGCCCTTGTATCACGCAAAATACAGATCCACCCGAGAATTCTTTGCATTCATATGGCGGAAAGCAGACACCCCCAACGAACCAACTCTGGCCATCCCATGACAACGATTCGGACTGGTTAGTCGGAGAGCATCGCTTCGCGTCCTCGAAAGGCGGATCCACGATGTGCAGGTGAATGTTGGTGTAATTGTTGTCATCAGCAACAGGGAGGATGTGAATCGAGTTGCCTTGATAGCATGTTCCTATTCCTTTAAGATCGCGACAGGATTCCTCATACATGCAAGTGTAATAATGAATCCAGTCATTGCCATCGAAGCGCTGGATCTCTGTGAAGTTGTTTGGGTTGCATCTAGTGTCGAACTGAGGAAGGGTCTCATTGTGGTCTGATTTGAGAGATAGACTGACAACGCCGCTGTCGGATTCCTTGGGGTCTGCCTTGGGGTCCATATAAGAGGCCCAGCCCAGAGCCATTGGGAGTATGCTGAGGTAACGTGGAACGAAAGCTTTGAAACGCATCGTCGATGAGCTCCTTAATGCAACTGTTGAGAATGCTTGAGGCAACTGGGTCCACGTTTCCCTACAGCGCAAAGATGTAGGGACAATCAAAATCTGAATTTAATGGAATCAACGGATGAATCATGGACAGGCTGATATGAGTGAGGTGAAGCGGGTATGAGAACGTACCTGAGTTTGCTGGGGAAAAGATGCTCTCGGGGGGTTGGAAGAGACGGTTGTGTTGAGGAATGGAGGGGGGGCCGTAGAAATAAGGGCAGACACAATGGCGCCTGCATGAGTGGCAGAATTGCCACCCATTAATTTAACAGTGAGGAAAGCACAGGGCAGGACAGGGAACTGGGGAAGGAAAACAGAGGGGAGAGAGGTGGAAAGCAGGAGCTACTTGAAAGCTAAGACATGCGGAATTGGAAGGCATTAGTATTGGGAGAGATGCCCTAGGATGATGACGACCTGGTGGCAAATAAAGAAGGGACAAACGATTTAAGATCAGGTACCTGTTCAGAGGTTGATACGTTCTCGTTCACAAGTCCGATCACTACAAACCTCCTAGGCACCGTTGAGAAGGCCATGTGAAAGATGCTGGGAGTGGATGGCGACAGCGCCATCTAGGCAGCTTATCTCGACAAAAATAAGTGATAGCAAGAATTTGGTCCACCATTTAAGGGGCGAGGAGTAGAGGAAGAAGAGACCCCTAGCCCAAAGCATTCATAGAGTTCTCTCGGAACATAGACCTGGGCTCTGAGAGATTCGGCCTTCGTCAAGCCACTCACTATCGTCAAAGGAATACTAGAGATGTGAATCAAAATGAGGATAAGGGTATTTTCTGTTTGGATAGCAAGGTCAATTACATCGACGAGCCTCGGCTGCGGATCAGAGAAACATAAATGAAACCGACGGGCTCGTCCTAACCCTGAACCTCGCAACCTCAATCCTCATATTACATTACTAGCCTGTAACTGTTCCCTGCTAATAAGGGTTAGCTACCTAACACCTTCGCCGTTCTTCTCAATGTCAACACGATAATATCAAAGCTACTTCTAGGATAAATTAGATTGATTGTACAACTATGGCATGCTTTATTAATGGAAAAAGGCTCTGTGTCATACCAATTGATCTACATAATGGATAAGAGGACCATCTTGTGCATGAAGTTGCTCAAATTCAATTCCCACCAGTCGAAGCCATTATCCTACCTCCTGTGCTATCTGACCAACACGTTAAGTACAATGGCAGCTAACCATAGGGCGAATCCAACCCTTTTATACTCAGCATGCTTTCTCTGTCGTTGCCGTATCCATGAACCTCGAAACACCATTGCCGCCATACTGTCCCTACTCACATCAATACATCTCGTTTGCCTTCCTGCGCAACTTCAAAGGTGTCCGTTTCCTGCATCCCTCGCAACTAACAACAAGTCGACCCTCCATATACGCGATAGCTGCCGCAAGCTCAGGATGACTAGATAGGAACTTCTCGAACTGTACAAAGTCCTCAATACCATTCCATGCGCGAAGGTGTGCGAGATTTTTGATCAGGCAGTTGAACAAAGGGTCGTCATCGGTCGTGAGATTTCCGATCATTGCAATCTCGTCGTAGGATGCAGTACCCGTGAGAAGGTGGTCGCAAAACTTCTTTGTGAAATGGGCGACGTATGGGCTCATACCCAGAATGAGTGCCGCCCGACGAACAGCTAGGTTCTCAAGAAAGTGACCGCTACGGAGGGGAATGCTGTACGGCTTCGTGCATTTTCCCATGTCTGTCAACCACTCAACGATGTGCTGGGCTGCTGGACCGGCTATGCAGTTTACTAGAAGGTAGATGCCGTCGGCCTGTGAGTGTGCCGTGAAGTACGCATGCGCATCGGGGGAGGCGGACATAAAGAGGAGCTTGGGGACATGGCGGATACGATTGGTGCCGATGTGATCGAAATAGCTGGGCTACGAAGGAGGTTCGCTCGCTCGGTGTGAGACATGGAGCGGGTGTCTTTGCCTGGAATCGCAGCACTAATTTGGCCAGAAACGGGGCGAGGGTCAATCACAGGTGCAATAGTGGAGGTGATGGTTGGTTTGAAATCTTGCGTGGAGGAGTGGAGACGTGTTTGTTGGAGACGTGTTTGTTGGAGATTTATTGTGGAAGAGAAGTTAGGCATGGGACCACACAGGATTAAAGTTTGTGTGCGATGCGACTTAAATCGCACGTGAACAAGTCTCATCGTGGCGGCGCAGATCTTGTGGGCTCCCAAGATATTTCGCTGGGATGGAGAGTGATCCTTCGCTCATTCGTCCACAGTTCGTCCACCAATGTTGGCTATGTGAAACTCTGACTATGTAACGAACTAGAGTATTTGCCATATTGTTAGGGAGTGGAATGCATTTTCCCGAGATGTCCTGAAAACCCCAGCAAACTGACAGATCTAGGTTGGGCAGCGATTACGGGACTACGGTATTGGTAGCGATAGCTGCCGTGAAGCGTCCTTTGTTCACGAGAGTATCTCTAGCCGTTGCGTCACGATGGTAGCCGCCAAGTTAAGCCTTCCAACACGTTCCACACATGATGTTATCGCCCGGCTCAGCAGTATGTTAAGTATTGCGCAGTTATCATATATGACGGACGTCGCTAGTGTCGGTACTATGCAGATACTTTTTGCAGTTGCGGACCTACTGCTGCCTAGTCCTCAGTTCCTCGTGTTTCTGGTACTCCCAATAGCTTTAGAGATACTAGCATGGTAATTATTGAACCCAAAGTCAATATTCACACAGTCTTTTTTATAGAGCGCTAATCCCTCATGAATGGCGTACGTGTCAAGATCTTTCAAGGCGACGAATACATTCGTGACATCCGCACCCCCCCCCCCCCCGTCTCTTCTCTTTGAACCTTATCAAAAAATAGGAAATATATGTCCAAAATTGTGGATCGGCAAATAAAATGGAAATGCGTCTTCCCGCGACTGTGGATCAACTTCCAGTGTTGTACCTTGTTGACTGGCTGCAGTCTACATCGAATACCGGACGGGTCTCCGATATCAAAAAGAAGGATTGGATGTTGGAAGACCTACCCATCTGTCAATTGGAGCGGCTGCTTGGCATGGAGAAGTACGTTGCGTATATATTCGAGAGGTTCTGGTTATATGTTGAGATCTATATTCCCTCGTGTGAGGAGGTCTCGACCATCGAGTGCATGGGTTTATCTAGGGACGGCCCGCTGTTCACCTGTATTGAGCAACTTCTTGCTCGCATGAAGTTCTACGACGAGATCCCAGACTCCAAAGTCCTCGACGTATATATGAGGCTGCACGCCAAGTATGGTACCTTCATTCACAAGGCTGTGGGGAAAGAGGCAGGAAACGCTACGCAGGTGTGAGGGGATAAAGGACCGACGTGAGACCGAGAAGAGGTGCGTAGCAGGATCGACGTAAAGTCGAACGAATTTAGCAAGAGACCAAGCAAGAAGTGGAGGAGGCCCACAGGTTAGAGATTTGGACCGCTTAGGCGAAGGCCCGGTATGAGCACCGAAGGAGGCCGCCAATAAGCAATTCGTTCGTGAGAAGATGAACGGACTCAAATTTGCCTGTTTGGCGCAAAAGAGGCTCTCATTTCGCGTCGACAAGTAGAGCACGAAGCTGATGGGCTATGAGGTTTTGTGAGTCGTCTATATCTTCGGGAGTTTGAGAGACGATGGCTTTGGGCTTAGGTAATTTAGAGGAAACTCATCATTCTCTGTAGGCATGTACCGTATAAATGGAGTGGAGATATATTGGTGTGTGGTATTGCTAAATTTATGTACTGTTGGTGGTAATAAGTCTTGTTCGCCACATGTCACAACCTGGAATCTATCTTCAATATCAGCTAGAACATACATATCATACCTCAAATTATTAAGCATCTAGTTATACTCTAGGTAATATTTCCAGATCAGCCATCCTTTACGCTCATACACGCACCACGCACATCAAAATAGGAGAAGTGGATATCGCGAAGTAGTGAGTGACTGGAGGATAATATCTCGGCTGGAAGAATCTGTAGGAAAGGGTGAAAGTAAAGCCTAGATGGCATAGAGAAGCTGCAAGGGCAGATTGAGGTACTCAGCTTTGTTTTTGCGGAAGGCATTAATAGGGTATTTTCGCGGGGTAAGGATGGGAGGCGCTGCATCTAGCAGGTACAGTACAATGAGATACGGCGACCGTCTGAGGGACAGGGGGAGTTGGCTCAACTGACTTAGTATCGATCTGCTCTTTCCGCGAGGTTGCCTGCAGATTCGAGTCTTTCGGCCTTGTCCAATTGCGTCACTCTCACGAGGTCTTCAGCCGGGCGGAAAAATGTGTGGCCGAGCCGAACGATTCTCATTCTTGGAACTCGCCTTGGCCACTTCTACTCTGAAACATTAATCTTGCTATCGTGTCGATCGTACCCATCGCGTACATTGGCCTAGTCCGGCTTCGGGTGACTGAAAGATGGACCTCGCCTAGAATCTCTTCTTGCGGGGGTTGGTAGGGTGACTGCTAGAAGGTCTCACCTGCTTACGCAACCGAGTGGCTCGTGCAACGGAAATCTCTGTGCCACTCATCACCTAAAAATGAAGCTTTAGAGCTCTATATAAATTGTATCTTAGTTAATTTTTAAGTGTAGCAATTGTTATAAGCAGGGCTATAAATCCTTATATATCTTAAAGTCTTTTAAGTAAGCTGGCTAACGCTGTTGCCTCTAAGGCTAAGATAGCCCTGCAACACCTTCCTTATTATCTACTACCTTATAGTACTTAACTATCTCCTGTTGCGTAGTAGTTTTCTTAACAGCACGCTCTTTTTAGGTCTTCTTAGTAAACTAAGTATTATTTTAGAGCTATAGCTTAAGCTATTAAGCTACTTTTTCTTTTTTATAAAGTAGAGCTTTTACAGCTGCTTTAACATCCTTTATGCACTTATTATTTTTATAAGTCTTTTTTCTTAATTACTTTACAGCTTCTTTACTATTTTTCTTCTACTATTACTTAAGCTTCTTAGCTACCTTATAATTAACCTTAGCTTATTTTTTGTCCTTTTTTTGTTATTAAAGCTCTCTAGCCTGTGCTACCTTAGTAGGGCTAAAGAATAGTTAATTATGTTTATCCTTAGCACACAGAAGCTCTGTAAAGTTTTTGCTACACTTCCCCTTCTTCTTTTTTGCTACTACTGTTGCTCTAAGATTAGCTACCTTATCTCTTAAAAAAATAGCTATATCTAGAAGGTAAAAAATTATGTTACTAAGTAATTAGCTATTAATAGTAGTAGTACTAATTTCTAAGCTAAAAAGTTAATAAATTTACTTCTTATCTTTTAGTAAGAGCTTTAAGCTAGTAGAGCTACTACTCTAGGGCTAAGATAGTTATTTTAAAGGCCTTATTTTAAAGCTATTAAGCACAGCACTTTTATTAAGAGAGTAAATACTACACTACTTAAATCCTAATAGGATGTTCTTTTCTATAAAGGTTTTAACCTATGCAGTGTAAAACAGCTTATAGAAATTATGTTTAGTAAGAGCTAAAAGACCCTAAGTTTAGTGCATATGCTTACTAAGCTCTATTAAGTAGTTGCTTTAAAGTAGGCTAAATAGAGCCTAATCTAAAGGTTACGTTTAATAAGTAGTATGTAGAGGGAGTATGTTAACAAGAATTCTATGCTTTATACAGTACTCTAGAAAGCTTAGAGTAACATGTAAGCTATAGCTATTAAGTATTAGAAGCTTCTAGTCCTTACTATAGTAAGCTTTAGCCTTAGTCTCTTAATTAAAGACTTTCTTTACTTACTTAATTACTACTTAGTTATTTGTCTAGCCTATCTCTGTACTAGTAAAGTAGAATTAGTGCTTAGCAGGATTAAAATCTTAAAACTAGAAGTCTATTAGGGCTTTATTTCTAGTAGAATAGATAAGAGCTAGAGGTACCTAGCTGCTATTAGCGCAGATAGCAGCTAGTACTGTGATCTACTTACAATTGCTATTAGTGCTAGCACCCTTTAAGTAGCTATTCTTTTATAGTTTCTTTGTAAAGATTTGCTCTGTTATTATAAGAATACTTAGCAAAAAGCCTTTTTTATCTATGTTGTATGTATTATATAGCTGTACGCTGTACTTCTTAATTTTCTTCTCTAATTAGTTATAGAAAGGCTCTATCTAAGTAAGGCTATTAGCGCGTTTACGCTTAATATTAAATAGCCTAAGATAGGCTAATGTTAATTAATTAAAGTTGCGCTTAAGAAACTTTTAAATATAGTTCTTACCTAGCAGTGTATTAGAAAGCTTTCTAATAAAGTTTTAAACTATAGCTTTAGTAGGCAGTAGCCCTTAAAGCGTTAGGCAATTTATATGCTTAATAAGAGTCTTAGTGTCCTAAGCTCTAAGTAAATGTTGCTTTTTATAGCCCTTATGTTTTAAGCTAGTAATTCCTTTCTAACAGCGCTACACAGTTAAACAATGTTCTTTTAGCTTAATTTACAACTTATTTTGTTTAGCAGAAGGTAGTAAAGTAATTAAATTAATTATCTCCTTAAGATCTATTATAGTTGTTAAGTTATTAATTTTTAAAGTTAGTTTGTGGAAAATGATTTGGTGTTGCATAAGCGAGTCAGTTGCGTAAGCAGGTGAGCTCTTCTAACTAGCAAGCCTTGGAACTCGGTGGTTCGATCACCTGGGCAGCCTCCCTCATTTTGCGGATAGATGATATTTGGCCTGCATCTTGTATCTACGAAACTTCACATATTGCAGGGTTCAAATCCAAATTATGCTCCCTTGTCCAGGAGTCTACATTCGTTCGGCGACACGTGACGTTTCTTGTGATGCCTTCAATGTAGGGAGAAATTCGTTTTCGCTACTGTATTACTGTATACTTTCTTCCGAATCTGTCTCTCAATTTGAACTCCGTAGTCACGCTTAATTTGGAACAGATCATTCCATGATCTAAAAACCACGCGAGGCAGCCACCACTGTGGCTTGCAAGCCAACGCCTGTATAGGCCACTTGAAGTCTGCTCCCACTACTCGCCTGGTTCCATTGGCCCTTCTGGGACAGCCGTTGCTTCAGCTCGTCGAGATTCGACATGACCTAGCACGACTTACAGTTCTTCGGTGCTCACATGCTTCTTCTCGAGCCGGGTCGATCCATCGTAACATGATCCCATTTCGAGAGCATAAGATGGGAGCGCATTCCACCAAGGTTTCGCTCGGTGCATATATATTCTCCACTCACGGATCCGTACAGCATCATTCAACCGTTGAATACGATGACACAATTTCTCGCCCGACGGATATCTATGCTCCTACTCCTGGGCCTCCCTTCAGGTCAAGGGGAGCCCATTGATTTCGCACTTGCGGTACGGCTCTAATAGATTCCCCTAGCACATTACATTAATATAGAACAGGCTCCCTTCTCACCGAATCATCAATTGTTACAACGGGATACGAATTGGACCACTCAAGCTTTCCAGAAATATTGCGACAACATTAACTACAATGACTTTTCCGACTGCTGCACAAAAAGGAGCGGCGCAGGTTGGATGTCGTGTAACGAAGCTGGAGCCTACTCTCTCAGCGGATCTGCGGTACTCTGCTACAATCTTGATGCCGGGCATGACTGCTGCAAGGACAACAGCGTATGCGACAACAAACTAGGCTGTTGCGGAGATACTTGCTGCCAGAATGACAACTCTATAACTGTGTGTGAAGATGGCTGCATTTCAAAGGAAGGGCGTGGCTGTCTTCTTGGCACTTGCGGCCATGGTGTTCAAAAGGGCAGTACTACACTTGATTCCTTCTCCTCTGAATACACAGTCCCAGCTGCGTCAACACACACATCTCGCGGCCCATCGACAGCAGATGCTACAGCAACTCATGCATCCAATACCTCCCCTACCTCGTCTGCCGAAAACAAGCCATCGGGAGGATTGAGCAATGGTGGCATCGTCGGCATTGCTGTCTCCGTCGGTGGCACGGTCATAACTGTGCTCTTCGGTATTGGGTTTAAGATTTGGAAATACAAGCAACAAAAGAAACTAGTGGAACAAAATGCAGCACAGGAGAAGATAGATAGGAGAAACTCAATGCCGTACTCACCAGTTTCCCAACCAACTTGGCCGCATCAGCCAAATCAACAGATTATTCCGGGTGGGGGTACCTATACACGATGAGAAATTGCAACTGGGGTCTGATACAAGGGTCTTTCCGCGTTCGCACAATTCATGTTCAATTTTGTCCCTCTTTGAGGCCACTTTAATATACCCAGCTTTCTCTGTAACTTATATACATCATTAGTAAAGAATGATCTTCATGCACAGATACTTATTAGAGTTTACTATTCAGAGCAACAAAGACTCACCAGTACCAATTTTCATAGGTGGGGAAGACGAAGCACTGGTTTGAACTGCTTGAGAGGGAATTTACAACCGAGACAAGCAGCGCACTTTATCTCCCGCTGCGGCCTCTCCATTATCAGAGAACAGCACCCTTTCATCTCACCTTGTGTTAAGATCATGTCGAATGGTTATTCCTCACCATTGCTATTCTTATCAGCACGACTTGCATTGTGACCACCCTTCATAAACGTTGCGGAACCTAATCACTCGTGGTGTTGAGTAGGAGATCAATTACACTTCCCATTAATGCCTTCGCCGATTTTTATGGGGTGAGCTCAGATATATTAGGTAGGGAGTTCCAAATTCTTTCGTCTACCTGCGAAACAATATAACTACACTGGTGGGGTCAATAACGACGCTGCTCTCTCCCAACTCGAATCTACCCATCCTCTCCACTACTGGCGCTCTCTTGCTTGCCACGACAAACTTCCGTTAGGTGAGCCCAGCTAGAGCCTTCTATAGTAGACCCTAGATACACATTAGAAACATATTTTCACCAAATTCGTGGTGAGTCCTTGGTTATGGTAAAGTTGTACATATTTTTAGTCTGCGTTCTTCCTCTTGAGGCTAATGAAATCTCTAGCGCTGCTTAGGAATACCTCCTGCTGCTGGAGATAGACAACCGGCCCTTAAATAAGGCTAGAAAATTTGGGCAGTCGAGCTACGGCGACCGATAAACCGCGTCTGAGAACTCGGCTAACCTGCAATCCATGCTATAGAATATGCGACCTGAACTTCTTCGGACGCCTTAAATTAACGTCATTCTGGAGGATCAAGTTATCTTCTGTTATACCCCAGACCAGGCCCATAGTCGTACCTGCAACTGAACGGATGTTGTTTGCAGTCAGCGCTACTCCGGCGGAAATAGTTATCTCTAAGACCGTCGTTGGCAAACTAGCTACTCAGAATGCTCTTTACTGGGCTCTCGGCGCTTGTTAACCCTACAGTCTACATAACCTGATACCTCGGGAGCCTGCCCTGAATAATCTAGCTGACATTCAAGCTCCCCCGTGTCGAGGCATGGATATGTACGTGCATTGCATGTCGAGTGAGTTTCGCCAAATACTCAACGACATTCCGAAGTTCGAAGATTGTGCGAGGATTGAATCGATGATATCGAAGTCAATGGATCCGTTCCTCGTCCTCGCCCATCGGCTTGCATTACTTAGGTACAAGAAACTCCATCCCGACCCCTAGGATGTAAAAGTCTTCCTCTCGAAGCATCACAATCTGGCCGACCCCATAGCTGCAATTAACACGAATCACAACTGTTAGTTATCCGCAACCGCCGTTCTCATATGCATACCATTAACTCTTTCGTGTTTACCCATAGAATTCCCAACAGGCTAGTATACCATGGGCCATTTCTTCGTGAAATTTGGTTAGATGCACAGTAATCCAGAACCACTCACGGGTCAAGGCTTTCTGAAGTGTGTTTTACTCTTCCTCACACGTCACATCCGGTCAACCTTCATGAACAGCCCAGCTACTTCTTAATTTGTACCTCAGATTGCACCATTGAACTGACTTTAGTATAGTTAGCGTAGGGCTTACTTCACGTCTCGGACGTACGGCGAGGAGAGTGGAAAACACAGGTATCAGTCCTATAGCATACTCAACATCTTTACGTCGCCCATATATCACTAGCAGTGAGGTTTCCAGTCCCAACTATATTATTTAAGGTGAGCATTGATCTGCAGTGATTCTAAAATTTTGAAGTGCGCCAAATTTTCTTGGCCTCATTTCATCTCCATGATGGCCCGTCTCACAAAATATTAGGCGCCACGATTTACAGTCTCATCAAGTTCATTTTTTATTATCAATTCGAGTGTTTCAGTTGATATATGGTAAGGTGATATCTTCGCGGCCCTCCTAATCACATCGATCAATTCCATATCACTTTCACTCCGTAACTCCTCAAATAGCGCTGCTCAGCCCCGCCAACGTCACCGGCGTTGCACGCAGTTCCTCTAATATATAAGACCCTTCCCCCCCGAAATTCGAATTACCCACCGCTTCACTCCTTTCCACTTACAAACTCTCCCTTCCAACGGAGCAATTTTTCTTCCACTTCATCCACGCCGAATTCAACTCTAGGGGTTATTTTTTAGCCCAGCTACTATTTTCGATCCACATTGCACTTTTACTCGATCATTTCTAAGCTCTCATCCTCCCTCATTCACCTCAAGTTACGTGATACAACTCCCTCCGCTTGAACTTTATATGCCCTACCCAAGGCATTTTGCGTACACAAATTACTGTATCTCAGCCCATCCACCCACACCACCTACCTCAATCAACCTCAACTACGTCACAACTAATACACTTTCAAGGGATTTGTTTACCCAAGCAAGCTGTCATCAACAACTGGACTGTAGTCTATGGTCTACAACATTTTTCGCAATACTCTTAACACTCTCTCCTCCACTTCCTCAAACACAAACAGCCATCATGTCTGGTGAAAACTCATTTCCCACCCTCGATACGGCCAATACTAGGTATGCTCTCCGTAAAATATAATTCATGACAAATCCTTCCTCACATTGCCTCAGCACCCCGAACCAAGGTGTCACTCAGAAGGCGCGCAAGCGTCAGCAGCGCAGGGATGCCAAGGAAGTGAATGATACCGCTGATGCCCTTACCTCCGTTCTTGCTACCCTTAAAGTCAATCCAGTGTTACCAAACACCTCCGCGAAAGGAACCAAGGTTATGGTGTTGACTCAAGGCGATGAGGCTCTCGCGAAGTCAACTCGTTCATCCACTGGGACCTCAGGCAGCTCCAAATCTTCCACCGTTGCTAAGTCTCCCACGACCGCTCCAAATGGTAATAATTTCCCCATGTCGTCTGGAAAGGTAGACGATGTCGGCATACCGCTAAAGAGTCTGGTTACCCCGCAGCCACTCTCTAAGAAACCTCTGGGTGACGCGAAGCTAAAGAGGGGTGAAGTGACGAGCAATAATGCCGCAAAGATTCCAAAGCCTAAGTCCCCAAATATCACTGCTCCCGACGTGTATAGGTGGCCAATGATCGTTGCTAAAGATCTCCCCAGGGGCAAAGAGGATGGGTGTGTTCGCCGGTTTTCCGATATCTCTAACGGTAGTGTGAATCGTTTCAACCTCTTAGCGGATTCCAGAGAGGCTCAAGATGGTGGTATGTCCCCAGAAACTAGTATAGACGCGGCCACTCTATTGCAGAAGCCGGATGAAGCTAAGATGAAGAATGCGCAGAAGAAGAGTCGTAGGCGAAATGTGAAGAAGTCGGCCGCAGGTACAATACATCCTGTACGGCAGCTAGCACAGACTGAAAAAGCGAGTACGAATGTCTCGCTGCCAACGCACGCGCCCTTAGCTGCCTTGAAGGTCCCACCATCTTCGGAGAAGTCCAATATGAAACCATCCAACACCTCCAGAAGCTCCAAGTCGGCTGCATCGAAAGAACCACCAGCCCAGAATGTTCCTACCTCCGTTGAATTTCCTTCTTTCCCGCCCCTCGCGCCTCTAAAAGTACCTACAGACTCGGAAATCTCGTACACTTCCGTACCCAACCCTTCAGTGGTTTCCGGTTCCTCTATCTCCCAGGCTGCCAAAACCATTGCATCCCGCAAAAAAGCCAAGAAATCTTCTCACGTCAAGATTTCTGAAGTTGCAGCGTCTCTAGTAACTCTAAACCCCATCGTTGACCAGGACCTCGACGAGTTGATGAATGCAACAAAATCCCATCGGCTCACTTTTCTCACTGGCCCCATGATTACCGTTTTCATTGGTGACAAGGCTGTTCGTGGTGTCTACAAGCGCGCTGCTATGGTGGTGTCATCCGTTCTGAATCAATTCTTTAAAGAAGATCCAGAATCACTAGAGTATCACTTTCCGGCCCTCCACCTCGACGCGGATGCTGTTCGCCATCTCCTGGTCCACTGGATGAACGACACATGTACGCGCTTCGAAGCAATCCCGGTTACGCCCCTCCCATCATTCCGCGGTAACTTGGAACTCCTACGTGCAATTCGATTCTTGGGTATGGAACAATATGCCAAGTTTAATCTTTCTTGGCATGTACGGTGGCTGAAGTCCAATCTGCCCCAGTACGAGGATATCGTTCATGTGGCGGAGACGGCCACGTCCTCGAAGGACCCAATGTTCACAGCGATGATCAATACGCTAACGCATTGGCGGCACAAAGATCTCATCCCAGACCCGGAGGAGTTCTTGGAGTTTCTCGCGTCACACCCTAAAATTGCGACAGCGATGGACAATGCTGATCAGTTCTTCGGCGCCGAGCGACGAGAGCGCGAGGCAAATTGGAAAGCTGAACAGGAGGCGCGCCGTCTAGAGCACCAGGCAGAGAAGCATGCGTCGTGGCTCAAACGTCAGATAGAGCGTGAGGAGAAGCGGATCCACGATACGCAGACTGCCGAATCCCTCCGTATTAAGATGAATACAAATCGGAATGTATCAAAGGCTGTGCAGACAGTCACTGCCGCCGAAGCAGCCATGCTTCGAGGCTACTAGGGAATGTTTATCAGCAATGAGTTTATGACATATGGGCATGGAATCATATCACATCCTTCAAGAACGGTGGAGTCTAAAAGTTTATGTTTTGTTTCTAGCTTTTCGTGTTTGTGGCTGGCTCATACATTCTATTGGATTTGCCATGAGCTCGGTCATCATGGGAGGTGGCATCTTACTAATTGGTTTTGGCTTCACGTATTCTTAGATTTAGGTTTTGCAACCGGATTCTAGGGTATACAGATTTTCTTTCATTGCGGATTTTGTTGCTCGTGAGAGCGCTTTGTGCCAGTACTAAAGACGAAAGATTAATGGAGGAGGGGGGAGTGGCTGCTCTTTCTAGATCCCTGGTAAGACTTCCATTCCTTTCTCACGAGACATACGCAACGTATTGACATAGATTAGACCCTTTTTCAACGGCTTTGTAAAAAATCACTCTAGGGACTGCGAGGCAATAACGCGCGGTTCCAAACGTGCCCTGATAAGTACAAAAACCCTTGAGTCACCCTAAAGGCTTTCCTCCTCCACCCCCTTCTTTCCAAAAGGATAAATCACGGCCCTTGTTTCCCAAGTCTAGTTTTTCGCCAAAAAGTTAGCTTCTATCATCCAGTTCTGTTACTTGACTCGAATCTTGTCTAATTTCGGATCTCAAATGGGAGACAGTTAATTTTCTACGGTCGACTATACTGAGCCAGTTTGCCTCTTGGAGCCCGAAGCGGGGTATAAAAGGAGGTCCACTGCACCCCCACATCTCTCATCACACATGCCTTGAAGAAGGCGGAGGAAGAACTAGTAGCGCTGCAGCAATAGCCTGATCTTTTGTTTGTGGCGAAGGAGGATTTGATGGCAAGACTGGGTTCGCTTTCCGCAATCCTTTCCATCACAACCGCAAGGACGCAAGAGGTTTAACATATTCTTGCAGAAACATCCTCCTTGAAACGTGAGAACTGTCGTGAATATTTACGTGAAATGATTGCGCGGGAGGCTAGTTTGGGTAATCCAAGAAGCAACACAGAAATTTGTCAAGAGGCGTGAGGATGTGGTCGGTCCTCTCCTGAAAACAATTCGCCGCCTATCTTTAGCTTTTGAACCTTCATGGTGTTGGGCAAAGGGATGGCGTATGGAGCATTAAATATGGAACGTGATTGATAATATGCTGAGCATATGAATTCTAAAGCAATCTCAGCTTATTTTTGCCAGTTTGCCTCTTTGTGCATTGACCCAGTCGATGAATCTTCCTTTCTTCCTCAACTGCTGATAAATTTACACTTACGTGCGTTGTGCATGCTTTCCTAGGTGATATGAGCTCGTATGGAGTTCACCATTGACTGTGGACGAATCATGCAGTTAATTAAATGTCGGTGAAAGAAATCCACTAGCATGTCGCAACTCATGTTCTATTCTAAGAAACCACTGTGTCTTGCGGTTATCTAGGCGCATTTTAGCTCCTGTCTTTATTATCTCGCCTCTCCCTGTAGCGCCCTTTCCCTTCATAACAGTTACAATTACCCCTTCTGCTCAATTATTCTTTCTTTCTAGCAATAACTCTAATTTCTCCCTTCCAGAATCAATCTCTGCCACGCAAGAAATCATCCGCATCTCAACAATGCTGCAGGACGACCGACTAAGCTTCGCAGACAACGGCCGTGTCTGCGTCTACGTGGGTAGGGTGCCCCTCATCAGTAGTCTTCTCCCGAAAGAATCCCTCATGATCGTCTCCGACTATGCTCGGGTCTATTTCACCCAGCATCCTACCGCAGAGAGCTTAAATCTCAGCAAGATCCTGGTCTCCGAGGCTGCCATTCTATCTATTACGTCCTGTATTCTTGACGCGTGCTGCAATCACAGCCCGTTCACTCTTCCCCGCGGCGAGACATTCCTGGAAACGGTTCTGATCTATCAAGCCGCCCGCGCACTTGGCATGGACCGATACATTCATCGAGTGTACCAGGCTCTAAACTCGGATATTGAGTCAAAGGGGCACATGCTTCCCTACGATTGGATTCGGGTGATCTTGCGCGGTCCCAAGGTTGATCCGCTGTATTCGGACTGCGTTCGAGTCTTTGCGTCTGCGCGACGTGAGTCTACCCTCCCAAATGTCAAACTTTTCGACAATTTCGTATCGGCTTATCCCGAATTTGTGGCTGCTATGGCATTGGAGGAAATTTTCGAGGGACGCAGGGTTGATATCGAACGACGTACACGTCATGACTCACTGGTGGCTGTTGAGGGTTCCGAAGACGCCGAAGAGGCAAAACTGTCCTCCTCGCGTGAAGACAACCAAAATAAAAGACAGAAAAAGGGTCAGGTGGAGCAGTGGAAAGCCTGTTTTGCGAAACAACAAAGCCTTAAAGCCATTCCTTTGAAGGGGCTCCGGGAGAAGAAGAAGGAAGCTCGCATAGCTTGGAATAGAGCGAACGGTGTTATAACCGTATCGGCGGAAGAGTTTGAGGAGATGAAGAAATCCTTTGGGCGTGTTTGAAGATTAGGACCTGAAATTAAGGAAACACAAGAAGAAGATGGCCGCCGTTACTTGGTACTAGGTTAGTTTTAGGGATTGGCATGCTGTGCCACTTTCAAACTAAAAGCAATAGCCGTATTGTAGCACCAGCGTTCTTACCTTTGAGTTTTGTATCCAACCATTTGCAATCTCCACTACATATCACTAGATTTAGTGAGCCCGTGCGAATCGTAAGATTCCTTGGGTGGTATGATTTCCTTACAGGTATTTAACAAGCCCTCAATCCTTCCAGACTCATATTTTCTGGCCTGCACCGTCACTTCTTTCTCACATTCGTCTCTAGCTTATGTTATGTAAACTCCTCGAAGCTTTCAGTAGCATCCGAAAAAATATTTGCACTTAACACCTGCACCTCAACACCATGCCTGGGCTCAACTTCAAGATAGTCCTTCGTGTATCCTACTTCCATTCATGATCTCTCAGTGTGACAGTATAGTAACATTCGCGAGGTTCTACGAAGATGTTGAACCTAAACTTGATCGGCAAGATAAGGCTGAGAAGCACTATTGTAGCACAATTCAACCAGTCCTTTCCATCCTTTCGGACCAGAATGGGGACGAGAAGAAGGCCGAATGCCAGCGAAAGACAATCTTGACAAGCATTTTGCTGCGATTAAAGAGAATAAGAGCTCTCAGATTCGATCCAGTCTGCAAAAATTGCTCTAGGATGATGGTCTAGTGGATGTGGATATTCATAGATTATACCCTACACAGGTTGGATGAGATGACGTGTGTACTGAAAAATTCCTAGCTTATACTCAAAACTGCCTCGAACTTGCATGGCACTAGCCGGGCGGCAGAATTTGCGTGCAAACTTGGCTTTGGTTTGTCAGCATCGAGCTGTCCTGAACTTTCGTAATTACCGCGGCCACACGACGGTCACCTTCTTGGTAGCGTTTGTGCCTTGATCGCCTGCGTCTGTTTGGTATCGTATTGAGCTCTCCCAAAGTCTTTAATGACGTGACACGACCTAATTCCCCAAGGTACACGTTCCTTAACCCACCCTAAGATTGAGGTCAAACGCCCAGCCCTCCTCGAAGTTGGTTCAGTAACTGCTCGCGCTAGATCTCAGACGAAAGCATCCGATACCACACAACGATCTTCTGTACCAGAAAGAAGCTTCTCCCACAACCATTGGGAGCGGAAATGCGGTGAAAGTAGGCTCGCAGGGTCTTAGCACATCTAGCCTCCCAAACTTCTCGTCTGAGCCAGCCCTTGAGGTCTCCAATGCCTCAATATCAGGATCCTTCGTCGCTGTTGCTTTCTATCTTTCCTCTTGTCGGAGGGTTTCACCTAAACATTCGTCCGCTACACTGACAAACGAATGCCATTCCCAAGCCTAATCTCCTCCAGTGTGTTAGGGGGACTAGTGGAGCACCACCGGGCACCAAAGAACTGGCCCACCCGCGGGCTCTAGTGTGACTCCTTGTGAGGGCATGGACGATCACTGATGATTTCCGGATCAATGTTTGTACTTCAAAGGAATCAGAACATTTCAATATATCGTGTTCCTGGCAGCTACGAGCACAGCTCATACCTACGATGGTAACGCTTCCAACAAAACATTGTCCTCGAGTGAGCTCAACTGAGGCTATATTGTGGAAATCCCCCACATGTTAATGTAGATCTGAAAGCTTACGGTAGAGTACTTGACGCTGTAAGAAGTATTCCAGCTTGTTCGACCAGCCCAAGTTGCTCCACAATGGAAAGTTTTGCCAACGTAGTAGAATCTCTCAACTATCGCCTTTTAAATTTCCGCTTTGCGGTCTTCTATGGCCTGCGTACATTATACCCTCAACTTGACTATGCAATCAAAGAACAAAACTCTACTATATGTGTAGGCAAGTACTCTCATAGAACTGTCCATTTCACCGGGTTATTCACCTATGCCTTCTGCAATCCCTCCGATTCCTCTCAGCTAATCCATGGATGACCTCACAAGTGCATTCCTAGAACAGAGAGGCCCTTGCCGTACGTCTTTCCATCTCACTCTTGGTTGGTTTATTTTCTACCATTCAGTTATCTCTCGTTCCCGCTTTTGTGAGTTAGAGACAAGATTGGTACGTAATGTTTGGCGTATCGCCCCAAGGTATTCTGTAGTGCGCACACATCTATGGCACTTACGGGTGCGACTGGATGTCTGCGAAATCGTAACGCCATTTCTACTCCAGGCATGAATTCAATTCATCAACAAGACTCCTGCGCATCGCAGACAACACCCCTCCACAGACAGAGACACTCGCTGTGCACAACCCCGAAACCAATTCTGGCGAGATGAACAAGATTGTAAAGCAAACAAGAGGCAATATGAGAGTTTGCAGAAGAGTGTGCTGAGGAGCTCTAATCTACATCACCGGGATTTGTTCCTTCCACTCCGACCTTAACCCGGGCTTTCAAGTCCATCTTCGACAAACAATTCCCATATTTCTCGCGATTCCTGATCTAAGCGATTTAACCACATTACAGAGTTCTTACATCAATCAATTCACCCAAGCCTTTCCTAATCCGGCATCACACCCGCCTAAACCACGGTGTTTCAAAAAAAAAAAAAACCTCCGGGTTACAATCCCGACGGGAAATTAACGGCACCACGAGGGCATCTCCACCCCACATAGTAATTCCCCAGGTGTTGAAAATTAATATATCCAAGGGAACCCAGTGTGTGACGTTCGTTCCACCCGCGATGCTTCATTGGAGGACTTTCCGGGACCTAAGCCAAGGTTCCCCCTCACACCATGGGCGTCGATCGCCCGAAATTCTGGAAACAATGAAGGCGCTTGGTGTGAAACATCGCCTTGGGGAATTGGTTTAAATGCGCTGCACAGCTCTGGGCGTCGAAATGGTCGACGGAGGCAGAGGCTGAATTCGCTGTTTCAAGGACTATCTGTTCCACTACGTGGAACATCGCCACCATGTATCTCAAAAACCTCATACTTCTCGTGGCTCTTCTATCCACACCTATAGCGGCGGCATTAACCTACAAAGGCGTCGACTGGTCTTCCCTACTCGTCGAAGAAAAGGCTGGCAAATCTTACAAAACTACCTCAGGAACTGTCCAACCCCTCGAAACAATCCTAAAGTCCTCCGGCGTGAACACAGTCCGCCAACGCATCTGGGTCAACCCGTCTGACGGCAACTACAACCTCGACTACAATATCAAACTCGCTCAACGCGCAAAAGCCGCTGGCCTGCAAATCTACCTTGATTTCCACTACAGCGACACTTGGGCTGATCCAGGGCATCAAGCTACACCGGCTGCGTGGAAGAGCTTAGCGAAAGATGCGTTAGTGAAGCAGGTGTATGATTATACGAAGACCGTAATGGATACGTTCCAGAAAAACGGAATTCCTTTATCACTCGTTAGCATCGGGAATGAGATCACAACCGGGCTTCTTTTTCCAATTGGGCAGCTCAGTAAATCCGATGGTTACAAAAACGCAGCCGCGTTACTGCATTCCGCGTCCAGCGCTATTAAAGACTCGACGATAAGCCCGAAGCCAAAGATCATGATTCACCTCGATAATGGGTGGAATTGGGGGACCCAGCAGAGCTGGTACGATAAGATCCTGGCCTCAGGTGGGGGTCTGACAACCGCGGATTTCGATGTCCAGGGCGTATCGTACTACCCCTTTTACAACTCCGCAGCGACCTTATCCTCGCTCGCTTCCTCGCTTGCCAACATGGCGAAGAAATATAATAAAGAAGTCCAAGTCGTGGAAACGGATTGGCCGACCTATTGTCCTAGTCCGGCGTACGCGTTTCCGGCTGATGCAAAAGCGATTCCCCTTTCAGTGGACGGGCAAACTACATGGATGAAGACGGTTGCGGAGAAGGTGAAGGGGATAGGGAGTTTAGGTACAGGGTTGTTTTATTGGGAACCTGCTTGGATTGATAATGCGGGGTTGGGGAGTAGTTGTCCGTATAATTTGATGGTTAGTGATTCAGGGGCAGCAATGGCGAGTTTAGCAGTTTTTGGGAGCATATAGGCCGGGTGGGGGTTGGGTGGGTTTATTAAATTTCAAGGGAGTTCTGAGTGACTTTTGACATATTTGTGGCGGCATTGTGGTGCATGATGTGATATGCGGTCTGCACTAGTGTTCGGAACTCTCGGGACACGAGTACAATCCCACAGGTACATACTTTCATCCATTCATATCCCACAGCCCCAATACACATATAGTTCTTAAACACTCTCCCATTCCCAGGCCAAAATCAGCCGGGCCTAGAAGCAAAAACAACACCAGACTTCTCCTAATAAACATCCCTCAGTCTTGCCTCTCCCCTCTCCCCATCGCCAACAGCCCAAAAATGGAAAACCGACAATATCTCAAACGCAACGAAACCGAATCGCGAATCTTCAGGCCCTGTCCAAGGTAATGGAGACCCAGCAACATAACGAGCAGCTACACCGACTCTAAAACATCGGTACACCGCATTGCAGCCTTTAAATCGCAATGATTGTTCTTAAAACGAGTGTTGGAAGGTGTGCTAGTATTCGATTCCTTCATCCTCGCGGCTATTTGGCTTCTTGTTTGTTTGGACGTGTTTTCTGTAGACGAGGCTGGTGGGAGAGGGCAATGGTTTAAATCGAACTTTAGGTATCGTTCGCTCCGCTATAGCAATAATTTTCCTATAGTTTCGCATGGTTATCTTGTATGTGGTGACTAGAGCTACTTTAGATTGAGATCTTTTACTGATACGACAAGTGTGTGGGCTGCTGAAGATAATGGTGTGTTGCTAAGCCACTTGCCGGGGTATTAAGGATGGAAGGGGGGTATTTTTTATAGAGGATAATGTTGGAGTGTTGTCTCTAGGCATGAATGGCACTACAGAGTGTAGACTATGCATTCAAAGAACCGCTATAAAATGCATACTTGAGAATTAAGATTCAAGTCCCAAATTTCATTGGAATACATCATACAAAGAGTAATCACCACAATGATTTTATCCTACATCCCAATCCTACAAAACACTCACAGTAGAGCATCTCCCGGAAAACTCCCACCCTAGTCGAACTGCTTAATATCGGGCATCATCCCCAGGCCCCCACCCCCTGTCCCCTTCCCCTTCTCACTTCCCCCAGCCTTCCCCTCCCCTTCCCTAACACTCCCCACACTCCTATCCTTAACATGCTTCCTCAACAACTCCAAAACCTCGCTTCCCCTCCACCTTGATGGCACCGGTCTATATGCCGGCTTGAATGTTCCGACCGTCTGCGCCCACTCCCCTGTTGCAGGTTCTCTTTTCCATTCATCCTTCCCCTGCGCCGCACTCGTCGCCATATTACTACTAGAACCTTCCGCAGTTTCTGTAGATGTGGGAGATGGTTCTTGCGTCGCCCAATAATAGATGTCCCAGTCGTTTTCGTCGAGAAAGAGGTCGTATTGTTGGAGTTGAGGGAGGGTCATGTTGCCTAGATAGGCGTCGGCGAAGGTCGAGAGAAGGAGGTCAGATTCGAGGGTTCCGCGTTTGCGGGACTGGTCTATGGAGGGGGTTGTGTTAGCGTACGCATGTTTCTATCGGTTTGGAAGACGTCTAAACGGTTGACGGTGCGGGAACGCTTTCGAAGAGGAGAGAAGGGCTTAAGGTATGGTTTATGAAATTTGCACGCGCATGTGCAAAAAACGGACATAATAATCTCGCCTTCATCGTCGCCTCATCCTCACCCGTCCTTCGCAATGGCTCTACCTTGAAAGTCGCGCCCTCGAGCTCACCGACCCCGAGCTCTTGATTTCCCCCATTCGCTTCATTCTCCCCTTCCCTGCTAACACCCGCATCACCCCTCCCACTTGCGTGCGTAACGCCCGTCATCCTCTCCATATTCTCCGGCAACGCGTCTTTCGGCACAAACTTTGGATCCGCACTTGACAGCATTTCCGGCGGCGGTGCATCTTTACCCACGCTCAGCATCTTGTTTGCAATAGTGCTTGTAGTGTTTGTAAAATGTGGGTTTAATGACTTAGCGGTCTGTCGTTTGCGCCATTCTGTGGTTGTGTCGTTGCCACGTTCATTGAGGTCTTTGAGACGGGGAACATAGGCGGAGAAGGGGCGGGAAAAGACAACGATGGCGCGAGAGGAGCGGAGGGTGAGGCGTGCGAGGGACATTGCGGGTGAGCTCAGGGATGTTTTGTTGGAGGGCGAGGAATTGCCAGTCACACAAGGTAGGGGAGGGTTTGTAAGGAGGGGTAAACGGGTGTTAAGAGAGCACACCTAGCCTTAATAGTGTGTTAGGAAGAATAGTAGTTAGTAGAAGAGGGCAGAAAATATCTTATAGGGCTAAGTAGAGGGCAATTAAGGTTTTAGGAGGAGATGCAGATGTCAAAAATAGTTAGTATTTAAGGCCGCACTAAGCCTTAGCTGAGTCGCTGTCTCGCTTCTCGACCAATCGCCTCCTGCGGGCGTCTGCGGATGTCCACCCCCGGCTCTCGCGCCCGTGCGGTGGACATCTCCTACTGCACCGGCCGCCTGCTGAGCCCGCCGCTGATGGCTCCTGTACTACACACACACACACACACACACATATATGTATGGATGGAGAGGCCCTAGGGCAGGCCAGGCCCTGCCCTTACCTTCATCCTAAGCCTAAGCTTCAGCGTGCACTGCTTGCTGCTATATATACCCTCCCTTACTGTACACACTTACTTAGGGGCAAGAGTAGGGCAAGGCAAGTAAGTATAGGTCTACAGCGCAGGGCGCGTTACAAGCGCGCAGATGTTAACATCACAAATAACACTAAGCTGCGCGCTAATGCGCACTATATCCTAGCTATAATTTACAAGTAGTAGCTAGAGAATACGCACTAGGTCTATGTTCTAAAGTAAGAGAAATTTAAGGTAGTATTCTTGCCTGCCTACCTGCCTATCTATGTGTCTGTGTCTGTGCTAACTCCTGCGTCTAGGTGTTTTATAAGAGGAAGTAGTACTATAACAGTAGCACTATTATAAAAAAGAAGCTGCTACTTTTTTTAGTTAAAAAAGTTATAAACTAGCTTTTAAAAACTAGGTTTTATAAAGTAGAAAGTAATATCTTTTAAAATAAGATATATCTTACTTAGCGCTTAGTTTACACTTATATTATAGCTATTACTAACCTCTAGTAAGAGCAGAAGGCGCTAGGCATAAATAGCCACCTATTACTGTGTGTAGACAGCGTAAGGGAGTACCTTAGGTCTTTATAGCATAGAGATGCCTAGCAAGATTAAAAGCAGTACGCTAATAAAAGCAAAGACACACTGCTTAATAGCTACACTAAGGATAAGTTTAAGCAGCTCTATAGCAAGCTGTAGACACATAGCGCAGATGTAAGCTTGTCCTTAGCAATAGTAGAGTGTTACTTCTATACACTAGTTAATCTTATGCTAGGCTACTACATGCTTACATGTAGAGGCAACTGCTGTTTTATAGAGATCTTAGACCTATTTACCTTTAAGTTTAAAAAAAAAAGCCTTATATACTACATGCCTCTAATATTTACTACTTATGTAAGTAAGTAGAACTAGCATAGCTAGCTTAAAATAATAAGCGCACTATAGCATAAAAAGCTAATCTTTTACATGCTTAGCAGCCTAGCCTTTTACCTGCTCTATTACTAGAACTTAGGCAATAAGCTCTTTTCTAACTTTAGTAAGCACTTAGCCTAGTACTACATACAGCTAATTAAGGCTAGCATAGGTAATTATATAGCAGCCTTCTCCTACAACTCCTAGCGCAACTAGGTTGTAAAGGTGTATAGTTACACTAGAATTTTATCTTAAAAAAAAACTTACTTTTTATATAGTAAAGCAGCTAAGCTAGTAGAGCTTAAAAAAGTTAGTAAAAATTAAATTTAGTAAGTAAGTAAGTAAAATTAAAAGTAAATAGTTAACTACTACTTTAACTTACTACTATAAAAGTTTATAAGGTTTATAGCTAGCTATTTACTATAAATAAGCTGCTTTAAGATCTTTTATGTAGCTATTATACTTTTAGATAAGCTTCTGTCTCTTATCTAGCTAGAGCTTAATGTGTAGAAAGGCTGCTTTAGCTTACATACTAGCTAGATTAATAACTTAGCTGTAAAAAGCTTTATAAGCTTACTACTTTACTTTAAAGAGGTAATTTTCTAGGACTTAGTTACACTGCGCTAGCGCTTCTCTAGCTACCCTGTGTAGAGCTACCTAGTGTTCTAGCATAGGGCGTATGCTGCCTTTACTTAGGACATTAACGCGTCTCTTAACACAAAGGTAGCTCCTAGTTAGCTATTAGTTCTATACTAGGTAATACCTTTACTTACTAACTAGCTTTAAGCGCTAGATGCTTAAAATAAGTAGTAAATAAAAAAGCTTAAAAAAAAGCTTAAAAAAGAGCTTAATTATATATATAAGCTATAAAGATTATAGTTTTAGTAGCTGTAAGTGCTTACGTCTAGCAGCCTTATGTTCTGCCTAGAGGCATTGCAGGCGCAGGGCGGTCTGCTGCTGCCACCACCTCTACTTAGGCACACAGCAGCTGCGCCGCTGTCGCTGGCAGACGTAGATTTAAGCAGGTATACCTCTGCCTAGGCCAGCCTTACGCCTACGCTGTCTGCGCGCTTGCCTAGCCTATTGCTGCTGCTAGCAGCGCTTAAGCTAGCGCCTAAGCTAGAACCTACACTAAAGCATTGCATATGCTGCACTATAAGAACTATAGAGGATCTCTAGCATAAATAAACAGTAGGCTTATAAAGCTAGCCTTCTATTACTAAGCTAAACAGGCGCTAAAAGAATAAGTAAAGGTTAAGTTATTAAAGTAAGCTATAGTAGTACTTTTTATAGCTTAAAGTTATTAAGAAAATTAGGCGCATTATATAAGTATAAAGGACTAGTAAAAAAGTAGCTATATAGCAGGTAAGCTAGTAATAGTAGTAGTAAAGAGTCTTACTAGACTAGCTCTACAAGCATCTTAGAGTTGCTTAGAAGGAGAGCAATTGCCCCTAGTTTTATAGTCCTAGTATTATATATAGTTATTATTATAAAAGTTAATTAATTAGTGTTTAGATAGTTATAGCTACTAAGTAAAAATTTTATTTTATATTATTTTATAATTTACTATATCTTATTATAATTTACTGTATTATTCTATAATATGCTGTGTCTTGTTGTAATTTACTATATTATTCTATAATTTACTATGTTTTGTTGTAATTTACTATATTATTTTATAATTTACTATGTTTTTTTATAATTTACTATATTATTTTATAATTTACTACTTTTTATTATAATTTAATACATTATTTTACAATTTACTGCATTATTAGAATACTATGCAAGCATAGTATACTTCTGTTACACTATAACATTTATAAAGAGGTACCTAGCAGCTATACAGTGCGTTTCTAGTAATGTAATAGTAATTATAATGCAGCTTTACAGCGCTTTAAAGCTAAAGCAGCCTAGCAGCTATTATAAGACTAAAAATTAGGCTATTTATACATGTAGCAGCGTAGATATTACCTATAAAAAGTAAGTAATAGACATAAGTAGATACTAAAAGTTAATAAGCGCATAGCCCTTTTTACTAGTAAAAATCTTACTAAGCTGCTAAATTAGCTATATAAATGTTACTATAAATATACTATTAGTATTTAAAGCTATACTAAGCTTTAGCTAAGTTACTATCTTACTTTTTAACTAATTACCTCCTGCAGGCGTTTGCAGATGTCCACCCCTGGCTCTTGCGCCCGTGCGGTGGACATCTCCTACTGCACCGGCCGCCTGCTGAGCCCGCCGCTGATGGCTCCTGTACTACACACACACACACACACACACATATATGTATAGATAGAGAGGCCCTAGGGCAGGCTAGGCCCTGCCCTTACTTTTATTCTAAGCCTAAGCTTTAGTGTGCACTGCTTGCTACTATATATACTCTCTTTTACTATACACACTTACTTAGAGGTAAGAGTAGGGTAAGGTAAGCAAGCATAGGTCTACAGCGTAAAGTGTGTTATAAGTGTGTAGACATTAACATTATAAATAACACTAAGCTACACACTAATGTGTACTATATTCTAGCTATAATTTATAAGCAGCAGCTAAAGAATACGCACTAGGTTTATGTTTTAAAGTAAAAGAAATTTAAAGTAGTATTCTTGCCTACCTACCTGCCTATTTATGTGTCTATGTCTGTGCTAACTCCTGTGTCTAGGCGTTCTATAAGAAGAAGTAGTACTATAATAGTAGCACTATTATAAAAAAAAAGCTGCTACTTTTCTTAGTTAAAAAAGTTATAAACTAGCCCTTAAAAACTAAGTCTTATAAAGTAAAAAATAATATTTTTTAAAATAAAATATATTTTACTTAGTGCTTAGTTTATACTTACATTATAGCTATTACTAACCTCTAGTAAGAGCAGAAAGCGCTAGGCATAAATAGCCACTTATTACTATGTGTAAATAGTGTAAGAGAGTACCTTAGGTCTCTATAGCACAAAGATGCCTAGTAAGATTAAGAGTAGTATACTAATAAGAGTAAAAACACGCTGCTTAACAGCTACACTAAGGACAAGTTTAAGCAGCTCTATAGTAAGCTATAGACACATAGCGCAGACGCAAGCTTGTTTTTAGTAATAGTAGAGTGTTACTTCTATACACTAGTTAATCTTATGCTAGGCTACTACATGCTTATACATAGAGGTAACTGCTGTTCTATAGAGATCTTAAACCTATTTACTTTTAAGTTTAAAAAGAAAAGCCTTACATACTATATGCCTTTAATATTTACTACTTATGTAAGTAAGTAAAACTAGCATAGCTAGCTTAAGATAATAAGTGTGCTATAGCATAAAAAGCTAATTCTTTACATGCTTAGTAGCCTAGCCTTTTACTTGCTTTATTGCTAAGACTTAGGCAATAAGCTCTTTTCTAACTTTAGTAAGTACTTAGCCTAGTACTATATATAGCTAATTAAGGCTAGCATAGGTAATTATATAGCAGCCTTCTCCTACAACTCCTAGCGCAACTAGGTTGCAAAGGTGTACAGTTACACTAGAATTTTATTTTAAAAAAAGACTTACCTTTTACACAGTAAAGCAGCTAAGCTAGTAGAGCTTAAAAAAGTTAGTAAAAATTAAATTTAGTAAGTAAGTAAGTAAAATTAAAAGTAAATAGTTAGCTGCTACTTTAACTTACTGCTATAAAAGTTTATAAAGTCTATAGCTAGCTATCTGCTATAGATAAGCTGCTTTAAGATCTCTTATATAGCTGTTATGCCTTTAGACAAGCTCTTATCTCTTATCTAGCTAGAGCTTAATGCGTAGAAGGGCTACT